GGCCGCTGACGTGGCCAGCCCTGCGGTGCGGATGGCTGCAGTGCGGGCGGTGGGGCACCTGTTACAGGGTAACCCGGTCTGTCATGAGCTGTTACGAGGGATGTTACCGCGAATGGCTGCAGGATTGAGGGACAGGTCGCGTGGGGTGAGAGTGGCTGTGGCGGAAGTGCTTGTAACGGTGGCTACTAATACCAGCATAAGACTGAACGAGGTTGTTACATCAGGCCAACTTATACAGGCTCTGGAGGAACCCAACGACCCAATAGTAGCTCGCCACGTCACCCGCGTCCTCCTGCCGACCTACCTGCCGTCCCACCTGCCCCCTGTTGCTGCTGCCGGCCGTTTTATCACCCTTATGCAGCGCTCTCTCCCTGCTGCTGCCGCTTTTGCGCGCTGCAGCTTCCGGGAAGGTGCGGGACTCGGAGCTGTGATTGAAGCCATAAGGGCTGTTGTAGACTTGTTGGTGATTGAAACGGAGGGTGAGGAGGGGGGCGAGGGGAGAGGGGAGGGGAGAGGGGAGGGAAAAGGGGAAGAGAAAAGGGAGGGGAGAGGAGGAGGGGGTGGTAAAGGGTGCAAGAGGAAGGGAAAGAGGAGGCGAGGGAAGGCGGGAGAGGGAGAGGAGGCGGCAGATGGAACGGTGACATGCGGGGAGGGTGGGAAGGTTAGAGGTGGGGAGTCTGCTTCTGGAAAGGTTGGATCTAAGGGCGAAAAGGAGGGTTGTAAGGAGGAGGAGAAGGACCGAGAGGTGATGTATCACGTGGTGCTGGGGTTTGTTCAGGGAGTAATGTGGGAAGGAGGAGGAGGTGGTGGAGGAGGAGGTTGTGGAGTAGGAGGAAAAGAAAGAAGATGCAAGGCAGGCAACAGGGGTGAATGTGAAAACTCGAATGCAGCAGCAGCTATGGCTAATACTCTGGATGCTCCTGCTTTGAAACGATTGCTTCTCTCGGCACGTAGTGCAAGTCAACGGGCCGCGGTGCTGCGAATTGCCGCCCTGCTGCCGCCCGTGTCAGTTGAGGAGCTTGCTGACGTGTGCAGGGAGGGGCTCCTGAGGGTGGAGCGGCAGAGGGGAGAGGGGAACCATGAGGGAATAAAAAAAGCGCTCGAGGAAATCTCTGATAATCTCGCTGGTGTGAGGATGGGTGAGGTGATGGAGTGGATGGAAGGGAGGAGGGAGGAGAGGCGGGAGGTGGAGGGTGTGGTAGTGCTGACACGCGCGTGGGGCGGGTTGGGTCAGCTGGTAGAAGCGCTAGAGGTGTCGCTTGCTGCGGGTGTGAATGGGGAGGTGGAGAGGAGAGAGCAGAGGGGGAACGGAAAAGAGGGGAAAGGAGGGGGGTCGGATACGATAGAGGAAGGAGAGGGAAGGGGCGGTGAGGAAAAGGAGGAGGAGGAAGAGAAGGAGGTGGAAGAGATAGTACTTTCGGATGATGAAGATGAGGAGGGTGGGGAGAAAGGCGAGGAGGGAGAGGGGGAGGAAGAGGAGGAGCTAACGGGGGCAAGAAAGGAGGAAGAGGTAGAAGAGTTGGTGAAGGAAGAGGAGGTGGAGGAAGTGGAAGTGGAAGTGGAGGAGTTTGAGGATGGGGAGACGAGAGAGGAGGAGGGAGAGGAGAAGGTGATGGTTGGGGAGGAAGCTTTGCGGCGAGGAAACAGACGTGTGACTCGGAGCATGGGGGGATCCAAGGAAGCTTCCAGACAATCTACTGAAAGCCCGTCAGTTGCGAAGGATGGCACGGGGAAGACAGGGCGATTGGAGAGAGTAGGAGGGAAGGGAAAGCTAGGGAAGAGGCAGCAAGAAAAGATAGGGCGAGGAAAGAAGGTTTCTGGAAGGAAGAGAGGTGCTGCTGGTGTGAGGGAGGTCTATAACGAGGATGCAGCAGAGGGAAGTGATTCGGACCAATCAGAGCTTGCCATCGAGGCAGCAGCCCCTGTGATGCCTCCTTGTGTGGTGGCCTACCGCCTGGAAATCCTCCTGGGCCAATCAGAAGCGAGGGCTGAGTTACTGCGCATGCCCTTGGTGCCTGGGCGGCTGCTGGGCCTGCTGAGGACAGCTGTCGACACGCAATTGGCCGGGATGATCGACACGGGGAATGCTACTTCTGCTGCTGACTTTGGTTCGGAATCAGCAGAGCGGAGTTTGGACGATTGTGGTAGGACAGACTCGGATGCTGCTGTGAAGGATAATCGTGCTGCCGATTGGCTGGAAGGAGCGGCGCTGCGGGTGTATGTGAAGCTGCTGGTGCTGATGTGGAATGAGAGGCAGCATGAGGAGGAGGAGCTGGGAAGGAGGGCGCAGAAGCAAGGACGGCAAGCAGACGACACGGGGTGCTCTAGCTTGGTACGTGCTTGACTGCCTTCATCTCTGTGTTGTACTACCCTTCTATGTGTTTATTCATTGGTTTCTAATAGCAGAATTTCTCACGTTTTCTGCCCTCACCCTTCCCTCTCTACCTTCTCCTCTGGATTTCCCATCTTCCCCCCTTCTCCCCGATCCCCCTCCTACCCATTGCATTCCCCAGGGTGAGTTGTCCGATCATCTTCTCGAGCTGATCTCAGCCGTCTATGCAAAGCTGGCCCTGATCTCACAAGCACGCCAAACTCCCAGCGAATCCGGGCCGTCCAAGGCAAGCGGAGGTGGCATCTGGGTCGTCGCTCCTTCCTTCCTGTCCACCCTCACGGCAGTCCTTGCATCCTCCTACACTTCCCTCCTCCTCCCTATGCTGAAATGTAAAAGGGCGGCAGAGAGAATGGAACCACAGGCACTGGTGGTTAGGTGCTGTGGTTTAGCGCTTGCGCTGCTGAGGAGGCAGACTGAGAGTGTGAGGGAGGGAGGGGAGGGTGGTGCGATGGTATGGATGGCGTTGCTGTCGGCTGTTGCTTGCTGTAAGAGGGTTCTGACTGTTGCTGGCACTGCTGCTGGTGTTGCTGCCGCCACTGGTACTGGCCAACAAGAGGGGAATGGGGAGGAGGTCCAGTTTCTGCAGGGAGAGGTGCATGCTGCAAGTGCCTTGTTGAAGGGCTGTCTGGGGGGGATTGAAGTGGAGGGGGAAGCTGAGGATGGAGAATGCAAGAACGAAGGGGGTTGTGGGGCGAGGAATGCGGTTGGAGGTAAAGACCACGGAGCAGGAGATTTGGAGGAAGGGGATGTAGGGGACGCAAGTGGGAAGGAGGGTGCAGGTGTGGCCGATGGGTTGGAAGGAGGGTGTGAAGGAAAGGGGAAAGGGGGGTTAGCGAAGCATGGGCCAGGGATTGACAAAAGGAAAGCGGGACGGATGGTTTTGAAGGAAGTGGCAGCCTGGAAAAACGAGGGGATGATAGATCCTGCATTGTGGAAGATAGCTCAGAAGGTGCTGGGATGAGTTAGAATGAGCACTTGTTTGGTAACAAATGCATATAAAAACAAGTGTTTGATAAAATAATGAAGCTAGCGTTATTTTTTCGTTCAAATCCTACCATACTAGAAAGAGTGAGGCCTTAAAAGGCAACTGACAATGCTCTCCTGTGGGCTGGCCAAGTTTCCATTCCATGTACATGGACCATTACGCTCTAGAGATGGAAGTTTTCCATAGGGATATCTTAACAATGGAATGTGTGTAACAGAGCTACATTGGCACTTCTCGTGTCGTTGACGCCTTTCTTGAGTAGCTTGCACTTCGAGTTTCGTGAGGGCACGCGACAGGCCCTGCACGAACTGGTGCAGGATATCGCGAAATCTCAGCCGCCCATTCATCCCAGATTCATCCACCTTGAAAACATCACATTTCGAAATTTCGAATTTTGAACACTCGCGCAACGCACTGCAGTGGCGCACGGAATTCTGCAGGGGTGAGCAGAAGAAGTGGGGAAAATAAATCGGTATCGAAGATATTTAGCGGTGTTTTCCAGGGTACCTTCAGTTTCCATTGATGGTGCCTGTTGGCGATGGTGATGGTGATCATGGTGGTAGGATATGGTAGGCAACGGATGGAACCAGAAGGTCAGGGCCAGGGATCACCATTGGGATTGCCGTTCAGCCATTCATCAACTCTCCACCACCTCCTCTGCTTACCGCTTAGACCAGTATTGTAGACACTATGTTGAAGGACGTATTTGAATAGCGATTTTACGGGATCTTATACTACTGTTCTCCTCCAACACTGTTTACGAGATTCTAGATGATAATAATTCTCCAAGCATTGTGACGAATACTGAGCTGAAGAGTGGAAGCGGCTTCTGTCACCTGTAGCAGCGATGATTACGCCATTCGCGATTCTAAGAATTCGTTAGTCGACGATACGGGCTGAACTTATAGCGCGTATGCCGATCTGCTTATAACGGCTATGGATAGCCTCGCCATGGACGAGAGTAGGAACATCTTGTTTCTCATTGACGTCAACCCGCTTCTGGTGACGCCAGCAAAAGCCGTTTCGATTCAAGCCAGTATCTTAAAGTGTCTCCTCGCCTTCCATTCCTCCTCTCCTCCTCTGCGATGGGGTTACCACCTGTTTGACTCCAGCGTCAGCCCATTACGATCAGAAAACAAGATTAAGAGGCTTCTTAAGAGGAGCGCTGGCACGTATGGCGCAGCGTGTGAGGGCACGGAGAGTAACCGCACCCGCGTCGCTAAGGACAGCGCGCATCGGCCGGTCTTCCTCCCCGTTAGAGAGCAGGATTTTTGCCGCTTGGCACGTGAACTGCAGACTCTGGCACACGCCGCGCGCAGCGATACCGCCGTAGCCGACAGCACTCGCGGTTCCGGCCAACATACTCTGTTGTTAACTGCAGGAGCATGTAAAACGGAAGCAGAACCTCAAACTACGGCTCGTCTGTGCCAGGAGAACGGTGGGGTTCCTGGTAACCAGGCCAATCCTGGATCTACATTTCCGGGTGACAATATGGGGAACATTTGGCGGACTTTGTCCGATTTGGTGCAAGTCCGATACACGTGGAGCCACTACCACGCCCGAAGCCCTCAAAGGACCACTCCCGCTATTATCATTGCTGGTAGGGGAGGACAGCATAGGCAAATGGGTACAGCATCTGACGATGTTAACGGAGACTTTCTTAGAGGAGAAGACCGCTTAGGTTTGGATCCGAAGCGTGCGAACCATGTGGTCGTGTTTACCAGCATCTGCGACGGAAGTTCCGGGAACTCGGCTGTAGCAGCGCAAGCGGCAGGTGTAGCTGAGGCGGCTGTAGCCGCGGGGCCGGCGGGGCGCGGAGGAGGGTGGGCGGGTGCCGGCGGAGTGGCGAAAGTACAGGCGATGTTCGCACCACTGGGAATTCAAGTCTCGTGGGTTGACGTTGGCGCTACGGATGGGGTGGTGGGGGCAGCAGCAGCCGATTCGCGCGCGCAGGATCGGCGTGATAGTAACGAAGGGTGCAGGTCGGCCGCACAAGGAGGGAGCGCAGCTGCAAGGGAAGCGAAGAACGCGGCGCTGAACGCGGGCTGGTCGCTCTTGAGATTAAAGCCGTATAGTTCAGCAGGAGGAGCAGACTGTCACTTAATATCCGCGGTATGGGAGGGAGTAGCAGGGAAAACGGAGCCGCTAGCTGCTTGTCGGATGCTGCTTCCTTGCAAAACGGCTGCATTGGTAGGACACGGCAATCCCGAGGTCAAGGGTGGGGGTATGAGTCTGGGTGGATTGAGTGGGGGGCAGGAGACTCTGCCTTCAAACACCCAGGTGCAATGCTTTTTGAGAGCCTATACCGTAGCTGCTGCTGCTGCAGACGCGACGAAAGCTTCTTGCGGATTCAGCAGGGGGGCTTATAGCGAGTACGAAGGCGAATACGACGGCCTGGAGATTACAGTTTCAAGAGCCAGTAGGATTCTTTCCGGCAACGTGGAGCTGACGCTGCTAGACATCCAACAGAGAGTAGAGAGTCCACGGACAGAAGCAGCTGAGGCGCTTGGGGGGAGCACTGGAGCTGGAGGAAGGGTGGAGGGGATTGATACGAGGGGTTCTGATAGGGCTGGAGTTGCTCAGGACGATCCGTTTCTCCAGTACGTTCTTCTGGAGAAGAAACCCTCGGTCACAGGCGGTGGTGCTGCAAAGGAGCCGCAAGGAGAGCTGTTTGGGGTTCTACTGAGGTTTTTGGAGGGGGAGGGGCTGGAGGCGCATGTGTATGTGAAGAGCAAGCGGGTGTCGTGCGCGGGGATCGTTGCGCCGTTCGCTGGGCATGCGGCCGTGCTGAGGATCCGAGACTGCCCGACTTTGCTGGGTCGTCAGCGACGCAAGCCTGAGAGGCCGCTGAGGAAGCCGGAAGGGGTTAAGCAGTGTCGTAGCCGTGGGTTTCCGGTGTCTGGTAGAGGGTGTGCGAAGCGGAGGCTCCAGGAACGGCGTGAACAGGGTTACCAGCAGGAGGGTTACCAAGACGCGAAGCTGCTCCGTAGTGGTGTTGGGGAGAAGCAGGCGAAGGTGGATAAGGGAAGGGCCGATGGGGAAGGAGGGAGTGGGAGAAGGACGGGTACAGGGAGGGAGCGGCATAGACTGCGGAAGGAGGAGGAGGATTATAAGGAGGTGGTGAGTGGCTGTGGAGGCGTGTGGAAAGGGGAGGAGGGAGAGAAACGACGTGCACTGGGGGAGAGAAAGAGGTCAAGAGCGCCGGGATATAGAGAGACGAATGATCGGGTTGCGAGGGGTGGGAGGGGTGAGAGAGCGGTGAGGGCGGAGAGGGAAGGTTATGGGACAGGCGGCAGGGCGGATGAGTGGGAGGCTGGACAGCAGCTGGTGGTGTTCTCAGAAGCGGATAGGCAGGAGACGTGGGGAGAGGCAGAGGGACGGTATGGGGGTTTTGAGGGGGGAGCAGGCGGGATGGAGGGGGAGGCGGAAAGGGAGGCGGAGGCGGAGGAGGAAGAGGGGTCGACCGGGGAGTGTGAGGGGGAAGGGGAGAACGAGACAGATTTCGTTATAGGAACACAGGCGTCGCAGGTTGCAGGGGAGGGGGGTGGGCGGCAAGCCGTGGCAGGGGCGGTGTGGGAAGGGAGTAATGGACAGGAGGGGTCGCATGTGCATGAATGGGAGGGTTCTGAATGGGGTCTAGGGGCTGATTTTGGCCAGAAACGGTCGGGTTTAGCAGGAAAGGGACAGGGATTTGGGAAGGGGGGGCGAGTAGCCGAAGGGGGTGGGAGTGTAGATATCTGCGAGAATGGCAGCACAAGATACAATGACGAAGGTGCTTGTAACGAGCGGACGGAAGGCTCGTGCAGGAGAGGTGCGTTGGGTGATGATGTGGCGTGGGATGAAGCGAGAGAGTATGAGGAAGCTGAGCTGGCATTTCTTCTGAGCCAGCAAGAGAGTCAGCCAGGTGGCGGGGAGACCGGGATAGCTGCATGTGGGGACCAGATGACGTGTCACGAGGCGTCGCGAGCAGCAGTGGGAGGGGACCACATGACACGGCTTACAGCCATGCTGAGTCATACCTGGGCGGCAGCGAGAGGTGGACAGTGGAAGGTGCAGGGGGGTAAATCTGGAAGGGCAAGAAGAGCGTCAGGAAGGGATAAGAGCAGAGGAGAAGAGGGAGCAGAGGAAGCGGCAGGATCGGAAAGAAGGGTAGTAACAGCAACAGAGGCAGCACTCCTCAGGGGAAGATCTGTAGGAAAAAACGAGCAGACACAGGAACAAGAGCAGGGCAAGGAAGAAGGGAGGAGAAGGGTGGTGGGGGGAGGGCAAGGGGTAGACAGAGCACAGGGGCGGGTATCATGTGAAGAAGGGTTACAGATGGTGCTGTGGGATGGAGTGGGACAGGGAGGGACAGGGGGAGGGGCTAGTGGGGAGGCTGGGAGAATGGAGGGTTCTGAGCGGGAGGGCAAGGGCGGACGAGAGGGCCTGGGGGGGAACAAGGGGAAGGGGTTGGGGGGGCGCATGGCATACGTGGGGGTGGGACCCGTTGAGAGTGTTGACAGGCTGGCAGAACGCATGGCTGACGTGCTGCATGACGTGGCAGCGGATCTGTACAGTGCTGCCGCAAGATTGGTGCGGGAGGCGCGGCGATTGTTCCGAGAAGAGGCAACAGCGAGGAGGAGGAGTGGAGGGGAGGGGAACAAGTCAGGCGCTGAGAGGACAGACGAGGGGGAAACTGGGAGGCGGACAGAGGAGGGGGAAACTGAGAGGCGGACAGAAGAGGAGGAGGTGGAAAGGCGGGTGCACGAGGCTCTGCTGTTAGGCAAGGCGGATTTGCAGCAGCGGTTCCCAGTGGGCCGCTGTGTTGAAACACATGAGATCTCGAGACCTGGGGAGCCGGGACCGCCAACGCTGGGAGACAGAGTCCGCTGGTGAGTGGAGGTCGGGGTGAGTTGAGTGAAGGCGGTGGTTACGTGAGCCTGTTGTGAGTCCAGTTTGAAACAAGCTTGTATACAAAGCATCAGGTTCCCGTTGGGTCGCTGTGTCGACACACATGAGATCTCGAGAGCAGGGGAGAGGAACCCCACGTTGGGAGGTCGAGTTGATCCCCTCGCACGCCCTTGATGGCGAGATTGAGATTCCCTTCGCCCACCCCTGTCTCTCGCCCCTCACCTGCCATGCCCATCCCCCACCCACTCCCCATTTCCCCCCCCAGCCATGAGCTGCAGATTCTGCTGCGGTTGGAGCTGCTGCCCTGCAGCCACCCCTCGCAGCCCCTGGTGGCCCGATTCGGTTCACGAGTATTCTGACTTTCAATATTCCCGCTTTCCCAACACGCCCTCCCCACTGCCTCGTTTCTACCCCAGCCACGAGCTGCAAATTCTGCTGCGTCTGGAGCTGCTTCCCTGCGACCTCCCCTCGCACCCTCTGCTGTCGCGATTCGCTAAGCAGACCCGCACGCTGCTGGAGATGGTGGACTTGAGCCGGGAAGGAGGTGTGTTTGGGGAGAGCCTGGAGGAGTATGTGCGGCGACTGCTGTGTGGGAGGTGCGTTCGTATCTTATCATAACATATCATATCGTATTGTATCGTGCCGTATCGTATCGTGTCGTATCGTAGCTTATCGTATCGTATTGTAGCTTATCGTATCTCGTATCGAATCGTATTGTAGCTTATCGTATCGTATCGTATCATATCGTATCGTATCGTATCGTATCGTATCGTATCGTATCGTATTATATCATATCATATCCTATCCTATCATATCAGCCCCTTCATCGGCCATTTTCCAACCCCTGCTCACTTCCGTTTCCCTCTCTGCCCCTTATAACCCTCAGGTACCGCACCAGATGCCCCAAATTCCTCTCGCTCCTCTTCTCCAAGCTTCCCTTCCAAAGCAGCCCCTTCATCGCCCTTTAACCAACCCCTGCTCACGTCTATTTCCCTCTCTGTCCCTTATAACATTCCCTCTGACCCTCTCAGGTACCGCACCGAATTTCCCAACTTCCTCTCGCTCCTCTTCTCCAAGCTTCGCTTCCAAAGCAGTCCCCTCATCGCCCCTCCTCCGCCCCCGGCTGTAGCGCGAGCTGGTTACCACCCAGGGGTGCCAGAGCCCGCTACAGCCGTCACTCCCCCAGAGGCAGGCGGGAATGCTGGCCCTCCCGAGAATGCTGCTCGGGGAGGGAGTGCTGGTTCGGATGGGCATGCTGGGATGGAAGAGGGAGATAATGCTGCTGGGCACGCCACGATTGTGCGTGATCTGTCGCGTGCCTTTGATGCTGTGGCGGGGGGAAGGGAGGGACGGGAGGGGGAGGAGGAGGAGGAGGAGCAGGGGCAGGAAGAAGCTGCAGAAGGAGAGGAGGGTAAGGAGGATGGAGAGGTGGGGGAGGAGGAAGAGGGAGAGATGGGGGAGGAGGAGCAAGAGGAGGGAGAGGAACGGGAGGAAGGAGAGGGAGAGAAGAAGAGGGATTTGGGAGTGGAGCAGGAGGAGGGAGAGGAGGAAGGAGAGGAGGAGGGAGAAGTGGGGGACGATGAGCAAGAGGAGGAGCAAGAAGAGGGGCAAGGGGAGGTGCAAGAAGAGGAAGAGGTATCATTCAATGGGGTATCAGTGCGGGTTCGTCTGGGACAACAGGCCAGTGAACGGCACAGAAGCTTGGGCATGAGCCGGGGTGTGACTATAGCGGGCTGCCAAAGCAAGAGCCAGAGTGTGAGTATAGCAGGGTCTGGCGGCCGTGGCTCAGTGCAGCAGAGAGGTGGGTTTGGTCGAGCTTACCCTGTTTCTTCCGCCTTCCAGGGGGAGAGGCAGGGGCAGAAACAGGGTGAGAGGCAAAAAGGAAGACAGGGGGAGAGGCAGGGGGAAAGGCAAGGGGAGAGACAGGGGGAGGGGCAAGGGCAGAGTTGTCAGGAGAAGACACGGCAGCAGTCACAGGGGTTTCAAAAGCCACGAAACCGCCAGCAGCAGCAGCAGCAGCAGCAGCAGCAGCAGCAGCAGCAGCAGCAGCGCCTGTGGAGTGAGGCTGGTGCGGAATCTTCTGGCAACTGCTCTGCTGGTGCAGGCATGCGCAGCAGTGCTTTTGAAGCACCTCTGAAGTCGTCTCAGTACTCGGGGAAATGCTCTGGTGGGGGGATGAATGTGCGGGGCAGTGTGGGTGCCACTGGGCGATGCAGTGGTAGTGTGAGCAGGAGGTCGGGTAGCTGTGCCCCTGCTGCTCCGGGTTTACTGGGACCGATGGGACCGATGGGACCGATGGGACCGATGGGACCGATGGGACCGATGGGACCGATGGGACCGTACAGCCGCCGTGTACCCATTGAAAGCGCTGCTGCTGGTTCTGCTGCTGCTGGTACCGCTGCCGCTGCTGCTGGGAGTGCTGGTGCTGGGAGTGCTGGTGCTGGGAGTGCTGGTGCTGGGAGTGCTGGTGCTGGTACAGGAGTGCAGGTCGGTGCCCCTCGTACTGTTCCTGGTAACGCCCCTGTGGACGTGGCGAATATGACCAATCGGGCGGCGAGGATTCTGAAAGCTGCAGCAGCTGCTGCTGGTGGCGGCACTGGCTTAAAGGTTACTGGAGCAGGCGTATCTGGTGCAGGTGTATCTGGTGCAGGTGCCACTGCATTCGCAAACCTGGGAAAGAATAGGCTTGGGACCCAAGGTCAAGCAGCCAACTGGCTTTCTAAACCTTCCGCCCAACAACCAATGCTGCCTCCTGCTCCTCCTCCTCGCTCCCATCCTCTTGCCCGTCCCTCTGCTCAGCCCGAGTCGAAAAAACGAAAGAGTCCAGAAGGTGGGAGAGGAGGGGATTGCGGAAGGAGAGGAGGAAGGGAAGGAAGGGGAGGGAGAAGGGATGGTGAAAATAACAACGACGTTGCTGACTGTGTTACCTCCTGCTATCGGGGTCCCTTGGGGGAGACTGAAGGGGTGGAAAAGGAGGGAGGGCGAAAGGTGCTCAGATGCAGTGGAAAGTTTGTTGGTGATGCGGGGAGGAGTAGGAGAGGGGAGGGAAAAGAGAAGGGGGAGAGGAGGGAGAAGAGGAAGGGGGAGACGGGAGAGGAGCGAAGAGAGGGGTTGGAGGTTGTTGGGGATGCTGCGTGGTTGGCTAAGAGACACGGGTTGAGGGTTGGTGGAGGGAAGGGAATGGAGGGAGAGAAGGGGGGGCTGGGGTTGAGAGGAGCAGGAGGAGCAGGAGCAGGAGGTGGTGGAGGAGGAGGAGAGAAGGACCTTTACACTCGGAAAGTGGAGAAGACATTAGAAAAGGCAGGATTGAAAGCAGGGTTAGAGGAAAGGAGAGGAGAAGAGGGGGGCGGCTTGGGACAGGCAAAAGGAATTGGGAAACAAGATGCTTACAGTGGAGGAAGGAAGTTTGTAAACCATCCGTACGGGGATGAGAAGAAGACAAACCTTGTGAGCCAGTTCTCCAAGTGGCACAGCGCCCTGCCGCCCAAAACCTTTCGCCGCCCGATGCAGCAGCAGAAGCTTCCGTTCGGTCTTCCAAGAAGCTCCTCCGGTGGTGGTGCTGGTGCTGGTGCTGGTGCTGCTGCTGCTGCTGGTGCTGCTGCTGGGAAAGGAGGTGCTACTACAGGGGGTGGGAAACGTGCTGCAGGGACTGCTGCTGATGGCATTTTCCGCGATCGACTGAGTGGCAAGGGTAGCGTGAGTAGCACTGGCGCCGCCGCCGCCGCCGCTGCTGCTGCTGCAGGTGCTGCTGCTTCTCTGTCAGTGTCTGTATCAGTATCTGTTCCTGGGGATCTTCCCCCTGATACCTCGGCAGCTGCTTCCGTAGCTGTGCCAGCGGTTCGGGCAGGTGGGCAGGCCGACGGACCTGTGGTTCGGAAATCAGGCTCGGGCAGCGGAGGGTTCATGCTGATTGGTCGGCAGAGCAGCCTCGGCAGGCTGGTATTGACTCAAGAAAGCAGCAGGGAAGGGGGGGTTGGGGGGGACCAAGCGAATGGGTCGAATCAGGAAGGTGATGCTGATGTTGATGCTGATGCTGATGCTGATGCTGATGCTGCGGCACGAGAAACTACCAATAATGGTCAAGACAATGAAGAGAGCGGAAAAACTGGTGCAGCAAGCACAGCAGCAGCCACAGTACCAGCAGTGACGGCAGCAACGGCAGCAACAGCAACGGTTACCACATCGGTAACAAGGCGATGGGACCTTGCAGGGGCGTCTGAGACCACAGGAGGTGTGGAGTACTCAAGGGGAGATGCACGAAGTGCTAAGCCTCCTGCTGCAGACATTTTCTTAGACTCCCTGGCAGATATGCTGCTGGGGGAGAGTGATGCTGCTGGCCCAGCGCCCCTGACTGCTACTGGGTGGATTAACCGCCGTCAGCCGTCCCTTGGGGCTGCTACTGGTGGTGCCGCTGCCATTGCTGCTGCGAATGCTGCGGCTTCTGCTCCTCCTGCTGCTGCTGCTGCTAGTGGTGGTGGCGCTGCCACTGCTGCTGCTGCTCCTGAATCTGACGCTGCTGCCGCTGATCCTTTCTTAGGGTCTTTGGCAGGGATGCTGCTGGGGGAGAGTGATGCTGCTGCCCCAGCGCCGCTGACTGCTTCTGGGTGGATTAACCGCCGTCAGCCGTCCCTTAGGGCTGCTACTGCTACTGCTACTGCTACTGCTGGTGGTGGTGGTGGTGGTTCTGCCACTGCTGCTGTTGCTCCTGACTCTGCCGCTGCTGCCGCTGATCCTTTCTTCGGGTCCCTGGCAGGGATGCTGCTGGGGGGGAGTGACGCTGTTATTCCAGCGCCGCTGACTGCTAGTGGGTGGATTAACCGCCGTCAACCTTGCCTTGCGGCTGGTAGTGGTGGTGGCGCTGCCACTGCTGCTGATTCTCGCGCTGCTGCTGCTCCTGATGTTTCTCGTGCTGCTGCTGGTGGTTACGCTGCTGCTGGTGGGGAGGGTGGGAACGAGCAGCAGGCACAGAAACAGGGGGGCGACAGAGAGGAGGCGGAAGAGAGGGAGCAGGAAGCGGAAGGAACAGCATTTGCAACAGGAATGCAGACGATATTTGAGGGGAATAAAAGGGTGGAGCAGGGGGAGAAGGAGGTGGAAGAGAGGGGGAAATCAGAGGAAGGAGCGGAAACAGCAGCAGCAGCAGGAGCAGCAGCACACGCGAAAGCAACAGGAGAAACGGAAGCATCAGCAGCAGCGGAAAGAGCAGAAGAATTGGAAATAGCAGCAGCAGCAGGAACGCGGATGGGCCTCAGGCGTGGACGCAAGCCCACGAAGCCTTGCAAGATTGAGCTGCGACGCCCCAAAAGGTTGGGGAAAGGGAAGGGAGAAGTGGAAAGGGAGGAGGGAGAGGAGGAAGAGGGGGAGCAGCGAGAGGAAAGAGAGGAAGCAGCGATGAGCCTCAGGCGTGGACGCAAGCCCACGAAGCCTTGCAAGATTGAGCTGGGACGTCCCAAAAAGGTGGGGAAAGGGAAGGCGGTGGAAGAGGAGGAGGACGTGAAGGAGGTGGAAGGGAGGGAGGAAGTGAAGGAGGTGGAAGGGAGGGAGCATTTTAGGGAAGAAGCAGAGGCGGTGGGAGCAGGGATGAGTCTCAGACGCGGACGCAAGTCTGGGAATCCTCATAAGCTGGTACCGGAGCGGCCTAAGGGGGTGGGGAAAGTGAAGGGGGGAGAAGTGGAACGTAAGAGAGGAGGGAAAGCCAAAGGGAAGGCGAATGAAGAGAATGAGAATGGAAGAAATGGTTCCCCTCGCTGCACGCGGTCACGAGGGAGAGCAGAGGAGGAAGAGAAGGAAGAGGAGGAAGAGAAGGAGGAGGTGGAAGAGAAGGAAGAGGAGGTAAAGGGGGAAGAGGAGGAGCGAAGGGAGAGGAGAAGTGGCAATGGAAAGACGAGGAATTCAAATCAAGGGGCAAGAAAGAAGGGCGACGCTGATGTTGGGGGTCGTTCCACGCCCCACACGCGATCACGAGGGGGAGTAGAGGAATCTGGGAATTTGGGCAGGGGAATGGTTACACGACAACGGATGGTTACGGGGGCTAGTATGCAGGGGATAGCTGGAAAGCGCGGGGTGCAGATAGGAGAGAAGCGAGGGCAGGGAGTGAGGCGAGGAGTGGGAAGAGGAGGGAAGGGAAGGGGGGGAAGGGTGCGAGGTGAGAGAGGGAATAAGGGGGTGGAACAGGTGGAAGGGGGAGAGGGGGAAAGTGAAGTGGAAGAGGTAGGAAAGGAGGGGGAGGAAGAAGAAAGGAAGGGTGAGGAGGAGGAGAGAGAGGAGAAAGGAGATGGTGGGGAGGAGGAGGAAAGGAAAGGAGAGGAGGAGAAGAGAGAGGAGAAGGCGAAGGGAGGGGAGGATGAGATGGAAGAGGAAGAGAAGAGCGAGGAGGAAGGCCAAGGGGAGGCACAAGAGCAGGGAGCTGGGTTGAAGGGAGGTGATAGAGGGAATGATGATGGGGGGAAAGATGGGGGAAAGGGCGGGGGAAACGACAGTGGTAACGATGGGGAGAATGACGGAAAGGGAGGTGAAAATGGTGGGAAGGGGACAGAGAGAGTGAAATATCAAGGTGGGCAAGAGGAGAGGGGAAGGAAAGGGGGAACTGCGGATGGGGAGACGAGAGAAGGGCATGGGAGGGGGGAAAGGGAAGGGGACGGGAAAGAAGGGGAGGAGATGGAAGAAGGAGAGGAAAGGGAAAACGGAGTAGAAGAATGGGGAGGGAATGAGGGAGAGGATGCTAAGAAGGAAGAGAAGGACTTCCGAACTGGGAAGAACGGAGAATGTGAGAATGATGAGTGGCGGGTGGGGGGCAGAAAAGAGGAGGAGAGGGAGGAGGAAAGCGAGGAGAAAACGGAGGAGGAGAAACGAGAAGAGGACAGGTTGGAGGAAAGGGAGGCAAGTATAGAGGAGGGGAGGATGGAGGACGAAGAGAAAGGAAGGGATGAACAGAAGAAGTTTGTGGATGGAATCAATGGTGAGGGAGAGGAGGAGGCGGAGGGGGAGACGGAGGAGGATGGGGAGGCGAAGGAGAAAGAGGAGGAGGAAGAGGAGGAGGAGGAGAAGAAAGACGAGGAGAAAGATGCGGGGGAAGAGGAGAAAGAGGAGGGGGAAGAAGAGGGGGAAGAGGGGGCGAAAGAGGAGTCGAAAGAGGAGGATAAAGAGGCAGAAAACGAGAGGGAGGAAGAGGAAGATGAGAATGGGGAGGCAGCAGGGGTGAAAGAGGAAGGGGAGGAGGAAGGGACGGGGGGTGGGGATGGGTCGGAGGTTGGGGAAAGGGGCCAAGGAGAGGGAGAAGCTGCGGGTGAGGAGAAAGGAGATAAGGAAGATGAAGAGGAGGTAGAGGAAGAGAAAGGGGAGGAGGAGGAAGAGAAAGGGGAAGAGGAGGAGGAGGGTGAGGAAGGGAACGAGGGTGAGCAAGAAGGTGGAGGGGAGGAGGGTGAGAAAAGGGAAGAGGGAGAGAAGGCAAGGAAAGAAGAGGTGGAAGGCGAAGAAGGGAAAAATGGAGAGGAGGAGATGGAGGAAGGGGAAGAGGGAGAGGAAGTGGAGGAAGAGAAAGAGGAGGGGAAGGGTGATGAAGGCGAAAAGGGAGAGGAGGAAGGGAAAGAGGAGGTGGAGGAAGGGGAAGAGGGAGAGGAAGTGGAGGGAGGGAAAGAGGAGGGGAAGGGTGATGAAGGGGAAAAGGGACAGAAGGAAAGGAGAGACGAGGTGGAGGAAGAGGAAGTGGAGGGATGGAAAAAGGAGGGGGAGGAAGAGAAAGAGGAAGGGGAGGAAAGGGAGGAAGGGGAGGAGGGAGAGGAAATGGAGGAAGGGAAAGAGGAGGTGGTGGAAAGGGAAGAGGGAGAGAAATTGGAGGGAGGGGAAAAGGAGGTGGAGGGCGAGGAAGGGGAAAAGGGAGAGGAGGAAGGGAAAGAGGAGGGTGAGGAAGTGGAAGATGGAGAGAAGGAAGAACGAGAGGAGGTGGAAGACGGGGAAGAGGGAGAGGAAGTGGAGGGTGAGGAAGAAAGGGTCCTGAACTTAGTGGATGGTATTGAGGAAGGGGAGGAGTGTGAGAGAGGGAAAGAGGGAGAGGAGGAAAGGGAAGAGGAGGTGGAGAAAAGGAAAGAGGAGGTGGAGGAAAGGAAGGAGGAGGCGGAGGAAGGGGAAGAGGGAGAGGAGGAAGGGAAAGAAGTTGACGGTGAGGGTGTGGAAGAAGAGCTCCTGATTGCAATGGAGGATATCGAGCAAGGGGAGGAGAATGCGGAAGAGGGAGATAACAAGGAAGAGAGAGAGGAAGAGGGTCGGGAGATAGAGCAAGGAGAGGAGGAAACGGAAGTGAAAGAGGAAGAGGGTCACGAGGAAGAGCATGGGGAGGAGGAAGCGGAAGAGGGAGAGGAAGAAGGAGAGAAAGAAGGAGAGGTTCAGGAGATTGAGGAGCGAATTGAGAAAGCGGGAGTTGGAGTGAGAGGGACATCTGGAGCAAGCTCTGGGGGGAGAGAAGAGCAGCGAAATGGGGAAGGGCAAGAGGGACGTGAGGAGGAAGAGGAGCAGGAAAGGAAGGATGAGTTGGCAAACGAGGGAGCGGAAGAGGAAGAGGAAGAGAGAGAGGGAGAGGCGAAAAAAGAGGGAGGACTGGAGGAAGAAGGTGTGATGCATCGAGCGACAGAGAAGGAGCGAAGGGAGATGGAGCACGCGGAGGATGTTGGAAAGCAGCAGAAGGGGAGGGAAAACGGGAAGGAGGGGGAGGAGACTGAGGGAAGTGGGGAGAAGCGAAGCAGTGCGCAGGTGCAGGGAGGTGGAGAGGGGGAGGATGGTGTGGGAGGGACGGTGGGATGCAGGAAAAGAAGAAGGGAAGAGGGTGATGGGGGTAGGGAGGGGGGCGTGGAAGAGGAGAGGCAGCCTAGTTGTATGGTTGCTCAAGGGATGAGTGAGGGAGGAGCAGGGTTGCATGCAGGGGCAGAAAAGTTACCTGAGGAGGGAGTTGAGAATGGGAAAAAGGGAGGAGCAGGAGCAGGAGCAGGAGCAGGAGTGGAGAGTGATAATGCAGGGTCGACCATGCATGAGGAGGACGAGGTGGTTGGAGGGACGAAGAAGAAACGAAGGACAGTCCAGGGCCGCGTATCAACTCTGGTGGATTCACCTCAGGGATCGTCTCAGCACACGAAAAAGAAGACAGTGCAGAGTGGCAAAGCAAAGAGTGTTGATGCTGAGTCCCCTCAGGGATCGTCTCAGCGCACAAAAAAGAAGACAGTGCCGAGCAACGTAGCACCGCTGGTTGAGTCGCCTCAAGGATCGTCTCAGCTCACTAAAAAGAGGGTGGTGCAGAGCAGCATAGCAGCACTTTTCCTGAGAAGAGCTGGGGGAAAGCCTGTGAGTCAGTCGAGAAAAGGGGGTGTGGGAGCGGGGGATGTGGGAATGGGGGGTGTGGAAGCGGGGGGTGTGGGAGGGGGGGGTATGGAAGCAGGGGGTGTGGGAGCGGGGGTTTTGGGAGAGGTAGAGAGGGGGAGCCATCAGCAGGGAGACATGCAGGGAGCGACGTGTGGGGAGGAAGCAGCAGTGGGAGTGAATGGGGTGGCTTGTGCGAAGGCAGGAGGGGGGGGTGCAGGGACGAGGACGGAAGGGGGAAGTGCAGATGCGAAGGCAGGTGGGGGGAGTGCTGATGCGAAGGCAGGTGGTGCAAGTGCTGGGGCAAGGACGGGTGGAGGGAGTGCGGGGAGGAAGACGAAGGGGCGGTTGCAGGATATTCGACAGTGGTTGGGAGTGGTGGTGGATGGCGGGAAGAGGTTGGAAGAAGGTAAGGGAGAGAGAGGAGGGCTGGAGGGAAGGAATGGAGAGGGACAGAGAGGAGGGCTGGGAGGAGGGGATGGAGGAGGAATGGGAGGAGAGGAAGGAGGAGGGGATGGAGGGCATAAACGGAAGAAACCGTCGAAGGGGGGAGAGAAGCAGGAAGCGTTGGAGAGGGGAGGGCAGGAAGAAACGGGGAAGGTGCTTGCTTTGAGACGCCTCATATCACAGGAGTGGCGCATGGATCCTCAAGCCGTGTCATCTTCCCTCAACAGCAACAGCAGCGCCGCTGGTGCTGCTGCTTCTATCAGTAACTGTACTCCCACCACCAACAATACCAACCCCAACAACAACGCCACCCCCAATAGAAACACCAAGCGTGCGTCCAAAAAAGCTGCCAGTAGAATCAAATCTGTGGCTGCTGGGGCTGCTGGTGGTTCGCGGCCACCTCCCTTCAACCCCTCCCACAAGCTCACTCCTCAGAAGCGACAAGCTGACTGTCTCTCTGCAATAGCTCCTTCCTTCTCGGACCACTCCTGCTCGCCTCCTCTTACTCATGCCCCCTCTCCCCCTCCCCAGATGGGTGTTGAGAAATCTGGAAAAGCAGCTCCCTCATTCTCTGACCACTCCTGCTCCCCTCCTCTTCCTCATACGGATTGCTGCACCCCTCAAAAGCGACAAGCTAGTCGCCTACATTCCCCTTCACCTGCTTCTCCTCCTGCTTTGCCTCCTGCGTCTCCCGCTTCTTCTTCTCCTCCGCCTGCTCCCTCTCCTCCCTCTGCTCCCCCTGCTCCCCGTGTTCCCGCTCCTCCTTCTGCCCCCCCTGCTGCCCCTTCCCCCCCTGCCCCTCCTGCTCCTTCTGCACGTGGGAAGGCATTGGAAACGCCTCTAAACCCCTGTGAGAAGGGTGCAGCTGAGGGATCATGTGAGAAAGAGAAGGGTTCTCAGAGAAAGCTTGGCCCGCTAGCCTCTCTTTTTCACAGGCGCCAACAGTCTCGTGCCGCGCTGCCTGCTCCTGCTACTGTCCTTCCCACTACCCCTCCCTCTGCCCCTCCCATCTCTCAGCCCATTGCCCCAGCCTCATCTCTCGACATGAACACTGTTCCTTTCACCCATCCAGCCGCCACAGCACCAACCCCTCCTCTCGCCTTCCCTTCCGTTCCTATCACTCGCCCGCATTTTGTGCCGCAAGAGTTTACGAGCCTACACGTTTTCGCCGACCCTGCCACTGTGCCTGTCACCGTGCCTATCACCAAGCCACCTGCTGTACCTGGTGGTGCTGCTGAACCTGATCCTGGCGCTGCTGGTCACAAGCTCGGGGGAGGTTCGGGGAAAGCTGGGGCGGGAAAGGAGGTGGTAACTGGCACGGGTTTACCTGGTGTGGGTGATGTTGTGGTGGGGTTAGGGAGCGAGGGGAGTGGGGGTGTGGGTGAGGGGGTGGCAGTGGAAAAAGGCTCTCTGGGCCTGAAACGAGTGACTGCTGCTGATCGTGAGAAGACGGGCGGTGATTCTTCAAAGATGATTGCTCAAGCTGAAAGGATGCGGGAGGAGAGAGGGGGAGGGAAGGGGGAAGGGATGGGAGGAGGGGGAGGAGGGATGAAGAAAGAAGTGACGGAAGGGGTTTCAGGAGCGGGGATGGAGGAAGGAGGAAGGGGAGGGGTTTCAGGTGCCGCTGTTCGCTTGATGGGTTTCAACTTGATGCTCTCTCAAACACCAGTCACCACCACCACCCCTGCGGCTGTTGCATCACCACTCTCTGCACGTCCTTGTCTCAACCGCACGCCACCCCAAAACCCAGCCGCTTCCCCCTCCCACGCCTCTCGCTCCCGTCTCTCCCTCTCCTTTGTCTCTGACGTTGCTCTTCCCGGTGCCTTGGACCCTTTAATCGGCTCGCAAGATAGCCTGGTAAGGAGCTACTGGGAGCATGCGGTTTTTGAGTCTCCTCAGAAGTCTATAAATAAGTCGGCTCAAAAAGGTACCAGGGATTCGGCTCAAAAGGCTGTGTCTGAGTCGCCCCAGGAAGCTGTTCCTGGGTCGCCTCAAGTATCTATCTGCTCTCAAGACAGTCTGGTGAGAAAGTACTGGGAGGGGATGGGAGGGGCGACAGTGGAGGGGTGTGAAAGAGAGGAGGAGTGAGAGGGGAGAGCGAAGGGAGGGAAAGGGGAGGATGCGGCGGGCGGAGGAGATTGGAGGGGAGGAGTTATTGAAATGAGGAGCGCCCGTGGTTTATTCACACAGGCGAATACTGTCAGATCACAGGCGAATTTCGGCGTCGCTTGTGAGACGTTTGCTCCAGCTGCTATCCCACCAGTTGGCAATACACCGGGCATTATCACTCCAGGGGCTAACATTCGGGCTATTATCTCACCAACTGCTAGCACACCTGGTACTATCACATCAGGTGCTAACACTCCGGTTACTATCACACCAGGTGCTAACACTGGGGGTAGTAACACAAATGCTCATATCATGTCAGGTCCCATCACACCGGTTCCTCTCGCTCCCATGGCAAAACCTGCTAACACTCCGGTTGCTATCACACCAGGTGCTACCACTTTGGTTACTAACACACCAGCTCATATCATGTCAAGTCTCATCACACCAGTTTCTCTTGCTCCAATCGCAGCAGCTGCTATCGCACCAGCTGGTAATACACCAGGCACTAACGCATCAGCTGCTAACACTCTGGGTACTATGGCACCTGCTGTTCACACGTCAGGTATTACTAACACATTCGCGCATATCATGTCAAGTCCCATCACACCAGTTCCTCTTGCCCCGGTTGCAGCAGCTGCTGCTTTTGCATTCGCTGGTTTCGCTGGTGCTTGGGGTTGCACCACGCAGCAACAACAGGGGCAGCTGCAGCAGCAGCAGCAACAGGGGCAGCAGCATTTGCAGCAGCAACTTCAGCAGCAGCTGCAGCAGCAGCAGCACCATCAGCACCACTGGCAGCAGCACCAGCAGCACCAGCAACAGCAGCAACAGCAGCAGCAGCCTCATCAGAAAATGCAAGCAACCATTCAAAATCAACCGCAGCAGCAGAGTGAGCTTCAGCGAAATGTTTCACAGCCAGTGCACCACAGTCATTCAGAACCACAGGAGCAAGGCCAGCAGCAGATGCAACAGATGCAGCAGAGGGTTGTGCAATCAGTGCAATCAGTGCAACCAGTGCAATCAGTGCAACCAGTGCAATCAGTGCAACAGCACAGTCATCCAGAACCACAGGAGCAAGGCCAGGAGGAATGCTCCTTGGCAAAACCGAAGGCAGTGAGGGGAAAGGCAAAGAAAGCGTTGAGAATGCAGCCGTCACAGCAGCAGCAAGAGGAGCAGCAGCAGCAGCAGCAGCAGCAGCAGCCGAGTGTTGTACAGCCAGTGCAGCAGCACATTCATCCAGACACCCAGGAGCAAGTCCAGCAGCAATGCTCCCTGGCAAAGCCCGCAAAACCGAAAGCAGTGAAAGCAAAGCCAAGGAAAGCATCGAGAATGCAGCCGGCACAGCAGAAGCAAGAGGAGCAGCAACAGCAGCAGCAGCAGGGTGTTGTACAGCAACACCAGGTTGGTCCAGAAACACAGGAGCAAACCCTGCAGGAACCATCTTTGACAAAGCCCAAGGAAGTGAAAGCAAAGCCAAGGAAAGCATCGAGAAAGCAGGCACCACAACATAAACAGGAGGAGCAACAACAGTGTTGGCTGCAGCAACAGCAGCAGCAGCAGCCATTGCAGCAGCAACAACAGCAGCCGCTGCAGGGAGCAGTGGTAACACACGCTGCTATCGGTACAGCAGCCTCCTCATTGCAGCAAGCCGGGTTCCGACCTTATATGAGTCGGCACCAGCAGCAGCAGCAGCAGCAGCAGCCTGCATTGGGTGTGACAATGGTGCAGCAGCAGCCACAGCAGCAGCAGCACCACCACCAGCAGCAGCAGCAGCAGCCACAGCAGCAGCAGCAGCAGCAGCAGCAGCAGCAGCAGCAGCAGCAGCAGCAGCAGCAGCAGCAGCAGCAGCAGCAGCAGCAGCAGCAGCAGCAGCAGCAGCAGCAGCAGCCTGCATTGGGTGTGACAGTGGTGCAGCAGCAGCCACAGCAGCAGCAGCAGCAGCAGCACCACCACCACCACCACCAGCCACTGCAGCAGCACAACCTAGGAGCTACACAAGCCACTTTTTCTCAACAGCATGATCATCATCATCAGCAGCAGCAGCATCAGCCGCAGCAGCAGCACACCCTAGGAGCTACACATGCCACTTGTATTCAACAGCATCAGAAGCAGCAGCAGCAGCAGCAGCAGCAGCAACAGCAGCAGCAGCAGCAGCAGCAGCAGCAGCAGCACCATCACCATCAGCAACAGCAGCATCAGCATCAGCATCAGCATCAGCAACAGCAACAGCAACAGCAACAGCAACAGCATCAGCAACAGCACCAGCACCAGCACCAGCAACAGCAACAGCAACAGCAACAGCAGCAGCAGCAGCAGCAGCAGCAGCAGCAGCAGCAGCAGCAGCAGCAGCAGCAGCAGCAGCGGCAACAGCATGAGCAACAGCAACAGCAACGGCATCAGCAACAGCAACAGCATCTGCAACAGCATCAACAACAGCTGCATCATCAACATTATCATCACCACCAGCAGCAGCAGCAACATAATCTAGGAGCTACACGGACCACTTGTATTCAACCGAACGGCACCATCGCTCCAACACATATGAACCTCAGCCCATCTCTTCCGAACCTCAATCCAGCTCAACCAAACCTCAGCCCAGCCCGCCCGAACCTAAGCCCGGCCCATTTGAACCTAAGCCCAGCTCACCCCAACCTCCTCACCCAAGCTCAACCGAACCTCAGCTCACCTCGCCCGAACCTCAGCCCTTCCCAACCAAGCCCCGTGCCTGCTCGGCCGAGCCTGAACGCCCTAGAGGTGTTTCGTGCAGCGGTGCGAAGGGCACAGGAGATGAAGGGGGCGCCAGGGTACATTAATGAGGCGTTGGAGCAACTGGTGCCGGCACTGATGCATCACGGGGGGAGAGGCGCCGAGGCAGCAATGAGAGTGGTGCTGCTGCAGCGATGGCTGGATTCGACACAGGAGTATGAGACCGATGACTGAAGCGGGCGGTGCAGAGGGCACAGGAGTTGTGGGGGGTGCGAGTGGTGCTCCTGCAGCGATGGCTGGATTCGACACAGGAGTATGAGACCGATGACTGAAGTAGGAGGGGAGGCGAGCACAGGAGGTGGGGAGAGCAGCAGGAGATGAAGGGGGCGCCAGGGTACATTAATGAGGCGTTGGAGCAACTGGTGCTGGCACTGATGCATCACGGGGGAAGAGGCGCCGAGGCAGCAATGAGAGTGGTGCTGCTGCAGCGATGGCTGGATTCGACACGGGAGTATGGGGCCGATGACTGAAGCGGGCGGTAGGGGGAGGAAATATCTCTTACAGCTGATGTGGCTATGCGAGTGGCCCTCCTGCGGCGATGGCTGGATTCAACACAGGAGTATGAGACCGATGACTGAAGTGGGCGGTGCAGAGGGCACAGGAGTTGTGGGGAGTGCGAGTGGTGCTCCTGCAGCGATGGCTGGATTCGACACAGGAGTATGAGACAGATGATTGAAGCAGGCGGTGCGGAGAGCACAGGAGATGAAGGGGGCGCCAGGATACATCAATGAAGCGTTGGAGCAACTGGTGCCGGCACTGATGCATCACGGGGGAAGAGGCGCCGAGGCAGCAATGAGAGTGGTGGTGCTGCAGCGATGGCTGGACTCGACACGGGAGTATGTGATGAGACCGATGACTGACGCTTGAAATCGGCATGGGTCGGGTCGGGTGTATTGAGCTTGCGTGTTGGTTGGGATAGTTTTCCCTCTCGTCTTTCCTCCGCTTTGTTGGTCGGGTTGGGTATTCAGCAGTAGCGTTTTGTGGCCTATGGTCGGGGAACCCTTGGGGAGGTGGTTCCAGCAGGTCGCATATACAGGATAGTACACTGACTCGATTTAATTTACACTCTGCTAGTTGTACAGTACCAGATTTTATGTATTCACATTCCGTGCTTATGTTGCAAACATATGAACTAAAGTGATATAGTACTCTTAAAAGTGCATTAAAACTGCTGCATGTGTCACACTAATCCGCTGAAGGTAGATGCGCGGAATACTCTCTACTCTGTACCATATACGCATGACAGCATGCGTGAAGTTATGGTGGCGTTACACCGAGTGTTGTTTTGAGAGATGAACAACACGACTTGCCATTTGCATGGCATGAGGGAAGTACTCTCTACCATCTGCTCAGGACAATGAGGGAGGAGGGGGAGAAGAGATGAAGGAAGGAACAGAAGATGTTAGAGAACAAGCATTGCCCCTCTATGAACAACGTGAGTTGCCATTTGCATGGCATGGGGGAAATACTCTCTTCCATCTGCCAGGAGAACGAGGAAGGAAGGGAAGAATGGATGAAAGGAGGAACGGGTGATGCTTGAGCACGTGGTTTAGCAGATGAAACAGCTAATACACGCTCTGCCTCTCCTCGAACCTTCAAGAGCCTTGGGCAAGTGCCACATGCATATTCAAAATGCATATACACAGTCAGGAGGAAAGAGCACAACTCACATATGAGCACGTGGTTTAGCAGATGAAACAGCTGGTACACGCACTGCCTCTCCTCGAAGCCTGCCGCCTTGGGAATCACTTCACGATATGCGCTGTAGAAAGAATCGGCTACATGGTGGGAGGAAAAGGAGATGTGAGAGCAGGGCGGTAATACGTGGTGAAGAAGATGAAACAGCTGATGCGCATATCCTAAGACGATGGAGAAGGACGAAAGAAGAGCATACAAGGGCAAGGAGGGAAGGAGGAAATACGAGGAAGGAGAAAGAAGGACGAGAGTAAACAAAAGCAAGAAAAAGAAGGGAACGTGAGGGGGGAAAGAGGACAAGAGGAAGCAAGACTTACTGAAGCCAGGAAAGCCAGGAGCCGGCTTCCAGCCTCTGAACGCCAGATCTGATTTGTGTTGGAGGCGGGAGGAGGAGGCACAGGGAATGAATTACACTTGAATCAAAAGGACCTGGTAAATCACCACACTAAATCCAGTATTAGGATGTTACCTGGGTTACTCAGAATTCGGTGTGGTGTGCAGATGTAAATCACCACACTAAATCACCACACTAACTCAGGTTTAAGAATAAACAAGGGTTACTGCACCGAATTCAGAGTGCCCAAAGAATCCTGCCGGGAGAAACATCACCGTCTCGCCCGATAAATGAGGTGCCTTAAAAGGTGTTCAGTATGTTACATGCATGTTACCGCACGGAATTCTTAGATGCATGTTACCGTACCGAATTCAGAGTGCCCGTAGAATCCTGCTGGGTCAAACATCACCGCCTCGCCCGATCGAAGCACACCCGCATTGCCCACCTGGTGACGGATTGGGGGAAGGGAGGGGGGGCAGGCAAGGATGGAAGGTACGTAACGCTTTGAGTTGACTTAGAAGAAGCCTGCGCGGTCACCCGCCTCGCCTGATTGAAGCACACCCGCATTGCCCACCTCATGATGGGTAGGGAAGGGGAGGTGCGGACGAAGAAACACCAATGCAGGGACAAAGCAGGCAGGTAGGTAGGTGTGGGATTGATTAACCGATGACACGTGTTGCAAAACAGAAAAACATGCCCAAAAGCCATGTGGGTTTTATGCGCCTTGCAATGTATACACTGTAAGAAAACAGTGTGGTGAATGAGGAAAGGATTCGTAACGATGATAAGCGCAGACATTTTTGCACAAATCCAGAATAATTGTGGTTTACCCAAAGGTCTCCATGAAGCAGGCTCGGCCGAACCTCCGCCATAGCTTCAGTTGTCAGGATCCGCTCAGCCGCCTCAACCAGGCTCGGGACGATGTCCCGAAGCTCCCGAGCCTCGTCGCCGAACCTAGCCAGAACTCGCTGGAGTAGAGAACCATCAGATGAATGTAGGGATGTGCATAGGCACTATAATAACTAAAAAATGGGTGTACATGCAATAATGTAGAAGCGAGGCCAGGAGGACGGATGGTGTGGCGGAATGTTGACCAGGGCACAAAGCGAAGCAGTAGGCAAGGGAACGCTTGCAGTCAATACAACACAGGCCGTGGGTTGTTAAGAAAAAGAAACATACATCAAGCCGGACTTGGAGGCGGTGGAGGCGGTGCGTGAGGAAGAAGTGAGGCCAGGAGGAGCAGAGGGGGATGTTGAACCAGCGGGCAAGGGAACACTTGCAGTCAATACAACACAGGCCGTGGGTTGTTGAGAAAAAGAAACGCACGTCGAGGCGGTCTTGCAGGCGGTGCGTGAGGAAGAAGAGAGGCCAGGAGGGGAAGAGGGGGGTGTGTTGACCAGGGCACAAAGCGAATAGCGGGGAAGGGGACGCATGCATTCAGTGGCCATGGTTTGGCAAGGGACGTACGTCGAGGCGGTCTTGCAGGCGGTGGGTGAGGAAGAAGCAAGGCCAGGAGGACGAGAGGGGTGTATTGACTAGAGGCATTACACCGAGCCTAAGGGAGAGGGGCATGGGGTTTAGAGGGACAGTGAAGGGAGAGAAAAGGCGAAGAAGAAGGAGAGGGGTCTGCTGACTAGAGGTATTACACCCAGGCTGGAAGAGGGGGCAAAGGGGAATGACATATGTGTACAATACAGACAAATATATGCTTTCTTCTTTTTCCATGACACACATAGCCAGTACTGGATGGGAGTGTTGCATAAGAAACACAGATTCATGTATCTGTACCGTGTGGGCGAGTTGAAACCGAACTGAACCCCAGGCACAGAAGATGACACGAGGTGCAGCTGTGCCAGTGACCGGCCTAGCTGCTCCTGATTGGCTGGATCCATCTGAAATGACACAAGGGCAATTTGACAAGTTGGTAGGACAAGAAGTGTGAGATGATGATTTGGTGGGGGTAGCAAGGCAATGTAGAGTCGTTGGTTGGTGGGGGTGGCAAGGCAAGCAGGGAAATGATACTGCATAACCTAATATCGAGTCAAGCCACATTATACTGGCGTTTGGGCTTTTAGGTCGCACCATGGCAAATGAGCGCAGCTGCAAGTGCTCCATGATTATGGATGACCCTCCATGGGACTCGCTACTGGGCGTGGGCTTTAAGGTTGCAAGGTCGCACGCACTATGGCCAATGGGCTGCAAGTGCTCCATGACTATGAATGACCCTCGATGCATGAGACTCGCTGCTGGGTTTAAGTGGCACCCAGAGTTACTAAAGGATACTACCGAACCTACTATCGAGTCACACTATACTGGGGGCTGGGGGCATTGGGGTTACACCATGGCGAATGGTTGCAGCTGCAAGTGCTCCATGATTATGTATGATCCCCGGTGCATGCTACTTGCCTGCCTGCCTACTACTGAATCACACTGTATTATACTGTGCGCCGGATTTGGATTTGAAGGATGTACCATGGCGAATGGGCGCAGCTGCAAATGCTCCATGATTATGTATGATCCCCAGTGCGCCTCGTTGCTTGGGGTAGTGGCAGAGGAGGGGGGAGAAGAGGAGGAGGAGGAGGAGGAGGAGGAGGAGGCGGTTCGAAAGTCCCCTGTTGCGATTGGCTGAGGCACTCGCACAGTCGCCGTTGCTGCAATTGCTGACAGGCTGGCAGGGGAGGGGGATTGGGAAGGAAGGGGGATTGGGAAGGAAGGGGGATTGGGAAGGAAGGGTGATGGGGATGGGGAAGGAAGGGGGATTGAGAAGGAAGGGTGATGGGGATGGGGAAGGAAGGGGAACAGGAAGAAGCGGTGAGTGATTGGGATATGGAAATGCATGAGGCATGGGGAGGGGCACGGGGAGGGGCATGGGGAGGGGCATGGGGAGGGGCATGGGGAGGGGCACGGGGAGGGGCATGGGGAGGGGCACGGGGAGGGGCATGGGGAGGGGCATGGGGAGGGGCATGGGGAGCGGCATGGGGAGGAGGGTGTGGAGGAAGGAGAGGGGTGAGGAGGAGAGGGGTGAGGAGGAGAGGGGTGGGGTGGAGAGGGGTGGGGTGTAATGGGGGAAAATGGGTTTGTGATTGGAACTTGGGAGCATGATGCATGTATACGAATAGCACGTGAATGGGCACATGAAGGATAATGAATGCGGCGTGGGAGGGCATGGGAAGGGGCATGGGAAGGGGAATGGGGCGATAGAAGTACTGTGCCTGAGGCGTATCAGAAAGGCACGGCACTCACATCTGCGCTTCCCCTTCAAACATCTCGCTCGCTCTGAAGCTCCTGTACGGTCGAATGCACGGGCGAATGCACGGGCGAATGCACGGGCGAATGCACGGGGGCGGATGGATGTATACGGTTTACACATGGAGAAAGGGGTTTAAGGGAGAGGGGTTTAGGGAAAGGCATGGGCGAATGCATGGACGAATGCATGGGGGCGGACAGAGGGAACAGGGGGTGATGCTAGAAAATGGGAGAACGTGCCACGTGGGTTGGGCATGATTGCCTCCTCATATGCAGAGAAAAGGGGGATTACCCCCTCCTCTCTCCATCCTCTCCCCATCCTCTCCCCATACTCTCCCCCTCCTCTCACCTGTTCACTTTCACAAAAACCGTCCTCAGGCCCCCATCTCCCCCTTCCCCACCCCTCTCTCCACCGTCCCCTCTCTCCCCTCCCGTTTCCCCCCGCCTGTAGCTTATAGCGTACGACTCATTAATGCATCCACTAAAATGCACCTCTCTCACTCGCTCCACGTCCCCCACCCCCCCATCTCCGCCCTCATTCCCCCACAACTCTCCCCCCCACTCTTCCCCCCGCTCCCCCTCGCTTTCCCCCACGTCCGCGCGCCTGACCGCCTCCATTATTTCCGCCAGCTCCGCGTCTTTCAAGCCCCCCCCCCTTCCTCCCCCTCTTCCCCCGCCCCGTGCGCCGCGGTCCCCGCCGGTCCTGCCACCGCGCCGTCCGCCCAACCTGCCGCCCAGCCGCCCTCCAGCCGCCGACGTTGACGCTGAGCCTCCCGCATCCGACAGATCTTGCCGTCCAGAGCCCCACGCCTCTCCCGCGGAGGGACTGGCGCTGAGTTCCGGATCGGACGGCTGAGACGCGTCCGGGGCATCACCAGTCAGGCTGACGTCATCGTCCGGCAGAGCTGACGTCACGGCGAGAGAATCGGTGTCAAATTCGAACCACGAACCCCCTGTTACCCACTCCGCATCACCCCCCTTCCTCTCTCTTCCCCCTCCGCGTCCCCCTGCACTTCCCGCTCCGCTCTTCCCGCTGCTGCTCGTAGTCGCCCTGATTCGACGTCTATCATTGGCATTGCGCGGAAACACCGTAACTGTAACGGGTGGGGCAAGACGAGGGACACATTTGCACTGAGGCCATGCCCATGTGGTTGATAAAGCCATTTGAGAAACACAGCCGGAGGAAGAATGCTGGATTTGAACTTTAAAAAGTATCAATATTTTAATGCTCGGGAAGGAAACAGCCGCCCTAGCTCAGTTGGTAGAGCGCAAGGCTCTTAACCTTGTGGTCGTGGGTTCGAGCCCCACGGGCGGCGCGCCTATTAGCATCATCTAATTGCTGTGTGAAACCTAATTGTGATGTGAAGTCCAGTCGACAATATTTATCCGTTTCTTTGTCGAACTTTGTCGCCACGCTTTTTGCTGCAAATGCTTCTTCAACGGCTCGTGTTCCGCGCCGCAGCCTCGTTTGCTCTTTCTAGCACACGTTGTCACGTCAAATATTACAGTAGCGTTGTAAGTTGCCTGGGGTTCACACAGCCGTAAAAACCTTGCACGCTAGTACGGGCTGTTGTAGAGCCGTAAAGCCTTGCACTCTAGCACGGGCTGTCACGAACGCGTTGGAGCTTGGAATCCGTACTTCGCAGAAGGCTTCACAGATCGTTGCGGAGCGTCCGAGATGCTTCCACCGGCCTTGCTGCAGTTCTTGACGTACGTGCTGGAATCCGTTCTTCGCAAAAGGCTTCGCAACGGATTCCTGTCGTGGTCGCGTGGTGATGAACCAAATTGCTCGACCACTGACTGATCACGGATCACGGATCACGGATAAGGCACATTCGTCTCCTAGTTGACCTCATGTCTAATCTGAACGCCACATTCTTCTCACCGCCCTCTCACTGTCCTCTCTCCGTTCCCTTCATGCCCGATCCCGAGCAGGCTGATCTTCGGGTATCTCTATCCAGCGTACCTCTGCTTTAAAGCCATCAGGAAGCGACGGCCGGACGTCAAGGAACTGCTATGGTTCTGCCAATTCTGGTGCGAGTTTCTTCTATCCCTGTTATAAAAGAGTGTTTTTGAGATGTCTCAAAAACCCTTTTTTATCACGTGGCTATCTCCGCAGCCATCAGGAAGCGGCGGCTTGACGTGAAGGAGCTGCTATGGTTCTGCCAATTTTGGTGCAAGTCCCTCTCATCCCCCCTTGTCTTTTTTTAGAACTCTCTATGACCAGCTTGTCAAGGAGCTGCTATGTTTTGTGTCGGTTCTGGTGCGAGTCTTTTTCATTCCTGTCCATGCTTGTCATCTGCTCCACCTGCATAACCAGGCAACACCGATGAGTGTGTTTTGAGTCGACTCAAAACACACCTCAGTTCTGATGCGGGTCTCTTTCATTCCCGTCCATGCTTGTCATCTGCTCCACCTGCATAACCAGGCAACACCAGTGAGTCGTACCCTTTATGGCTGCTGCCATGTAATGCTTTTCATCCTGCCAAAAACATACGTTTTCTGGCTTTTATTTCCCCGCATCTGTTTCTCACCGCTTCTTTCAGGGTACTCATTGCCCTCGTTACAGTCACAGAGCGCCTGGCTGAACCCATATTGGAAAAGTAAGCAGTTGTGCGGGAAAGGCATCTTGGTCCGATATTGAGGGTTGCCTTAATCCGCTCGTCCAGGCTTTTGGGTTCACAAACACAAAAGATACAAAACGGACACGTCAGATTATCAGCTGAATGTTCTATGCCCATCAAACAAACACGTGCTGCTTCATTCTGATCCATCCCCTTTTAACCCCCTAAATACTTTTCAATCTAATTCAATCTGGACAGGTTGCCTATGTATCCAGAGGCGAAGCTGCTTCTAGTCATTTACCTCTGGTATCCTGACAACAAAGGCACCGACCACGTTTACAACAACCTGCTACAGCCAGTGTTGTTACAGAATGAGGAGGACATTGACAAACACGTGGATGAAATTAAGGGGCGTGTGAATGACGTAGTGAGCCAGCTGCAAACTGTTGTATCAACATACATGCAGGGGTTTGTGGATGAGACAATCGCTTACCTGACTGCTGTTTCAGCCCAAGCAGCGGCTGTGGCTGCTGCTCAGCAGCAACGGCAGCAGGCGAGGCAGCAGCAGCAGTGGCAGCAGATGGTGAGTTGATTTTACAATCAAATTTACAGCACACAATATATCACCTTGATTCTAGTCCCAAAATCCCCAATCGCCTCCACTGAGCTGCTGGCTACCGTTATTCTCATTTCCCTTGCTTGCAGATGACTGGTGCTTCTGATAGCAGCATGCTCGGCACAAATGGTATACACACCTCGAGACATTTGGATGCACCACAAGGGGCTGCTGAAGTTGACCAAGGACAGATGGACACTGAAAGTGATGTGGAGGAGGAGCAAGTCATGGAAGATGTCACCGAGGGGGCTCAAGAACATACCGAAAGAGTGCTCCAGCCTGATCGTGGCTCAATCCAACAACGGGGATTTTTCGCAATTAGCTTCCTTCGTCGTGGCCGTTCAGTAGCATCTCAAACATGACTTTTTGCTTCTCCTTAAAATGCTCCTGGCTGTTTCTATATTTTGTTTCTGTACGATGTTTCGCGGTTCACTATTGAATGGCTGCAGAGGAACTGTGCCATTCAATGAAGACCACAATAGCTGGATTTTTCTATCTTCAATTCAGAATTACCAGGGCTGAGAGCAAGGGCATTAGTGAAGTGGATGAATATTGAAGTTTGAACCACAAGAGAAGGGTACACTGATGGTAAAGATCCTAGCCTCTACCAACGCCTTCACCCTTCATCATGTGGAAGAACTGAAGCCAAGCAGCTTCCAAAGAGTTTGTAAAGCACCTTCACTACCCACACATGACCTGGCCAGACAATAGACAGCAATGAGGCATGGCCAGCGTGCAGTTTCCGCAGCCAGCCTGAAGAAATTATATACAGAAGGGCGCTGAGAAGATAAGCCCAATTTGTTATCACCTTGAGACTTTTGGGGTGTAGCCTCTTGTCCTCTGGACATAATCCACATACTCCTCATAGTGGAGAGTGAAGATGGAAGACTGGTAACGAGTCACACGAAGCTTTCTTCTGAGTGCATCAGTGATAGGTCCGCTATAACCAGCTTTTCTAATCAAAGAATCCACGGCCTCAATCTTAGTCCAACCTGCAGATAAAAAGGAGCTCAACACGTTCAAATTAATCAGGAAACCCAGCACAAATATGAAGGCAAACAACTGAGAAGAACCGTGATGGGGAAGATGGGAGAGAAAAGAGGGACAGTCAGAGAAGGAAAGAGGGGGAAAAGGGAGAAAACGGGACGAAGAGAGAAGTAGGAGGGAATGGGGACAAAGAATAGGGAAAGGACGAACAGAGGCTGGGAGGGGGGAGGAGAAGAGCAGCAAGGGAACTAACCTTCATGAAGGGCGACTTCTGGCAAATAAGTGGCACTTCTCTTTGTGTTTTGATGATCAAAGAACTCAAGAATCATTCCGTGTGTACCAACCTGCATGCCGATAGATTTGAGTGTAAAATTGTTGTATTTTGAAAACAGGAAAATGACGATAGCACATAGTTCTCCCTGAGCAACAATCCCCAAAGCAGAGGAGCTTACATCCCAATCAAGATGATCAACCGCAACCTCATAGTTGGTCAGCACTGAAACAGTCACTTGGAGATTTGCAATCTCGCGAGGCTGTATGGGAGAAAACCGGCGGTCCCTTAACGCACTGCATCAAACAATTCCGAGAGCATGATGAAGTGCACCATGTGATATGGAGGGAAGGTAACTGAGACGGAAGCGCCAGAAGCACGTGGATGCTTCACGAGACCATACCTTGTAAGCGCGTAGTCTTTGAACCCGGTTAGTACACAGCGAGCTTCGAGCGTTCCGATGCACCCTCGCAGCCGAGCCTCACCAGAATCCGAAACTTTTTTCCAGGTAACAAAGAGTGGGCTGCAATTCACACAGCCCGGAAAACCGATTAGAACAGGACGTCCTCCTTCACCGATAACATCGGAATTAGCATCACGCGCTTACTATTGACCACCCTCGAAGGCAGGCGGAGGAGGATCGTCACCGTTATAGTGCGATAGCAAATTATCAAAACAATACACCGCCATTTCCTTACACGCGCCAACCATGGTTGAACGCCTGAGCCTAACGAGCTCTAGCGACCTGCGAAAGCAGCAACGAAGCCGAGGTATCAACCCCAGCTTCCGAAAACCAGAGACTATTTCGGCCTGGTTTGGTGCTTCCGTGATCAGTTTCTCAATAATAATGGAGAAATGGAATGTGCTTGATTGATCTGTTTTCTGACAGGAGCGACGATGGATGGGTAGGAACTGGGCAGCTGAGAGTGACGACGGGGGGAAACTATCGATCGAGTGACAATAACCGTTACCTCATCGTTTGAGAGGTTCCCGATAGCCGTCGCTCTTCACGATATTGCAAACTATCTAAACATCGGAAAACGCTCCATCAAGAAACGTCGAGTATATCACTTGTTGCATAAACAATCACAATGGTTGAGAGCCAGATGTTCAGTTCTACGCCACATGTTCATTTACATGATCATGATGGTCACTAATACACTGGCAGGGGCACAAACGAAGTACCACTCTGCTCTAAAATTATACACTCAGCGTTGAAACAGCATGCAACCTAACCCAATACCCTAAAGTACTTTCTTCAAAAAGGAAGAGCGTCCGAAAGGGTAGCAGTTAAACCCCATCTACATCTGCTCAGGTCAGGGCAGGCTACTGGGGGATGGGTGGAAGACTCTGCTGGCAATGGCTGTAGCATTTTTGAGACCAGGCGCTGCGGATGTAATGGTGGAGGCGAGTCCCTGGAAATGGTTAGTGGAGTGAACTGTCTTCTGGGATCGGAAGGCGGTAGAGCTGATGGAAGATAACCCACGTGCCGATTACCAAAATGCACTAGCGGGAAACAACAGCGCTGGCTGGCCACCTTTTCAACACTATCTTCCAACTGCTCCTACTGTAGCATCAGAGCGGCTGCTGCTTGTGTAAGGGACCCTGTGGCGTGCAGCTGTGCATGTGAGTGTCTGTGGCGCTCGTCCCAAGGAGCAAACGTCCGACCTTCCCGCATGTGGCGCACAAACATGACAAAGTTGCGCCAGTTGTCCGGCCGAAACAAGCACTCGTTCATGCGCAGGAATGTGAACGACGACATTGGGGCCTCATGGGAGAAGCCATCGAACTGCAACCTCGACTTCCACACAATCTGTCAGAACAGCAGAACAAAAACGAAATAACATTTAGACTAGGGCTCAACAGATGAAGTGAACACACGCAAACGTGGAATTGAAATAATAGCATCAATTATCGCAAATTACCTGATTGAAGGCTCCTTCGTCGAACCGGGGCAGAGCATTCTCTCCTGAGACCCTTGTACCCGCCACATGTGCTGCATGTGCGACTTGCCGGAGTAGCCCCTCCGGGCTGCACAGGGCATACCATGGCTGCTCCGCGTCCTTCATCTCAATGCATGTGAAATTTAGCACAGCGCCATGTCTGGCGAACATCCGTGCCAGCGGAATGTAGCCGTCGCGGAAAATGGTGTTGTAGTAACCCGCTGTGAGCTCTGGTGGATGCGACTTGGTGCCGTAGTGCCAGTGGATACCTGCCACCTTGCCCGAGATGGACGTGTTGGTTCCACGAAAAATTGATGAAGCTGAGGAGAGCACTCGGTCGCCATGTTGAATTAGCATCTCAGAGTACCACTGGAGGTGGGGAAACGGGAACAAAGGCAGTCAAAGGAAAATGTCAGCATGAAGTCATTGCAATGAGACTACAGAAGCATCACAGCAAGCAGTGAACAATTACAGCGAATGTGAATTAAACGCCTACTAATGATGATAGAAATGCGCATAGTAGAGGGTCGCTGCTACTAACCTGCAAAAAGAAATGTCCGTATTGTGAGTTCCAATTGCCGAACTCGTGAAAAAAGCCTGTTTCTTGAGGCCATTGCTTGTAGTAGCCAGAGTCGTGCGGACCTCCAAGTCCCCAATTAGGCTTGCCGTTGGCTTCGGCCGCCGCTCTCAAGCTCGAAAGCATGTACTGCAAAAAACGACAGCAGCAAAACAACGAAGAACAAATGAGCAACGGAGAAGCGAAAGCTAAGTAAAAAAAAAAATGTTCAGTGCTTCATCTTGGAAACCGTTTAATCATTCAATGACACGGTCGCCGGAGAACAATACGACACGAGTTTGAAACGCCGCATACCTTGTCGTAGCATTGAAACTCGCCAATGCCCGGAAACTGCCACATTCCATTACCCTCTGGATATGAGGGGTACCGAAGCTCGCCAGCCGGACCCATGCCCACTTGTATCTCCTGCGAGGTTAAGAAAAGTAGAAATCAGAATACTGGAACAAACAATTCCAGCAAACCACGACTTTCATTCAGTCTTCGGCAGGAAAGAACTAAATCGTTATATTCGACTCACTGTAATAACAGAACCGAGGTCTTCCGAGAACGCGTCCCTGAAACTCCTCATAAAATCACTGTAAGCTTGAATGGGCGTCCGGCCTTGGAGAACTGGAAGGTCGTCGCAACCCAGCGAAAGGTATTCTCTGTTTCTTCGTCCGGCCCGGTCCGTGTAGACAATATCGTTGTTCTTGTCTATCGCCTCGTGGATCCACGGAGGTAAAGGTATCCTGCGATAGAAGCGTCGGCCGTTCAGCAAGAGTAGGAAGAGGTTAAAGACAGCACGTTTAACGGCTTAGCAACCCGGAAACGGCAGCCGCAAGTTGTTTTATCTATGCCTAACAGTGCGAAGACGAAACTTGCGAAGAGCCTAAGCCTTACATGCAATGGTCTCCCACGTTGCCTCCACACTGGTGAAAAGACATCACCGCCTGGACCTTCAGCCCAGCTTCTTTGACCAGCGAAACTAGCTCCTTGTATGCCGACCAGTCGTATCTCCCAGGCCCTTCTCTTTCTACTATTCCCCACCAAACGTCCATCATGACCCCTTCCACCCCGGCGCTCTTCAAAGCTGTCAAGCTAGCTCTAAACGCTCTCGGTCGGCTTATCGTGTTGCTCATGGTAATAGAGTCCAACGGGAGCATGATAAAGACAGGAACTCCTGCACTCCTTCCTCCGCTGTCCCGCGAACTAGGAACGCTGTGCTCCGTCCACGAGGCGGTATCCAGTTGCGCGCTAGATCCTAGTCTTTCTAATCTCTCCGTGGAGGCTTTATCCTCTTGAAGTTCGTCGCTCGTGAAAAGAATCCACGACTCATCGTTCTGAAGAATGCTGCCACCCCACCGTTGTTGAGCGACTGGCGTACTCCTCCTCGTTAACTCATCAGCAGAAGCGTACGGAAAAGTGCTACTAAGCCGCTCGCTCGCTAAGGATGCTTGAACTGTCGTTTGAGACCTCTGGCAAGGTTCAGATAGCCGCTGCGCCTGCTGCTTCTTTGGCCGGAACTTGCCTGTGCTCTGACATTTCGTTTTGCTCCTAAGTGACGGCGCCGCTGAAGAAAGCTTAGCTGTACATGCACTGCCTAGGTTCCTAGGGATGTGGGAGACGCCTAAAGCCATACCCGAACTAAAGTTCTTAGTGACCAGTACGAATAAGAGTCAGAACCTAATTACTTGAACAGTCTGGGAAGGAGAGGAATAAAGGGAAGCCATAGATCTGTGCTGAGCATGGGGAGGGGGAACAGGGAAGTGATTGCTGCTGCTGTGCTGCTGAGAGCAGAATGGATGGAACCCTGAAGGAGAGTGGATGGAGGGTTTGAAAACCTAGGTGGGCCTGCGCCAGCCAAGCCACAATGATTCATACCCAAGCCGTGCGTGTTACCCAGACGAACCTGACGCCTCCTTAGCCGAACCTAATCGGTCTCGTCGCAAGTGGGCTTACAGCCACCAAAGCACGGATGTGGTTGCCGAGCCTCCAGGTGTGAGGCGATTAGAGGGAGTCAGGTTGCCTTGCCAGGCGCGTTATCCACACCATGCCCTTCATCCAAGGTCCAGGCTCCGTTGCAGAACCGCGCGCCTAAACTCCCGACAAACTCCGCCTTGCATGCTTTTGGGGGAGAAGTCATGCAACACGTGTTCCATGTCATCTCAGCGACAACAGCAATCAATTTGATGATAGCACAGTAACATTCGTGAACGTTGATGGATAATCCAGCAGAAAAATGTTTGCTCCCATGGCAGACCTGGGACCAGTGACGTGGAAGGAAGTCAGCTCTGCCCCACACAGAATTCGAGAGTCCGAGAAGTGCAATGGAACTGCCTTCGAGAAACATGGTAATTGGTGGTGTAGGTAGAATGTAATTCGGAACAGTTATCGGTACTGCTAAAAAATCCCTAGGGCAACCATCAGGGAAACCAGGCCGCTAAGCAATGCTTCCGTTCCACCATCAAAACCAATCCGCTTGTGTACACAATTGTCCATAACCATCCAATTGACTGTTTGGCATGAACCTCCCGTTTCTCGAAGTGTTTTCCGCGTCATGCCAGCTCATAGCCTTATCTCCTCAGTTACACGCCCACCAGGTGGCTAAGTGACACCACTTTTCCTGGGACGACGGGCGTACACACGCGTATTCCCAGGAAAATGACGTGATTCCGACGTGGCACTGACCCACTAGTGAGCCCATACCTGTGGCAAGCCTTGAAGCTGGAAGATTTGCTGGTTGAAAGAGTAGGGTTTCCCAAGGATTGAGCGATGTGGATGTGGTTTGAGGTGGGAGCGAGGTGGAAGGAAACGGTTGGTTGTAGTGCTACAGTTGCACGGCCCCCCTTCCATCCATCCAAGCTTGCCTTGTCTTTTTCTGTAGGAACATACGGCACATAAATACCTCCTATTGCGATGCGGCTTAGTAGAATTTTGAGGCTTGTGAGTGATCAGCCACGCTTGTCCACGTGCGAAATCCTCGTTCTATTCGAGGGCCCCAATGGTTGACGTCAGTGGGCAATGTGATCGACTAGGGCTAGCCCAGACGACTGCGTGGCACAGGAATGGAGAGACACGCTGTGATCGCTGCGTCAGCAAATGCTGAACTGCCACCGCCCTTGGCTGAGTTTGGCCCCAACCAAAGAGCTTGGAACGGGGGCTGAAGTGTCATCTCTCGAACGCTGCCTGTGAGAAGAATGCACGGGAAGTCCGAGGCCAGTGTTCAGGGTTTACAAGCACACCAATCATTGATACACGACAGTTCATGTAAGGCGTAGCGGAACCACTTATGGGTTGACAGCTTTTGTTCATATTCATTTTGCAGAATTGCCAAGTTGGTTGTGAAGGATTTGTTGTGAAGGAAACGATTTGTACCCAAGGGTACAACCACGCTTAGATCCCTTGGTCCAGAGTTTTGAAGTTGCAGCTAAAAGATAGTGACTCCTCTGAACCTTGATGCTAAGGTGATTATTGCTACACAGCACAAGCAGTCGTCTTGTTCACTGCAACACTGAGTACCTACTAGTTCAAACACTTGGACGTTTGATTAATATTAATAACCAAAAATAGGACAAGAACAATCGAACTTCCCAACAAATAAACCAATCTAAGCAACAAAAGCGTTTGCTGCTGTACGCTTTGGCCTGTGCACTTCCACATCCTCCAGCCTGCATATCAACTCCTCTGAAAGTTCCATAACAGAACCTCCTGAATCAACCTTCCCTGGGGGGGTGTGCTGAGATGCTTTTGTAGCTGCGGCAGATCCACACGAAACAAGCACAGGCGGCTTGCTGCTGACTGGTGCATCCTGCTTCTCTTGTCCGCCAGCCTTTCCCACAAACTCAGTGCCCAAAGGCTGAGGCTTTATCTCACACTCTCCATGGGGCTGGTGATTCGACTTTATCTCGAGCTGCCTCGAATCATGCTGCTTTGGCTCGTCCTGCTGACTAACCTTCGCATCAGACTGGCACATGTGTGACGACACAACGGCACTAGTGGGACTCGGGGTATCAGTCCTTTGCTTCTTTGAAGGAGGCGCGTTAATCGATGGAGTGGCTGGAAGAGAAAGGCAAGATGTTGGTGTTTGGCTATCGCCCTCCTTCCTCTTGTACAAAGACATGATCTGCAGCTCGACGTCTGCGCAATCGTACGTCAGCACAATGGGTGTCTGGCAGCAAGGCTTAATGATCCGGTGACATGATTGGGCTACTGACCTTGAAGAGTCTCTGGAGAGACGCCGTACTTAGTCCACCAGTGTCCTCCTTCAGCAGCTTTCGGAAGCTGGACACTCAAGGCAGTCGCTGAAAGATTGACGCAAGCTGCTGCAATGTCCATCGGCCGAAACGGCTGAAGGCAGAGCGTCGTCCGCAAACTGAATGCCATCAGACAGCGTGGGACGTGGAAAGCGAACCACGAGGGAAGTAAAGACACGGATTGGTCTTGTGACACTCAGGTAGGAATTACACTGAGCACGCACAAGGAACCTATTAAATCCACCCCCAAAAGATAAGGAGCAGACCTGTCATTGGCGAAGTTCCACGCGATCTGAAAGAAAGTCCGGTCCCTTTCAGATTGCCGGTTTGTGAAACCAAACTCCTTCACCACAGAGCAGATCGGCTTGTACGGATGACTGACGAAAAAATCGAAGTTCATGGTGACTAGAAGGGCTTCTTCCGCTTTGACCACCCTGTCCATCTCCACCAATAAGAGCTTCTGAAACACACAAAGGTTGACACATGATGCACCACCGCCTGGGAAACAACAAACGAATAACAGAAACGAAATCATCAAGCTTACGGGGGTGCTCTTAATTGACTCCAAGGCCTTCGGATCCTTCTTGTTGCGGACATAAAATGACATCTCCGTTATCTTCTGCAAACTCTTGAAGTTCTCTTCGACTTTCCCAGCGAGAAGAAGGCATGCGGATGCGATAAGCTGGATAAGAGCATAAAATTATTCGTCAACAACAGCCTCGCTGGCAATCGAACGGAACAAAAAAACAGGAAAATCGCTCTGCAATTAAGAACCTGTACATACGTATGGATCGTTCTTGGACAAGGACTGAATAATGAAAAACCGTTGCCAGTAGACGAAGGCTGTAGCGATTGTGTACTGGTCCCTGCATATTACGATAAGGTACATGTAAGTCCCTTACAAGATGCAGATATGAAAGCTCGCGAGTAACCTATGCCGGTCCTTACATCTTAAGCAAACAGCCAACATCTTGTGTGAAGGCGAGAGCCAAGCGACGATGCGAATTTTCTCGTCTCAACGACAATCCGTCCTTTCTAGATGGAGACTGATCTTCTATATGCTTCCTCGAAAATTGCCAACTATCACAGTTTGGAGATGTTTGCATTATGCGGCTGGAGCTGCTGGTAGAATGGCGGAGGAGAGCCGCCAAGCTGCTCGCTGCAGGCGACAAACCCGAAATACCTGACTTAAGATCTAGCTAACGGAGGCGTAGAAACTAGTTAGAAGGTGAGGGGAATGTCGCTCTGGAGCAACAGCAGCAGCGTCAACTGAAAAGAAAACAACAATATGAAACCCTAGACTTCTTGTTCCAAGATCTCCCTCGGCCGACCCACAAACATGGAAAAGCAACCAAGGGACCTGCACCAGGTCTTCCGTGGAAAACGGACTTCGGTTGGGGAAGCTGACAGCGGAGGTGAACAAAGATCTGCACCGTTCGTTTTTCTCCCGCCGAATCTTCGACGTGGAGAGCAGCTAGACATGCCACCAATAATCGTGCTCCATTCAATTGTCACCTCGCTAGACAACTGAATGTACAATATTTCGACAAGAGAACTTACACTTCATAGCTATTCAATATTCCATGCCTCTTAAATTCCAAGACCTGAATTGCTCAACTCATGTCAACGTGGGGCAAAACTGTGGGCTGCGGGAGGCAAACTGTGCACAGTTTGCCTTCGTTTTTTGTAATTCGGGTATTGGGTTTTAAAAACTGTCTGGTTCGTGTTATGAGTTGTAAAAGAGAGTGCGCAGGTTAACGAATAACGAGGTGATTCAACAGACTGGTTATAAAATGAAGGCACACGCTAATATAGTGAGTAGGCTAGCTAGGAGGGAACTTCGGGTGAGTGAGGTTGGGTGCAGGTTTGGCGAAGAGGAAAGCCGAAGGCGACGCGAGGAGGCTCGGCATCGTTGATGTCGGCCAAACGTGCAGAGTCGGAAAATCGGGGCTGTACGCGAAGTGCCCTAAGTTACCGCAACAAAACATGTAGAATATGCACCTGTCAGTAAGTACTGGATACCATCGGATACATAACAATGTAAGAGGCAAATCTAGACCCGTTTCTACGTATAGTAAGCCGGCACAGCCACCTGCATATGAATTTCTAACTGACACTTGTGCTACGCATTTGATTGACCAGCTGCAGCTTGTGCGTTTCTTGGTAGTTACTGGCATGCCAATTGATATGAAAATAAGAACACATAATAGCTGAGCAAGTGGTAATAAACTACATGAAAGCAACTAAATCCTAGTATTATCTTGTCATCAGGGTCATATCCACCAGGAAACGGCGACTGAACTAATGCACCAGCCTTATGAAAGCAGTTATCAAGCATCATCAAACTCACGCTCTTCCTCATCCAGAGGAGTATCATCCAGCGTCGCCTCCTGATACTGCTGGTACTCGGAAACCAGGTCGTTCATGTTGCTCTCTGCTTCCGTGAACTCCATCTCATCCATGCCTTCGCCTGTGTACCAATGCAAGAAGGCCTTCCTCCTGAACATGGCCGTGAACTGCTCACCAACCCTCTTGAACATTTCTTGGATCGAGGTGGAGTTCCCAATAAACGTGGATGACATCTTGAGTCCCGTAGGAGCTACGTCGCACACACTCGACTTCACGTTGTTGGGGATCCACTCCACAAAGTAGGAGGAGGTCTTGTTCTGAATATTCAGCATCTGTTCGTCAACCTCCTTCGTGCTGACTTTTCCCCTGAACACTGCTGAAGCAGTCAAGTAGCGACCATGGCGTGGATCTGCAGCGCACATCATGTTCTTCGCATCCCACATCTGCTGAGTGAGCTCAGGAACCGTCAATGACCTGTACTGCTGGGAACCCCGAGAAGTCAGAGGAGCGAATCCAACCATGAAGAAATGCAAACGAGGGAACGGAATCAAGTTGACGGCAAGCTTCCTGAGGTCGGAGTTAAGCTGTCCAGGGAAGCGAAGACAGCATGTGACCCCACTCATGGTCGCAGATATAAGATGATTCAAATCTCCAACTGCAAGAAAAACAGAAAATTCGTAAGTACGAAGACGATAAGACGCAAGCACTAACTCAAGAAGGACTTGTGGGCGCAAACTTACAGCTCGGATTAGCCAGCTTCAGAGTTCGGAAGCAGATGTCATAAAGCGCCTCGTTGTCAAGAACCATGCACTCATCCGCATTCTCGACCAGTTGATGGACAGAAAGCGTCGCGTTGTATGGCTCTACAACGGTATCAGAAACCTTCGGCGAAGGGAACACCGAGAAGGTCATCATCATCCTGTCGGGGAACTCTTCACGCATCTTGGAAATTAGGAGGGTTCCCATTCCAGAGCCGGTTCCACCGCCAAGAGAGTGACATACTTGGAAACCTGTAACCATGAAACGAAACTGAATAAGCATCGATCTCTGAGGAAGATAAACATTCAGCATGCTTGAAACGGTCATACCTTGAAGGCAGTCACAGTTCTCGGCCTCCTTTCGAACAACATCGAGAACGGAGTCGATAAGCTCAGCACCTTCCGTGTAGTGGCCTTTAGCCCAATTATTTCCAGCACCACTCTGACCAAAGACAAAATTGTCCGGCCTGAAGATCTTCCCGAAAGGACCAGCGCGAACGCTATCCAAGACACCGGGTTCTAGGTCCATAAGGACAGACCGAGGAACATAACGGCCTTCGGATGCTTCGTTGAAGTAAACATTGATCCGATCGAGCTGAAGGGCGGAAGTCCCACGATAATCCCCGACTGGATTAATTCCATGTTCTTCACAAATGACTTCCCAGAACTTGGCACCGATCTGATTCCCGCACTGGCCTGCCTGAACGTGAAGAATTTCCCTCATGGTCGTAGTTGTCTCAGCAGAACTGGATTCAAAACAGAAACAGAAGCAGATGGCTGTCTCAACTGAACTGGCTTCAAAAAGAAGCAAACTGAGCGGAAAGGAGATGGCGTTCTCGATGCAGTTCCCGCTCTCTTTGTAGCCAAAAAGCCCGCTCCGTGCGACTTGTCAGTTCGCGGCCTCGAGATTGGTGGTTCCTGGAGACAGAGAGATGCACATATCTAGGAACTGTACACTCAAAACAGCCGACCAAAGCGCCAAAATATTTTGAGCATTTCAGCAGCTGATATTTCAAACTGCAACTTATAACTTATCCTTTCAAAACACCCCAAACGCAACAAATCTTCTAGACATTACCAAATACTTTTTAGCCTAACATAATAAATCTAGGCATTGTTGCACACTAACCAATCAACTTTCTGCCTTCATTGCCAGCATTATTGTACGCTGCTAATTGCAAACGCGAACAATGCCATCCTCGCCTCCGGCAAGGAAGAGGCGAGAGTAGGGAAGCACATCCAACGAGAATATGGGGGTTGACCTAGATGATTGAATGTTGTCAATCACTTGTTGTGCATGGAATGGTAGATTGGTATCCTGGTGGGGAAATCCAACAAAAATGAACAGCAGGATACATGTTATGGAGAAGGAGGTCACAAGGACAACCTAGAGTGAAAAGAGTATACGGAATTAAATCTTAGGCATGAAAAAACAACAAACGCGGTATATCATGACACGAGCGTCACATACAGGAAATCACGAGGATGAAAAAAATACAAAGCTTACCGAATGGGGAGGCGGCCAGCGAACGACAAGCTCATGGCTCGAGAACTTGACACGGGTGCGAGCATTTGCTACCTGCGACAATCCCGAGACATTCGTCACGCCAATATGACTCCCCGCTGCCGTCATCACCACCCGGCCCAGCGTCATGCTGGGCGGCATTAAATCCGCGCCAACGCCGCCCAGCCCTCCGCCTGCTCCAGATGAGGGCGTGAGCATGGTGGGTGTGAGAGCAACCATTGCTGTGATGCCTTGCGTGTGAGCCACCACCCTCTCCACTGCTGCCACGTCAGCAGCTCTGGATTGGCCGAGGAGGGTAAGGGAGGGGGAGGGTGGAGAAAGAGGAAGGGGGTTGGGCGGATGCGAAAGGCTTATACAGGGTATACGATTGCCCTGTGGGTGAGAGCACAGCACACCTTTGAATAATCTACAGGTCGTGGTTGAGTCAGGACAAGGATGGAAGCTGATTATAAGGTGAGTGCGTACCACCTTCTACCTCCCACAGGGCTATGGTCGAATCTGTGGATGAGAACAGCAGCTTATCAAGATGCATGCTGAGGAGGCTAATAATGGGTATATGAACGCCTTGTGAAGGAGTGCATACCTTCTGATATCCCACAGGGCTATGGTCGAGTCTGTGGATGAGGAAAGCAGCTGATACTCGCCACATGGCACGAGCTGGTTGGGTGAGAGGCGAAAGCGACAGGAAAACACGAAGGAGAGGCAAAATGTGTGCGAAGCAAAGAACGACAGAACTGAGCATGAAATGGATGAAGACGACGACGGCAACAAACACATGAACTGTGGGATTGGCTTGCAGGAAAAAAGTTTTGAGACGTCTCAAAACTAGATTGGCTTGCAGGAAAAAACCCTAGTTGTGATTGGGAGGTTTCGGATGTTCCTGACCACCCCAGACCCAATCGCCACACTGCAGCAGCCTGGCTGAAATATGCCTAAAGCAGCCGCACTTACCCCTGTGACCCTCCCCGAGTGTGCTTTGACCCGTGCCACCACCATCCCCGTCGTCCAATCAAGGAACGCCAGGTGTCCCGAGTGGAAACCCACAGAAACACATTTGGTGGAAACAGGAGAGCGAGTGTGGGCGGAGGAGGAAGAGGAGGGGGAGGAGGAGGAGGAGGAGGGGCGGCGGTGGGGTTGGTGGGAGGAGGAGGAGGAGGTGGTGGTGGCAGCAGAGGCGAGGGCAGTGACTGGCATGCAGAATGGCTCTGATAGACCGCACTGCCAGAGGGAGAGCAGACGCCCCGCACACATGTCCACGAGGCTGTGGGGAGGGGGAGAGGGGAGGTGGAATGAGGGGAGGGATGCGGAGAGAAAGGGCACGGCGAGGAGGGGCAGACAAGGGGACACGGGTGACATTGGTTGAGACAGCCAAGGGAAGAGGAGGGGGAGCGGCGGTGGGGTTGGTGGGAGGAGGAGGAGGTGGTGGTAGTGGCAGCAGAGGCGAGGGCAGTGACTGGCATGCAGAATGGCTCTGAAAGACCGCACTGCCAGAGGGATAGCAGACGCCCCGCACACATGTCCACGAGACTGGTAAAGGGAGATGGATAGGGGAAAGGAATAGGGAGATGGAATAGGTGGGGCAGTGCGGGGAGAAAGGGCAGGGGAAACCGTCAGGAGGTGCCGAAGGGCTCCGATAGAACGCACTGCCAGATCGATAGAAGGCGACCCGCACACATGTCTACGAGGGTGGGAGCGGGAAGGTGGAGAGCGGAAAGGAATAGGGAGATGGAATCGCAGGGGAAGTGGGGATGCATCCTGTTGACGTTCCTGCCACCAGCACATGCAGCACATAAGACACAGGAGAAACACAAGACACAGGAGGCACCCACCGGATACAACTATTGAGGCGCCTAAAAAACCAGCACATGCAGCACATAAGACACAGGAGAAACACAAGACACACGAGGCACCCACCGGATGCATCCTGTCGAAGTGCCGGCCACGAGCCGGTTCCCCCCTGCTGGCCCCAGGAAGAGCAGCGAGGTGTATCGGCACACGGTCATGGGGCTGCTAACGCTGCGCCCCCTCCCATGCCTCGGCGTTCCAACCGAGCCTCCCGCCGAGCTGTCTCCCGAGCCTAGGCCGGCGAGGTCCGGGAGAGCGGACGAGGAGAGGGAGTGTGGCGAGGGGTGGGATCTTGGAGTGGTGGAGAGGGAGGAGAGAGAGGAGAAGGGATGGTAGGAGAAGAGAGAGGAGGACATGCGAGGGGAGGCAGGGATCCCACTTGCTACTCCGGCTGTAGCAGCGGCGAAAGAGGAGAATATCGAGGATGTAGCAGCGGGATCCAGAGAGGAGGTCTGGTCCGGAAGCTGGCCTATAGGCATGGCGAGGCGAGGCGAAGAGGAGAAATACGCGAGGGGGTTTCCAGCCGCTCCTGCTGCGGCGGCGGCGGCGGCAGCAGCAGCAGAGAGAGTGGGGGTGGAGGAGGAGTGGTGTGAGTACAGCTGCTGCTGCTCCCGCTGCTGCTGCTGCTGCTGCTGGAGGTGAGCTGCTAGAGAGGAAGGCGGCTCTTCAAAGAGAGATAAGAGCTCTCCTGAGGATGAGTCCCATACATGAATTACCTCATCGCAAGTTGCTACTAACGAGGTGCCTTGTAATGCACACACTGCAAGAGGAACTTCGGTATGGCCTGAGTATTCTAAGGTACAGTCCCCTGACCCCACGTCCCACACCCGCACCCTCTCCCCTCCTCCCCCTCCCCCTCCTCCCCCTCCGCCCCCGCCTCCCCGGCTTCTCCCCACTCGTCCTCCCCCTCCTGCTTTTCCCTCTCTCCCCCCTCTCCCTCCTCCACTCCCCTCTGACAATGACCCTCCCCTCCCTATAGTCACAAATGCCTCTTCATTCTCCAAAACTGCTATTCCCGTAATAGGCCCGTCGTGTGCCGCCCAGGATCTGAGTACAGACAAATTCAGATGCCACCCGGGCTGGGATTCCTCCCTGTCGCGAGCCATCCACGAGCTGCCACCTCCCCCAGAAACAGACGAAACAGCGCTCATACTGGCAAGGCTAACTGAACTTCCCCCTGCCCCTCCCCCTCCTCCCCCCAGCCTCCTCCCCACGTCCCACCCCTCCTCATTCGGAGGGGCATCCAAACGTTTTTCGGGCAGCCAGAACCACGGCTCGGGTGGTTCGGGCAGGGAGGAATTTTCCTCTGGGCTGCCCGGGTGAGTCTCGAGCAAAGAGTCGGCTGACGTGGCGAGCCAGGATTGGCTGCTGGTTGCAGCGGCGGTGGTGGCGAGACCACCAGCAGCAGAGGCGCTGGCAGGAGGAAGCATCCTGGAATCTTCCGCTGATGAGCTGGCACTGACTGTGCGGGAGTGAGAGGGTGACTTGTTAAGTGTTGGCATAGGGAGGGACCAACCGAATCCGTCTAAAAGCAGAGAAGAAGGGGTGAGAGCCGCGGCTACCATACCAAGACGCTTTGATAAGTTCCCAGCTTTAGAGGCGAGTTTGGGGGATTCGGACGAAGCAGCAGGGGCTGCTGTAGCAGCAGCAGCTTCAGCGTCTGTAGCAGAAGAACTGGTAGCATCTGCAGCGGCTGTAGCGGCTGTTGCAGTGGTAGGGTAATTGGGAGGTTTCTTAGCAGCTTCTGGATCAGTGTGAGGGGGAGGAGGAGGAGGAGAATCGACAGGAGAGGTGACAGTGTGAATGGCGAATCGCTTCGCCGCTGCTGCTGCTGCTGCTGCTGCTGCGGCTGCGGCAGCTTCTGAATCGGTGGGAGCGGCAGGAGGAGGAGAATTGACTGGAGAGGTCACCGTGTGGATTGCAAATCGCTTTGCTGCTGCCGCTGCAGCCGCTGTTGCCACTGCTGCCGCTGCTGCTGCTGTTGGTGATAATGGTGCCTCTGCTGCAGGTGAAGCAGAAGAAGGCTCAGTGGCGGCAATTCCAAAGTCTGTTTCAGAATTAGTCGAGTCAAGGGAATGCCCTGACTCGTTGCCCTGATGGGGGGCAAGGGGTGTGAGGGGAGGGGCAAGGGTTCTGAGTTGACACAACAAGAAGGCTGAGTGGTGGCAATCCCAAGGTGTGGCTCAGACTCAGTCGAGTCAAGGCAGAGCCCTGACTCGTTGCCCTGATGGGGCAAGGGGTGGGGGGGCAGGGGAGCGGGGAGAGGTTCAGTCATAGACGCATTAGCAGTGGTAGTGGCGGCAAATTCCAATGTCTGATTCAGAATTAGTTGAGTCAAGGCAGAGCCATGACTCGTTGGCCTGATGGGGCAAGGGGTGTGAGGAAAGGGAGTGCGGGGGATTCCTGAGTTGGTGTGACAAGAAGGTTTGGTGGTGGCAATCCCAAGGTGTGGAGCAGAATGAGAGGAGTCAAGGCAGAGCCATGACTCGCTGCCCTGATGGGGCAAGGGGTGGGGGGGCAGGGGAGTGGGGAGAGGTTCAGTCATAGACGCACTGGCAGTGGTAGTGTGGCTCAGAATGTGTGGAGTCAAGGCAGAGTCCTGAATCGTTGCCCCGATGGGGCAAGGGATGTGGGGGTAGGGGCAAGGGATTGGGGGAGAATTCTGAGTTGACTCAACAAGAAGGTTCAGTGGTGTGGCAACCCCAACGTTTGGCTTAGAATGAGAGGCGTCAATGGAATGACCTTGACGATAAACATACCTCGACCATAGAGAACATGTCATACACACCCGGCAGCAGCTCTCTCCTCTCCTCATCCCCTCTCACATCTAACAACCGCCTCCTCCTCCCCCCTGCTGCCCCTTATCTTCACGTTGTCTACAAAAAACAATCCCTGTGCATAAACAATTTCTGTACACAAAAAATCCCTGTACATAAGCAATCCCTGTACATAAGCAATCCCTGTACATAAGCAATCCCTGTACATAGTACATACATACCTCGACTCGACAAGACCAAGTAAGTCACTAAGCATACCTCGTCCATAGCAAATAAATCGTATACGTCCGTGAGAACACCAGCCAGCAGCTCCCTCTGCTGCAGTCCCACACATAGGTATGGGCATGGGCTCAACACACACACACACACACATACCTCGTCCATAGCAAATAGATCGTATACATCCGTGAGAATACCAGCCAGCAGCTCCCTCCTCTGCTCGTCCCCTCCCACATCTAACAACCGCCTCCTCCTCCCCGCTGCCCCCTGCTGCCCCTGCTGCTGCTGCCGCTGCTCCTCACTCATCTTCAAGTGAGCTAGTGCTGCTTGTAGCCTGGGCACCAGGTGGCGCTTTGATGCTCTCTCCCCCAACTTGGAAGCTGCGAAAGACAAAAGAAGAATGAAGGGAGAAAAGGAAGAGAAAGGCAGAGGTTTTACCGGGAAAATGCCCCCCTGCTCCCCCCCCCCCCGGCTGCCCCTGCTGCAGCTGCCGCTGCTCCTCACTCATCTTCAAGTGCGCTAGTGCTGCTTGTAGCCTGGGCACCAAGTGCCGTTTCGATGCTCTCTCTCCCAGCTTGGAAGCTGGAACAGGGGGCATGGGAAGGGCGAGAAGGGAAAAGACTTCCTTCCTGCCTATGTGCTCTCTCTACATGCGCTCCTCAATCATCTTCAAGTGCGCTAGAGCTGCTTGTAGCCTGGGCACCAGGTGGCGCTTTGATGCTCTCTCTCCCAACTTGGAAGCTGGAAAGAGAGGGGAGGAAGGGAAATGCAAGGGAGGAAAGCAGCGCTTCAGACGAAATGGCATCTCCTCCTCTTGCTCCCATTCCCCCGCCCACCTGCCGCTGCTCCTCACTCATCTTCAAGTGAGCTAGTGCTGCTTGTAGCCTGGGCACCAAGTGTCGTTTTGAGGCCTGTTCTCCCAGCTTGGAAGCTGGAAAGAGACGGGAGGAAGAAAGGAAGGGAAAGGACATGTTGAGATGGGAGGGAGGAAAGGAAAAAGCTGCGCTAGCGCTGCTTGTAGCCTGGGCACCAAGTGTCATTCTGAGGCTCACTCTCCCAACTTGGAAGCTGAAAGAAAAGAGAGAAAGGGAAGGGGAGGACACCAGCACGACAAGTAACAGCTTGTGTGTGTTGAAAATTTCATTCTCCTCTGCTGCCTCTCCATAGCAAGACGTACCGATATGAATGAAGAGATGGTGTATGTGGGAGGCGCGCTGCATGTTGCGTGCTGCAGTAGTGCGTGCCGCAGTGGCCCTAAAAGGGTACCTCCCAAGTTGAGGCACAGCAAGATGTACCGATATGAATGAAGAGATGGTGTATGTGGGAGACGTGCTGCAGAGTACCCCTGGTGACGTGAGCTTTATAGTAACATCGAGGTAGCCTTTGAGTGGACACACAAAGCAAGACATACCGATATCAATCAAGAGGTCTTGAATGTGGGAGGCGCGTTGTATGGTGCGTGCTGCTGCAGTGGTGCATGCCGCAGTGGCCCCACTAAGAGAGAGCACCTCACAAGTGGACACACAAAGCAAGACATACCGATATCAATTAAGAGGTCTTGAATGTGGGAGGCGTGTTGTAAGGGTCCCCTGGTGATGTGAGCGATGAGAGGAGCAACGGTCTGGCTGATGGTGATAGGAAGCGGGAGCAGAGCCACCGATTCAATTAGAGCCGTCGATGCCGCATGGCACGGACTGGCGTGAAGCGCGGGGGACAATTCTGACCGTACGATCGCGGATCCAGACCGAGGCAGTCCGAGCTTGGACCGAGCCGCGGACACAGGTCCGGACCGAGGCTGTGCGGCGGATTGGGATCGGTCTAGGCGAGGAACGGGAGGAGTGGAGGAAGAGGAAGAGGAGGAGGCGGAGGAAACAGAAGGGGTGGTGGTGGGGAGGGAGAAGAGAGACGAACGGAGCAAAGAAGGATGCAGCCGTTCTATATACTCCGGTAACCCTACAGACACCGCAAGCTTATCCCACACCCCTTCACCGAACACAATCTCATTCAACCCCTTTGGTTCATTCGCTTCCACTGCTCGCACTGCCAGCGGCACCAGCAGAGCCACTATCGCCCTCCGGCCGAGACCCCTTGTGGGATGCAGCAAACCGTTCAGAACCACTGTGATGTGGGATTGAACCGCAGGGTCGGAGAGATCTAGGGCTGGTTGCTGTAACAGGGTTACCACCTCGCACGCACACATCCAAAGTGCAACTTCCTCCTCTCGAATCACCCTCCCGTCTCCCCCCTCCTGGTCTCTCAGTCCCTCCATTCTCTCCCGGCTGTTGCGGCCGCTGCTGCTGCTTCGGCCAATCGCGTGCGTCCGTAGCTTCGTTCCCAAGCCTCCTTGCTTGGCTCGGGAGGCCGCAAACGCGAGCCGCTGGCTCGGGAACGGGAGGGAGTGCAGCGAGGAGAGGAACGAGTGGGCCGACCGGACGGCAGGGCTGAAAAAGGACGAAGCGAGGACTGTAGCGGCGGTCGGGCGGCGGGAGGGGTTGCGGTCTACTAGGCCTCGGATCACCGGTTGCACGGAGCTTGGCAGGTTGTAGAAAGCGGGCGGCAGACTGCCGACCGTGGCGAAGACGTGTGCCGAGTCCGGGTCGAAAAGCGGGCGGCGGAGGAAAATCTCTGCGATCACGCAGCCGGCCACGAAAATATCTTCCGCCCAACAAGAGCAGGAGGAGGAGCAAGAGGTCGAGGATGAGGATGGGCCTTGCTTGTCTGTTTCTTCCTCCTCCTGCATCATATGATGTCTGTTTGCTGTAACCATCGTACCAGCAGCAGCAGCTGAACCAGCAGACCCCATCCCCCCCCTCCGGTAACCCCTGGGGGAGACAGGAGGCGGGACAAGGATCTCTGGCGGCGGCCAATAGACGGGCGACAGGTGGCGCGTGGATTCGAGGAATCGAGAAAATTCCTCCACTTGCTGGAGTGTGCGTGACATTGAGAGGGGGGGGCGGGATGAGGGGGAGGGGGAGGGGGAGGGGGAAGGGGAAGGGGAGGGAGAGGGGGAGCGAGGGGAGGTTAAGGGAGGAGGGGTGGGTGGTGTGGGAAGTGGAGATGGTAGAGGGGAGGAGAAAGAGGGAGAAGGGAGGCTGGATGGGGAGGCAGCAGCAGCAGCAGCAGCAGCAGCAGCAGCAGCAGCAGCAGCAGCAGCAGCAGCAGCAGCAGCGGGGGAACCAGCAGGATTTCGCTGGTCCAAAGCAGTGTTACTCCCACCTTCCCTTCCCTCCCCCTTTCCGCGTCCTCCCAACCCCATTCCTCCTCCTCTTGTTCCCCCCCTCTCGCCCCCTCCCCAACCCCCTCCTCTCCCTCCACTCAACCCTGCTGGTCTAGGGCCCCTCTGGGGGTGAGGATGCACGAACAGCTGGCACCTCCCATGCCCACGTGGCGCCTCCTCATTGGTTGGCGGCGGGACCACGTTCTTGGCAGCCAATGCCGCGTCGCCAGCGAGGCAGTAGCCAAACGTGAGGTCGATCCAGTGGTGCAGCTCAGAAGAGACAAAATCGCCCTCCAGCGCCGCCCGGTGGAGGGTGAGGAAGCGGTGGACACGATCGGACTTGATTTGCAAGATCAGATCGTCGCCGTCCATCATGACTGCAGCTTCTGAAGATCCAGAAAGATCTCTTTCAAATTTGACTCCTCCTTCTCCCTTTCCTCCTCTCTCCCCTCCTCTCTCCCCTCCTCTCTCCCCTCCTCTCTCCCCTCCTCTCTCCCCTCCTCTCTCCCCTCCTCTCTCTCCATCCACCTCTGCTCCCCCCACACTGCCCGCAAACTCATCCATCCAATCAGGAGGCACCAGGTCGGGCAGCCCCTCATGGTACGACCGAAAGAGGGCAGGATCGAAAAAAAACTCGGGCAGGGTCTCATCAGGAGTCCACCTGTACATCCTCCCCATAGTACTAGGATACTCCTTAGGCTCAAAAACAGTCCTCACAACCCTCCTTAATATCCACAGAGGGAGTTTTCTCGCGGAATACATGCAAACTGCCACGTCAGACACACACTCCTCTGCCACGTGGTGTGGGACTTCGGAGGAGGAGTAGGTGAAATCGAGCTGCTCGTCGCCTTTTACCGCCCGCCACTTAGTTAAGCGAAGGTTCCGCCAACCCCTGAGGGCGCCTGAGGAGGAGGAGGAGAACGGGGATTCAGCAGCACTAGTAGCAGCAGCAGCAGCAGCAGCAGCAGCAGCAGCAGCAGCAGCAGGAGGAGGAGCAGCAGCAGGAGGAAGCGGAGGAAAAACTTCGCTTGCTCTATCAGCAGCAGACATAGGATCACTGACAGACGGGTCTGTGGATGGCAAACCACCAGTGTAAACCTTGAGAGCCCCAGAGGGAGCAACAGAAGCCACAGAGGGAACAACAGAAGCCACAGCAACCACTGAGACGTCAGAGGCAGAGGCAGAGGCAGAACGATGAAACAAACCCCCCCTGGTGACATCAAAAGGAGAGACAGTGAAATCAATCACCCACGGAATGACAGCGTGGAAATCCCTGTCTCCGCTCCTCCTCCCTGCTATTCTGTTGAGCTCCAGGAGATAATCCAGGTTGCTGATCTCCCATGCCATCCACCTGCCCAGGAGATCGCTGAAAGGAAGCTTCGCGGCAAGTGCGCGCTGCGGAGGAGGAAGCTTCCTTGATGTTGCATCCTCCTCGTCTTCTGTGTCCCCGCCTTTCGCCGTGACTACCTCTCCTGTCAAAATCACCTCCTCGGCTTGCCCCGTCTGCTCTCCTTTCCTTTCTTCTCCTCCTTTCCCTCCTCCTCTCCCTTCTTCTCCTCTCTCCTGTCTTCCAACCCCTCTCTTCTTATTACCATCACCAACCCCTCCTTTTCCCTCCCCTACTCCCCCTCCCTCCCCCTCTAAACCACCCCAAAAATCCCCTCCCAGCATCAACCGCGGCCACAGATTCGCCGAGAGCGTGATATTGGGCGGCACTGCTGCCCCACAGGAGATTCCAAGCGCATGTGCTGCCGCCACCCCCTGCAAGAATCCAAACGCGACCAGCCGGGCGGCAAACTCGTCTCGTAGCGCCTCGGGGCTGTGCCGAAGCACGCCGGCCAGAGTGAAGGGGACGGAGGGGTAGAGGAAGAAGATCGTGGTCCCTGATTGGTCAGGAGATTGGGCGGCAGTGGATACTAGTGCCGCTACAGGACAAAAGATGTTGTCCAAAGTGAGTTGGGGGAGGGTGGAGGAGGAGGAGGCGGATTCTGAGAAGGAGGTTGGAAGGGAGGAGGAGGAGGGTGAAAGGAAGGGTAGCAGATCAGACTTTTCCTCATGCGGCTGGTCCTGCTGCGGCTCCGAATGTGGCCGCTGCTGGTGCGAGTTCTGCTGCTCTTGCTGCTGCGTCTCCTGCTGCTGCTCCTCTTCAGGCACCCAGATTCGAAGGGAGGGGGTTTTGTGAGCCAGGTCACTGGCACCTTCTGCTGCTGCTGCTGCCCCTCCTGCCGCTCCTGCTGCTGCTGCTGCTGCTGTGGCTGTGGCTGTGGCTGTTCGTGTGGAGGGAGTGGGAGCAACAGGAGGCTTCGAAGACGAGCTCTTCTGTGGCTTCTCTCCCTTCTCTCCCTCACTCACTTGCTCTCCCTCACTCACTTTCTCTCCCTCACCCGCTTTCTCTCCCTGGCTCGCTTTCTCTCCCTCACTCACTTTCTCTTCCTCACCCACCTTCTCTCCCTCACCCACCTTCTCTCCCTCACTCACTTTCTCTCCCGCACTGACCGCCCCCTTATTGTCTCCCTCTGTCCTCCCATTCTTCTCCATCTCACCACCTCCACCCACCTCTCCCCCCATCCTCACCTCCCCTCCCTCCACTCCAGTCTCTTCAGTCTCAGGTGATTTTTCAGGTGAGCTTTCAGGTGCATTCCCAGGTAGTTGATCCGCGAGTTTGTCTCGTCTTGCTTCTGCGCCCCTCACTCCTTCCATCCCCTCTTCTCCTTCCCTCCCCTCTTCTCCCCTCTCCCCACTAGTGCCAAAGGAAAAGCTCCCCCTGTCAGAGTCACTGTGATTAAACTGAGGCCCTTTTTCCCCCTCTATAGGCTCTACAGTCTTCAATATAGTCACACTTTCAATAGGTGTGCTGCCATTCGATATAGTCACATCACTGGTACCCGCTACAAGCCCCTCTCGAACAGATAGAGATGCCACGACAGCAGATAGTGACCTGGCAGACGCATGTGTCCACGTCAGATTGGGTGCCAGCCTGGCAGCTACAGCCACAGCCCACTCCACATCACAGCAAGCTTCAGACCTTCTGCTCTGGTTCGGCAACTGGTTTGGAGATTGGTCTGGGAACTTGCTAGGTACGGCAGTTCTGGCATTACTGCTCCCACTCACTCCGTTTCTTCCTCCTCCCCCGTTGCATCTCCCACCCTCGTTACAGGGGCTGCGGCAGCGGCAGTACTGCAGACGTGGGGCAGTCTTATTGGCCCTCACCGCAAAGCACCGATTGGCTGCTCCTGCAAGGCTCGTCCACTGCTGCTGCTGCTGCTGCTGCTGCTCGTGCTCCTGCTGCTGCTGCTGCTGCTGCTGCTGCTGCTGCTGCCCCTGCTGTTTCCGGTTACCAGATGTCGCAGGTGGGAGGGCAGGTGGGAGGGCTGTATGGTCGAATTGAACAGAAGGGTCCGAGCCAAGAGAGCAGACATACTCGGGAAGGGAGAGGAGAGGGTTTGAGTCAACATTGATGGGGGGAGACGAAGAATCCTCCCCTCTTTGCTCCTCCCCCAGCCCCCCGCCTCCTGCACTGTCCGTGGTGGTGTCGGCATTGGAGGAGGGAGGTTCGGAGGCAGCCGGTTCGGAGGCGGCAGGTTCGGAGGTGGTAGGTTTGGGGGCAGCAGGTTCGGAGGTGGTAGGTTCGGAGGCGGCAGGTTTGGCAGTGGCAGGCTCGGAAGGCAGAGGTTGGTTGGAAGTTGGTAGGGAAGGGAGGGAGGAGGAGAGAGGGAGAGATCTCAACGTTCCTCCTGGAGCGGAGAAGCTGTGTGGATGCAAGGGTATGAATGAACAAGGCAGGGGAAAAACAGAAGACACAGGTTGGGTGCAGGCTGGTAGGGAGGGGAGGGAGGAAGAGAGAGGGAGAGATCCCAGCGTCCCCCCTGCCTCAGAGAAGCTGTGTGGGTGTGACGTGATGTGATGTGATGTGATATGGTGTGGTGTGGTGAGGTGTGGTGTTGTGTTGTGTGGTGTGGTGTGGTGTGGTGTGGTGTGGTGTGGTGTGGTGTGGTGTGGTGTGGTGTGATGTGATGTGATGTTTCACACAAAGCAGGGAGGAAACAGAAAGAAGTTGTGAAGTTTGATGTTGCAATGTTGCAAAAAACGTTGGGTTGGGAGAAAAGCGAGGAAAGTCACAAGTGCGTTGAATATGGGTGGGACAACGGAACGAAGGGACGAGGGATCGTAAGAAGGAAGCTTCAGTCTAAAACCCAAGGACCGGAAGGCACAGCGACATAACCCATGGTATTGCACCGCATTGCACCATGCCATACCCCATCCCCCAACTAACCAACCACCGTGCTGAACCACGGCATGCCTACATTGCACCAAGCCATATCCTATCCCACCCCATCCCCCACCCACTGCACTGCTTTGAAGCAAAACCCTTCCCCCACCGCACTGCACCGTAACGTACCCCTGGGAGTGGCAGAAGCGACAGCTGGCTCCGTTCCGGCATGTGATTGGCTGCAGCAGGAACTGCTGACTGCGGCCGGGTCTGGTTGGATTGAAGACATTGCAAAGGGAAGGGAAAGGTGTCAACCGGAGTTCAGAGGTAAGAGTTCAGGGGAGCTTAGCGTTAGAGTTTAGGCATCGCAAAAGGGAAACCAGCAGAATTTGCTCGCCTTTCAGTGGGAACATAGTTGTTAGAGGAGGCCGCGTGGGCTTCACTCTTTCAACAGTTGTCAAAAGTGAGTTACAAGGAATCTGCTCACCTTTCAGCGGGTTTAGTCTTTAGAGGAGGCCATGGGCTTCACTTTCGAGTCTTGTCAAAGGTGTTTTCAGGAGAGAGAATCTGCTCACTCACCTTTCAGTGGGAACGTAGTCCTTAGAGGAGGCCACGGGCACTCCGCGCTCATCCACCTCCACCTGTTAGGGGGAGAGGCATGGGGGAGAGGCATGGGGGAGAGGGATGGAGGAGAGGGATGGGGGAGAGGGATGGGGGAGAGGCATGGGGGAGAGGCATGGGGGAGAGGGATGGGGGAGAGGCATGGGGGAGAGGGATGGGGGAGAGGGATGGGGGAGAGGGATGGGGGAGAGGGATGGGGGAGAGGGATGGGGGAGAGGGATGGGGGAGAGGGATGGGGGAGAGGGATGGGAGGGAAAAGGAGAGAAGGGGAGAAGGATGGGGGGACATAGCCTTAGAGGAAGCCACGGGCACTCCGCGCTCATCCACCTCTACCTGTTAGGGGGAGGGGGATGGGGGAGAGGGATGGGGGAGAGGGGGAGAGGGAGGTGTTTTTTAGTCGACTCTGTCTTTAGAGGAAACCACAGGCACTCCGCGCTCATCCACCTCTACCTGTTAGAGGAGAGAGATGGGGGAGAGAGGCGAGGGGGACGGATGGGGGAGAGGGGAGGGGGCGAAGGATGGAGAGAAGGGAGGGATAGAGGGATGGGGGGATAGGAGAGGTTCAGTCAGAGGTGAAAATTCAGTTGAATCTAACGACATCCGTTGGCTACTCAGTAACCACCTCTCACCTCGTATACTATCAGCCCGCTTTATGGTAAGGTTGGCCGGCTAGGATCCGTCTTATCACATTTCCTTATTGATCACGGCCAAGAATCCGTCTCATTCTGAAAACAATTTTCAGTCCGCTGTGCGCATGGGGTTAAGAACCTAACAACATTCTTTGCTAATACGGTCTTTAATCGGTCGTACCTCGCACACTATGAGTCCGCTGTTCGGTAAGGGCGGGCGACTAAGAACACAGCCCGTTTTTAACCAGCGTCTTAAATCGGTCTCACCTCGCACACTATTAGTCCGCTGTGCGGTAATGGCGGGCGACGCCACGAGTGCGGCTCGACGGCGAGCAAATGGGAGACGAACACGTCAGCAGAGAGTTGCTGGCGAATCAGCTCCGACGCCTCGACCAGCGATAGCGACTGCGATTGGCCCATGCTGACGTGGAACTGCAGATTTCCCTTCCGATTTCCCGCCTCAGGTATTTTCGCACAAGGACCGAAGATCAAGCGGCATAATGGGAGAGTGGCTCTCGAGATTTCTTACGAATCCTTTGCAAGCGCTTCAAATCGCCGAATCTCCTGGCGGAATAACACAGAAAATGTGGCTCAACCAACCGAATTCGCGTATTTTACGTCGCCTGTGTGTGTAGCCTAGAAGGTCGAACTAGGCTTGTAAATTTGGCGACGAAAACGAACAAATTAGAAGGCGAAAACGAATGCGGAGGTCAAGCAACGCGGAACAATGCGGAGGTCAAGCAAAACGGACCATCCAACACAGCAGTGAGTGGAAGCGATGCCTAATGTCCGTGACTCCCTAAGAATTCAAAGACGGCCTAGAAACCTCCTCCCACCACAAGATCCCAATCCATGATGCAACTCATGGCTCCTTGGGAAGCATTGATGGGTGGTGGGGACGAGTGGGAGTCTGTCACAGCGCCTGCTTGCCTCCAACTGTTGCACTCGAGGCCAACAGAAACAAGGCCCAGATTCTACCTTGCGGCTGCGAACGCTTTCGCACGGCTTTTGCGAGATGGCCGGCGAGTGGTGGAGAACAGCGAATTCGGTTGGTGGAGTGGGCTGAGGTGAGAGTAGTGTGAAGAATTCGAGGCGATGTCTCGATAGAGGCCCATACACTACGCATCAACATACTCTCAATCTTCTTAGTGCTCGGATCAACCAATACACCATGGGTTCCTGCAAATTTTAGTATAGACAAGGAACTGCTAAGGGAAGGGAGAGATGCCTACTGTGTTCCTTTGCCATGTAATATTATTTCTCAACATTTGAACATTTGTGTCTCTTGGATAGTTCTTGAGGTGGTGGCGCATGCCTTGTAGATTTCCATATCAATGTCCGTCATTATGAAATGTAGCGTTGATATATGAGACGGTCATTGTTATTGCGTCGCACCTGCATGCTGTCGCGGAGCACCTTACATACGCTTGAGATTTCAAATGTCCTCTAGCAAAGAGACAAGCAGATACGGACAAGGTGCCGCGACGCGAAATGCCTAGCTCGCACACTGGCGAGTAGCACTTCAGTGAGAGGAGCAGAGAACATCGAGTCGCGGTTGAGCATTTCACATTTCACATCACAACAAACCCCCACTCCACACCACACCTTCCACCGCCACTCAGGAATTTCCTTCCGAACCTCTCGACTTGCGCGGCCCTGACGGTGGTTTGGCTGGGGGAAGAGGTTGTGCAAGCTCAGTACAAATGCAGCGCCTCTCCTCATTTCCATCCATCCATCATTCGGACTAACGCAACCACTTTCAGCTACATTTGACTTCTCTTCAGTCTACCCATTCAGCATCAGGCGCATCTTAGTTTATCTAGTCCATATCGTTTGACATTTAGAAACAACGACTCGAGCGTCTCGAACCATCGTTCTAGCACCCCATATTCCGCATTAATACCGCTTTATAGAAAATATGGCATGCAATTCGAAGATCGAGATTACAGCATCCAGCGAGCTCTCTAGCAGATACATTCTCAAGGAATTTCTAGGCGAGGGTCAGTACGGCACAGTGTGGCGCTGCGAGGAGCGCACGACGGGCGAAAATTTCGCGCTCAAGTACATCGACCTCACCAAGTGCAGCAGCAGGGCCCGCCTCGCAGCTCTCAGCGAAGTCGAGATCCTCCAAAAGATACGCGATTCTGGCTTCTCCGATAGTGTCGTATCGCTCAAGGAAGTGTACGGGGACAACGATTCTCTTTATCTTGTAATGGAGCTGTGCACTGGCGGGGATCTTCTCGAGCTTATCCAGAATCAGCCCGGCGCGTTTATCAGCGAGGCGGGGTCGCGCCACGTGTTCGCGTCCGTGGCGCGCGCCGTGAAGCAGTGCCACGCCAGCAGCATCGTCCACCGCGACATCAAACCCGAAAACATTCTCATCTTCCCGACTTCAAAAAGCGTCCCCGCCGCCGCTGCCGCATCAGATAACGGCGCCGCGTCGTTCTCGTACACCGCGAAGCTCGCAGATTTCGGGCTCGCTGTGGACGTGCCGTGGTTGCAGCAGATTCGCGGGTATGCCGGCAGCAAGCCGTATGAGGCGCCGGAAACTTATGGCGGGGGTTGCGTACGACGAGTCCGCGGATATCTGGAGCCTCGGAGTGACTCTCTATGCGATGATTTCGGGAAAGTGGCCGCTATTCAGGGGCGGGAAGCGGGTCTTCGACGAGAAGGTCGATTTCGCATCGGACGACTGGAAGAACGTGTCGAGCGATGCCAAGGATCTCATCCGTCGGATGCTGTGTGTGGACGTGAACGAACGGTTCACGATTGATGAAGTTCTGGCGCATCCGTGGGTGCGCCCAGCAGTCGAGGCAGCGGCTCAGGAAGCGACGGAGACCGTCGATCTGTCAGAAGGACGAGGAAGCATGCCGTTGGCGAGTGCGACCAACAGCACCGACAGTGATTCTGGGAGCAACGTAGAGAAGCCGCGCTGGGGCGGAAAGCTATCTCCGCGCACCGTTCTGAACCACATCAAGAAGGTCTTCTCCCCAATCACGCACCAGAGGGAGGCGTCGTGCATCCCCATCGAAGTTCTCTGAGCGTCTTCGTTTATAGATGTTCCAATACTTAGTACCGACCCTCCTTCTGTAGTTTAGACTGTTAACTCTGATTTTAGGGCAACAGGAAGAGTTGCTGTGGTGCCCGGAGATCTTAGGGTACGATCCCGAGCACCCTAGCAACTCAGTCCTTGCATTAAAATGTGTATGCCTGATCTGCTTTGTAAGAATAAATTACTGCTTGCAGCAAGCAAGCTTGAACTGCACTCTCAAATAGCGCTGAGAATTGGGGAGCTCTGTCCTACCGTACTTGATGATTGAGGGCAGATATGGGGTGCTCTACAGGCCTAGCGTTGGGAGTTGGGATAAGGCGTACATGCAGTGACTGTAGTTTCAGCAATAAGGTATCAAATCAACGGGTGAAGGATGGGATGGAATGGAACGTCCATCACGGGTGGCCCACGATGTCGTTAGTTACCGAGGAGTAGAGCAGCTCATTCCAACAAGGGAATTCATACCAGCTCATGTCGTGTGGTTTTTTACAATTTGAAGCAGCGTGTTTGTTTTGAAAATGGGGTAAAACACGTACTCCCAGCTATATGTTGGAAATGCTACATGCTACATTTGACACATGGTACCTACAACCAGCTTCATGTTGGAAATGTCACTTCCCTTCCCTTTCCAAAAAAGGTTCCTAAGCAAATCATCCTAAACCTTCACCATACATTAGCAAATGATACAATAAGCTGCTGCAGCTGACACCTCAATGTGAGGCTAAAATTATAGCATGCTGCCACTTCCGGCCTCATGTTACAAGTTGATTTTAGTCCTGTAGACGTTACTCGCCGTCCAATACGGGGGAATCGCATTCCGCACTATAACGGGTTTCGGTTCCGCGCGGGGCCAGATGCGAAACGAGAGCGCTTTGCCGGTTAACGGCTGGCCGACAAGCTCGAAGACGGTGCCGAAGCTTCGCTTCATCATGAACCACGGTCCTCCGCCAACCGACAAATCCATCCGCTTGATGTCCCCCGACCCGCCCACGTTGAGCGGAAGAACTGGCGGAAAGGGAAAGCACCAGGGGGAAAAGGAGCGTGCATAAATAAGTGTGAGGGGGAGTAGCGGAGTAGGACCCGCCCACGTGCGCGGAAGCACTTGCGGAAGGGGAAAAGAATTGGGGGAGCAGGGGAAAGGCTCACGGAGCTGCAATGCAGGGGGGGAGGGGGGGAGAACTGTGGGCGGGTATAAGAGAGGAAATAAGGGGGGTTCCGCCCTCCAAATGTTCCCCCCAAATGTGCTCAAGACCCCCAAGTTACGTCGAAGACCTGGGAAAGGGGAGCAATCATTCCATCTCACGTTCATCCATGAGACGTCATGTTTGTCGCCTGAAACGTTGCGATGTAGAAATCATCGCCGGTAATGTGAAACATGGACGCTGCATTATCATCCCGTATTCGTTCCTGAGATATAGAACCCATAGCCTGTAACGTTAAACATAGGCGCCGCATTATCATCCCATATTAGTTCCTGAGATATAGAACCCATCGCCGGTAACGTCGAACATCTCGCCACCGCCGCTCGGACATCGCATGTTACACTCGTACATTACCCATAACTTGTAACATCAGAGATAAGCGCAGCACTACACTCGTACCTGAGATGTAGAAACCGTCGCCTGTAACATTGAACATAACGCCACCGCCGCTCGGGCATCGCACGCGCGACACTTCAACCGGTACCACTCCGACAGACGGATTCCGCGCGATTTGCGCCCACACATCGCTCGATAGAGTCACACTCAACTTCCCGCCGTCGCACCACCCGCCGTAAGACGCCGCGGGGCAAAGGTTTGTGATTTTAACGGTCGGGGAAACCGTTCCGGGGATGCATTGAGGGCTGTTGACGCAGCGCACTCGTATGCACGCGCCGCATGCTTGGCCTCGTGCGTAAATTGGTGCGGAAATAGACGCGGTATAGCCGGGCGCGATACCGTATCCACACGAGCCGTATTGGCTGTTCTGATTGGCGTAGTATGTAGCCGTGAAGCCTTTAACCCACTTGTTATATTGCGCGGAAGCAACTAACGCGAACGAAAGAAGGGAGAGTGAGATTAGGAGAGAGAATCTTCTGAACGCGCCCATGCTTTCTAGTAAGAGGAATCTGATAACGTAGAACGGCGGTAATTCAAATGCACTAGATGAAAGCAAGTAATCTAGGTAAACTCTCACGGACGAAATTCTGACCCGAGGTCTTCAAGAGGTTGAACTCGCACCAAGGTGAATAACAGCAGGACTTGAAGCTTGGCTGCGCGAAGCCTGCTTTGAAAAGCTGATTATTTTCGACGTGATGAAATGGGGACACACTGGCAGTTTTGGCGCGTCTGTTGCCGTGCTGGAAAAAGGAAAGCTGAGTTGCCATGTGCATGGCCTCTGCTGCGATAGTGACTGTGGAAAGTTGGGTTGGGTGCGTTAAAGTTCGGTGCGAAATATGGCAGTGGTTGTGGAGTCTGGAATGCTCGCGTGTGAAGTTGTCGTGCCACGAATCCGATCCCTCCCCCATGGTCTCTGTGAACACTTCCGCACGAAATTGGAGAAATGCGACTCGAAGTGTGCAATGCGGATGTGTAGGCTACAATGTTTACGGATCTCGTTTGTAAAAACCTCGAAACCGTAAAAGCTCGACGGTGAAAACAACTTTGCCGTCACTCACAACTTTACTAAGTCACAGCTTCACATATCAAGTTGCTCATCAAATTCTAGCACCCTATCGCATTTCCATGTAATGGTACAGTCAACATAGCACCACTTTCACATTGGCAACTTTCTTCACAGCATAAAAGCAATCCACTTGTCGAGACATCAAGCAATCCATAAGGAGCTTAAGGGGGTTCTTGGGCTGTAACCTAACACTACAGCCCATTTGGTTGATACCGTACTTGAAAACCAGAAAATATAACTCATCTCCCAAGCACATTCACCTTCAATTCTCTTGAGCAAAAATCTTAACGCTCCATCAATGGAAAAAGACACTTCTTGGATATTCCACATGGTAAGGGCCTTCTTCCCAAAGCCTTTCATGCAGGATCTCTCTTGAGATCTCCCCTTCAGATATCCCCTTCAGATTCAGATCTCCCCTTCAGATATCCCCTTCAGATCTCAACTTCAGATATCCCCTTCAGATATCCCCTTCAGATCTTCCCTTCAGATTTCCCCTTTACCAGGGCCATCCTTTCATGATCTTCCATCCAGAGCCTTCCATTCATGGTATCGAACCCAAAACTTTCCATTCAGGTCAGGGTGTCTCTCGTCAATACCCCGAGCGCGGCTGGTTTCGCATTTGTCCAGACCCTCCCTTCCCCGAACCAGGGGACATTGGGGACGACGAGCCGTACGGGGCGGGCGGCACCGGTGGGCGAATTCCGTACGGAGTGGTCATGCCGCCGCCCAGGCCTCCGCCCATTCCGCCGCCCATCCCACCGCCGATTGCCCCAGGCATTCCCATCCCGCCTCCTGCTGCCGCTCCTGCTCCCGCCGAAGCATTGGGATTGGGGGGTGTCATGGGGCTGCTGTAGCTTGGAAACTGCTGGTGGGGAAGGGGAGACGGGTGGCAATGAGAGGAGAGTAATATTTGAGTCACGTACAATAGCAGGCACTGTGATTGGAGGGTGCCATGGGGCTGCTGTAGCTTGAAAACTGCTGGTGGAGGGGAGGGAGGAGAAGGGGAAGGGGAATGGGGTAGGCGAAAGGGAGGGAAGGGATGAGAAGGGAAACACAGAAAAATCTACCTGGTTGTGCTGACTTTTGAGTCGACTCAAAAGTCACCTGGTTGCGCTGAGATTCCTTGTCCAGAGACCCACCTGGTAGGTCCGCAATCCTAGACGATTTTATCTTTTGAGACATCTCAAAAAGGGGAAAAAAAACTGCTGAATGGGATGTGCTGCATAGTTGGTTGAATTGCCACTGGAGACAGTGGGTGTGCATTCCCATAGAAGCAGTTACCTGGTTGAGCTGAGAGCTGAAGTCCCTGAATCCCCAACTAGCCCCCTGGTAGGGCATCCTCGAATAGGCAAAGGCTGTTGTAACGACCAGCAAAGGCTGCTGACTGAATGACTAAATCACTAAGCTAGACACGTTACCTGATTCAGTTGCGACCCATAGTCCATGTATCCTCCGCAACCCCCTGGTAGGGCATCCTAAAATAGGCAAAGGCTGCTGTGACGACCAGTAGTTGACTGACTGGATGACCAAACGACTGAACACGTTACCTGGTTGAGTTGGGATCCATAGCCCATGTACCCTCCACTAACCCCCTGATAGGGCATCCTAAAATAGGCAAAGGCTGCTGTGACGACCAGTAGTTGACTGACTGGATGACCAAACGACTAAACACGTTACCTGGTTGAGTTGGGATCCATAGTCCATGTACCCTCCACTAACCCCCTGATAGGGCATCCTAAAATAGGCAAAGGCTGCTGTGACGACCAGTAGTTGACTGACTGGATGACCAAACGACTAAACACGTTACCTGGTTGAGTTGGGATCCATAGTCCATGTACCCTCCACTAACCCCCTGGTAGGGCATCCCGGAATAGCCGCTTCCTGTAAAAGGCAAGAGATGGTGGGGTGGGGACGGGAGGAGGGAGGGAGTGTAAGGGGAGAAATAAAGGCGGCGCGGCACCGGACATGGAAGCAGAAACCCTCTAGGTGTGCAGGTTCGGTCCTCGGTCCTCTAGTTGGGGGCCAAACCTCTCCAGCACCACTGCTTTGTCGAGTTTTAAGATGTCTCAAAAGCCAACAGCTTGCTTCAAGTGCTTCTCTTGGCATTTACCACCCACCCGGGCCCGGATTTGAGACTTCCCCAAAGTGACTCAAATATTCCACCGCCCACGAGGTGCCATGGCTTTACATCTCAACACTCCTGCCTGATAATCCGGATTTGAGAAAGTCTCAAAACTCGGTGGTCAAACAGAGTCGGGTTCTGCATCGTTCAGGTTTTCTGCAACCCCCACCAGTAAGTCCTAAACGGCCAGCAGAAGGAGGATTCTACTCCACTCCTGTCTGTTAATCCAGTTTTGAAACGTTTCAAAACTCGGTGGTCAAACAGAGTCGAGTAATGAATCGTTCGGGTCTTCTGCATGCAACACCCCCACCAGTAAGTCCTAAAAAACCAGCAAAAGGAGGATTCTACTCTGCATGCACCAGATATGCTAATCGAAAATACAGGTCTCGAGTCTTTTGACTGTCAGTCCCATTCTCTTATGTCACTCAACCCTGAACATAATTTCGCTGGAACTGTTCAGTCATAATTCTCAGAGAGCAGCAGTTGTGTAGCCTAGGCTTAAGCAAAAGAACAACAGCGGTAAAACGCTCTGTAAAACTAAGTTCTCTTATGTCACTGAACCCTGAACATAATTTCACAGGAACTCCACTTAATTTCGAAGAACCTAAGAAACTCCATGATGTGAAGTGGAGTGGACTGAGCATAAAGCGAGAAAACATGCCCAAGACAGAGTCATATTTCCCAGACCTCCATGCCATGTGGTGCTTTTAGAGAAGCTCAAAAGCAACTCAGATACAGCTACTTTCCTGAACGACATTTTTAATATGAGAGCCATGGGGTGCTTTCCTGTATGGCACGAGAGCCTCGAGTCTATCACACCGAAGTCTGTATGAGATGAAGACTCGACATAGACAACTAGACCTATCAAATCGAATCAAAAGGGGTCTCTACCAAACCACTTTTAAAAAAAATGGACTGGAAAGAGGAAATTACTTATATCCTCTATCAAGGTAAAGTTTGCGTCGACTCAGAAACATAAATGAAGGGGTTGAAGTTTTGAGTCGACTAAAAATTTGAGCCAAGGGGGTGGGGTAGAGCTCAATGAGAAAAAGAACAAGTGCTTTGAACGTAACAGGAGGGGATGAAGCTGAACGTTCTAGAACTAAGCACTTGCTCGGGGCACATCTGGAGTCGCTTTTGAGTCCCGGTGCATACCTTGAGTGTACTGTGCGTACCTCTTAATGATGTCACATAAGGAGCACTCAAGGATTCAGGTGGAATGCGAGAGAAAGAAAAGCTTATGCCTACACGAGAAGCGACCCTAGCGGTAGCGACACCCTGAGACCAAGAGGAATGTTGATGTATATTAAGAAGAGAGGAGTTGCAGACGCAGCAAGAGGTTTGGAAACTGATGAGTGCCAGCTGGCATGTTGGGCGGCAACACTGCTGACTCATCAGCGGCGGCAAGTAGGAAGATCCGATCTTGACATGATCCCCACAGCAATGCACTCCCTTTCACCGTGCTCCACTCCTTCTCACCGTGCCCCATCCATCTCCGGTCAACCATTCCGCACCATTCCCTCCCACCACATTCGCAACCAATGCCAATTCGTCCAATGATCCTCACTCACCTGCCTGCCTGCCTGTCTGCCTTCTGTCTCCTCAGGTAGAGAGAGGGAGCGACAGAAAGAGTGAGACACGAAAAGCCCCGAGCAAAGCAGGGAACAAGATTACCTGTGACCTGTCTGCTGCACCTTTCTTGAACTCGTTATAAGGCTTTCATAACAGAGCGACCGCTAGAGAGCAGAGAGTGAACTCAAGAAAATGATGCACGTCTTCAGGAGAAGCGCCAGAGGTGTGCCAGCTGGCACGTTGGGCGGCGGCAATGAAACACTTAACTAAGCAATGGGTCTCACTCACTCACCTTCCGTCTGCTGCAGCTTGCAACTTCTTAAGTTTCACTCAACAAGGACAACTAGAGAGGGTAGAGCGACTTGTAAGGGCGAAGGAGACAAAGAAGACGAAAAAAGAGAATCATGTCAACCCAAAGGCAGGAAAAAGGTTGCACCACACTGCACCACACTGCACTGCACTGCACTGAGCTCCCGCGTACCGCACTGCAATCCCTCTCCACTTGTTACACCCACTACCTTGGCTCATCATAGCCAGCAGGTTGGCGATTCGGGCTTTAAGGCGCTCCACATCCCAAGCAGGTGTAACCGCGCTGCACTCCCTCTCACCGCACTGCACTCTCTTTCCAAACTCATACGTACTACCTTGACTTATCATGGGCGGCAGGTTGGCAATCTGGGCTTTAAGACGCTCCACGTCCCGAGCAGACGCAATGAGATTCTTCTCCATGGCTCCCCGCTGCTCCACCAGATCCATGTTGGCCTTCTTCTCATACTCCACCGCTTGCCTGCTCCCACATGCATGGGTGGGGGTCAGTGGAATGGGATGGGGTCACACCAACACTGCCTAGCCTAGCCTAGCCAGCGCTACAAAGAGCCTGAAGAGAAGAGGTAAGGAGGACGCGATGAGGTTCTTTTCCATGGCGCCCCGCTGCTCCACCAGATCAAATCCATGTTGGCCTTCTTCTCGTACTCCACCGCTTGCCTATATTCGGATGGAAACAAGGTCGTAACGTGGATGGGATGGGATGCAGTGGAGAATATCCGAGATGGGCAACCACGTTACGGAATGGAGGCTAGGCAATGGATGCCTATATACCAGCCAGCACGACCTAGCCTAAAGTCTACCAACTGCCAACCTACTGCTACACGAGATCCATGTTGGCCTTCTTCTCATACTCCACCGCTTGCCTATAAGTGAGAATGTGAGATGGTATGGTGCAGTGCGGTATGGCATGGTATGAGATGGGTCACACGAACCAATGCTGCCTAGCCTGGACTACAGCCACCTGTCGCTCCGCTGCCTCCACGAGGTCCATGTTCGCCTTCTTCTCATACTCCATCGCTTGCCTACGAGTGATTACAAGATGGAACAGTACGGTATGAGATGGTGATAGCGGTCAGTAGAATGGAATGGGTGGGATGTACGGGGGGACACTAACACTGCCTAGCCTAGCCTCCATGGCGCCCCGCTGCTCCACCAGATCCATGTTGGCCTCTTTCTCATACTCCACTGCTTGCCTATGAGCGAGAACAGCATGTGGTATGATATGTGATGGTGATGACAGTCAGTGGAGGGGAAGCATTAACACAGCCTAGCCTACAGCCACCCCTCCCCCCGCTGCTCCACCCAATCCATGTTGGCCTTATTCTCATACTCCACCGCTTGCCTATGTATAAAGTAGTGCGGTATGGTATGGTATGGTATGGTATGGTATGGTATGGTATGGTATGGTATGGTATGGTATGGTATGGTATGAGATGGTGATAGCGGTCAGGTCAGTCGCTGGGACGTGATAGGGCACACACCTTTCGTCTCGTAATCCACCACTTGCCTACGTACGGATGAGTTTAATGCGGTATGGGTCGGTCGTGACAGTAAGTGGAAATGATAGGGGTACACCAATGCTGACTACTACGATTCAACTATCGACCCGCTGCTCCACCAAGCTTAGTCAGATTAGTCAGATTTAATCAGATTAGTCAGGTCGGTCGAACCGAGCTTGCAGCTTTCTACCCGTTTTCTTAGTTTGAGAGCAGAGAACAGTTCCTCTTGAGTTCTACAAATCTGTCCGCTGCCCTGCTGCCCGCTGCTCCACCAAGGGACCAGTTCTTTTTGAATCCTACAAATCTACCCACTGTGCCGCTGCCCTGCTGCCCGCTGCTCCCCTGCGCGCTGCTCCCCTGCCCGCTGCTCCCCTGCCCGCTGCTCCCCTGTCCCCTGCCCGCTGCTCCCCTGCTCCACCAGGGACCGGCTCTTGAGTATTCTAAAAAGCCATCCGCCCATTGCTCCAGAGAAATGAGCAGCTGCTACCCTTCCCCCGACTTCACCACCTGCCTAGTGCCAAGGCTGCTAACACAATGCTGTCACGACCGACCCATACCGCATTAAACTCATCCGTACGTAGCCTAGCCTAGCCTCGAACCATACCGGCTGCTACCCTTCCCCCGACTTCACCACCTGCCTAGTGCCAAGGCTGCTAAACAACCTGCTCTTGGAATGCTAAGTTCACTCCACTGCTTGCTTGCTCCAGAGAGCCCACCTAGTGTTACAAACCGATGATACTTACCTGCCTGCCTGCTTGCATGCATACAAGCCTTTGGCGAACATGATGCATTCGGCGAAACACGTGATGCATGGTGGGTGGGATGGACGGTGGGTGGAATGCACATGTGGAGTGAGATGCGCTAGATTCTGAGCCGACACCGATCGCATACCCACATCAAGCATGCAATGAAAAATGCGATGCAAGTTGTAATACATAGTGGGATGAGATGGGATGGGATGTATGGTGGGACAGGATGGGTAGAGTAGACGATTTTATGAGGGTCCTCAAAAGTCAACATTTAGGGATTAGGGTCAGAAGTAGCAGCAAAGTAAGCTAGCATCTCTGGACAAGCAACTGAGCAGTGAGCTCATGCCACTAGTGCCATGCCAACCTCCTTTGCCTGCACATCTGATGCCTGCGCCCAGTAAAGTCCAGACCCCGCCCACCAATGAGCAGAATGCTTCACATGCCAGAGGTTGATTGATGCAACTGATCGACTTGCATTGTGCACATCCACTTCGAAACTCGCATTTATACAATGCACCATGCAACTCGTTCACTTGCCTATGGGCTGAGAGATCATGTGCACGTCCAATGCACGCCTACATATGCTGAGATGAGAACCTACAATGCCTATGAGATGAGATCTCATGCCTATGTTAGAATCACTTTGAGGACTCTAAAGAATTCAACACAGCAATAAGGTAACGAACTGAAAGTAATAATAAACCCCAAGACTTCTACACCCTCACGTAACCTACCCCCACCTTCGTCATACATACACCAAACACGCACGGCACTTGTATGAGGGGGGCCAATGCTCAAGGAACAGAAGGCAGCGGAGCATAGAGCCATAATTAAGTTTTGAGACGTTTACTAACAAGTTTTGTTTTGAGACGTCTAAAAACGATTTTTGATTGATACATCTAAAACTAGACTAGAACCCACCAAAAAAAAAAAAAAAAAAAAAAAAAAAGGACTCATAGAAAGGCGCTTAGGGTTAACTTGGCGTGGGCGAGGTCCTAGGTGAGAGCGTCCAGCTCCTGCCTTAGCTGTGGCACCCACCTCACAAGAGATACGCACTCATGAAGACTCGAAATCTCACCTGCAGAGAGCAAGTTCCTGGTTGAGAGAGTCGAGCTCCTCCTGCCTTAGCTGCTTCACAGGCCTGCCTGCCAGGCATGATGAAACCCACCTGGCCAAAGCAAGCGCGTGAAGCGCACCTGGCGAGGGCGAGTTCCTGGGTGAGGGCGTCGACCCCCTGCCTCAGCTGAGCTATAAACTCACCAGGCTGGCAAGCAACAGAAGGTGCTAGATTTTCAAGCTGACCCGATGAGAGCTCCTGCCACAGCTTGGGCAGCAGCTGCACGTCAGCGTGCATGCGGTCGAGGTCCTGGTTCATCTGCCCTATCTGCGCCGCCTGCTGCTGAATTTGTATTAACCTACTGCCTCCCTCTGCCAGGGTTTTAATAAACCTCACCTGGCGAGTGCGAGTTCCTGTGTAATTGAGTCAACCTACTGCCTCCCTCTGCCAGGGTTTTAATCAACCTCACCTGGCGAGTGCGAGTTCCTGTGTAATTGAGCCAACCTACTGCCTCCCTCTGCCAGGGTTTTAATCAACCTCACCTGGCGAGTGCGAGTTCCTGTGTAATTGAGCCAACCTACTGCCTCCCTCTGCCAGGGTTTTAATCAACCTCACCTGGCGAGTGCGAGTTCCTGTGTAATTGAGTCAACCTACTGCCTCCCTCTGCCAGGGTTTTAATCAACCTCACCTGGCGAGTGCGAGTTCCTGTGTAATTGAGCCAACCTACTGCCTCCCTCTGCCAGGGTTTTAATAAACCTCACCTGGCGAGTGCGAGTTCCTGTGTAATTGAGCCAACCTACTGCCTCCCTCTGCCAGGGTTTTAATCAACCTCACCTGGCGAGTGCGAGTTCCTGTGTAATTGAGTCAACCTACTGCCTCCCTCTGCCAGGGTTTTAATCAACCTCACCTGGCGAGTGCGAGTTCCTGTGTAATTGAGCCAACCTACTGCCTCCCTCTGCCAGGGTTTTAATCAACCTCACCTGGCGAGTGCGAGTTCCTGTGTAATTGAGCCAACCTACTGCCTCCCTCTGCCAGGGTTTTAATCAACCTCACCTGGCGAGTGCGAGTTCCTGTGTAATTGAGCCAACCTACTGCCTCCCTCTGCCAGGGTTTTAATCAACCTCACCTGGCGAGTGCGAGTTCCTGTGTAATTGAGCCAACCTACTGCCTCCCTCTGCCAGGGTTTTAATCAACCTCACCTGGCGAGTGCGAGTTCCTGTGTAATTGAGCCAACCTACTGCCTCCCTCTGCCAGGGTTTTAATCAACCTCACCTGGCGAGTGCGAGTTCCTGTGTAATTGAGCCAACCTACTGCCTCCCTCTGCCAGGGTTTTAATCAACCTCACCTGGCGAGTGCGAGTTCCTGTGTAATTGAGTCAACCTACTGCCTCCCTCTGCCAGGGTTTTAATCAACCTCACCTGGCGAGTGCGAGTTCCTGTGTAATTGAGCCAACCTACTGCCTCCCTCTGCCAGGGTTTTAATCAACCTCACCTGGCGAGTGCGAGTTCCTGTGTAATTGAGCCAACCTACTGCCTCCCTCTGCCAGGGTTTTAATCAACCTCACCTGGCGAGTGCGAGTTCCTGTGTAATTGAGCCAACCTACTGCCTCCCTCTGCCAGGGTTTTAATCAACCTCACCTGGCGAGTGCGAGTTCCTGTGTAATTGAGTCAACCTACTGACTCCCTCTGCCAGGGTTTTAATAAACCTCACCTGGCGAGGGCGAGCTCCTGGGTAATTGAGTCAATCTCCTGCCGCAGCTTGGGCAGCAGCTGCACGTCAGCGTGCATGCGGTTGAGGTCCTGGTTCATCTGCCCTATCTGCGCCGCCTGCTGCTGAATCTTCGCCGACTGCTGCTGCAGCTGGGCCGACTGCTGCTGCAGCTGCTGCTGCTGCTGCTGCGCCTGCTGGTGCTGCGCCATCCGCGCAGCTTCCTCTGCCTGTCTGCGTGACGTCAGCGCCTGGATCTCGCCCCGAGTGCCCTGAAGTTCCTGCCTTGCCGCCTGCAGCTCCTGCCTGAGTGTATCTGGGGGGAAATGGGAAGGGAAAGAGAGGGGGAATTGAAGGAGAAGACACAAGGACGGTTGAATAAGGTTAGATCACCACAAATGAGCGCCTGGATCTCCCCTCACTCCCCTGAAGCTCCTGCCTTGCCGCCTGCAGCTCCTGCCTGAGTGTATCTGGGGGGAAATCGGAAGGGAAAGAGAGGGGGAATTGAAGGAGAAGACACAAGGACGGTTGAATAAGGTTAGATCACCACAAATGAGCGCCTGGATCTCCCCTCACTCCCCTGAAGCTCCTGCCTTGCCGCCTGCAGCTCCTCCCTGAGTGTGTCTGGTGGACGATTAGAAAAGACGGAGAGAAATGGAGGCAATCGGAAGGAAAAAAAAAGAGGTTGAGTTGAGAAAACACGGTGAGTGCCTGAAATTCGGGCCCTGTAATTTCCCCCTCGTTCCCCGAAGCTCCTGCCTTGCCACTTGCAGCTCCTCCTGATAAGAGAGTCTCAGGGAGAAATTAGATGGGAAAGGGAGAAGGAAAATCAAGTGGGGAGGGGCCGATCTCCCCCCTCGTTCCCTGAAGTCCCCCCTCGTTTTTCTGAGGGGCCGATTTTGTTTGTTGTTTGGATGAAATAGAGAGTATGAAGCATCGCTATTTTATCCAAACAACAAACCCTAGAACACACCAACAAACGCACCCGCATACCGGCGTCGCACTCTGCCTTATAAATCACCAACACAACACACCTGCGCCTCTCAGGTCCGCTTCTACCTTCGCCTTGGTATCCATCAACCCTCTGACCACCTGACTGTCTAGAGAGCTCCAACAAAAGCACCTGCATTCCCGCGAAATCGATACCAACACCAAAATAACATACCAGCGCCTCTCAGGTCCGCTTCTAGCTTCGCCTTGGTATCCATCAGGCCCCTAACCACCTGATCCTTCTCCCCAACGGCGCCTTTCAGCCGTTGGATCTCCCCCTGCGCAGATGCCAGCTCCTGCCTGAGCGCCACGTGGGTCGCTGCCAGCCGTTGATTCTCCATCAGCAGCTGCTGAATGTCCCCCTGCTGGGCGGCAAGTTTGACCTCTAGCTGCTGTCCTGCGACGTTCTGGGCGGCAGGGGGTTGCGGTTGCGGGACAGGCATTCCCTGCGGAGGAGCGGGTCCCCGAACCAACACCTGGACTGGACCCGGACCTGCGAGTCCGGGTTGGAAGCCAGGTCCGGGAACGAACGGAGGTCCGGCCTGGTGGACGATAAACGGCGGCTGACCGGGCGGGCCTTGAAACTGGACGGGCATTGGAGCTTGGCCGGCTTGTCTGGCTTGATAGACGGTTCCGGGTGCGCCGGCCGGCAAGGTAGGACCGGCGGGATGCTGGTGCTGATGCTGCGGTGCGGTTTGGATTATGCCGCGCTGCTGCTGCTGCTGTTGCTGCTGATGCTGTAAGTGGCTTGAAGGGGGGTCCTGACGGCTGCGACGCGAGTCTCGGGTCCTAAGCGCCATTTTGTTGATTTTCACGAAAACGGGTTACAGAGACTTGAGGAGCTGAGGAAGGATAGAGATGAGCCTGTACAAGAAACAAGGAGGAAAAGGAACGTACGGGAATAAAATGAACGACTGAGTTAATAAACTGTCGAAAATATAACGAGTTATGAATGAACGAAGGTAGAAGCGTGCCTATTCGCGAGGAAATAAAGCACGGAAGCGAAAGTTGCGCCCGAATGAAGAAACTTACCCTAGATTAATCTCAGTTTTTTCTAAAACTAGTAATATCCCTAAATTAATCGCAGACCTCAAATAGATTCTGCTAATGCCTTGAGAAGCTCCTACCGCGTCCAGATTAATCACTACCGAACGAGCTAACCAGAAACCAAAGAACACGCGGTTTTTTCTTGAGAAAATCACTGCTCGCCGATGTCAAGATACGGCTGATAGAGCAGAACCAACGGCCAGATTTTTAGGACGTGCTAAAACTTATCCGATAGTGAGCTTTGGGAATGCTGGCAGAAAGGCTGGCGATACGACGTTTTCGCAAGTGTAACCAACCAGACTAAACTAAAACTGTTATTTTCCAAACCAAGAACCTCCATGCAAATTTTTAGGGTAGGGGTGCACACATCAAGACACTAGCACCTGTGGTTACAGCTCAAAATCACAACATTACAAACAAACGAGCACAAACAAGCACTAGTTCCAGCTAGTGCCGAGCGCACCAGCTAGTTGACTAAAAGCCGGTTGATGGAAGGCTAACGTACGCCCACACACACCACATGCTAGGTTTGTCGGCACGAGCAACGAAAGCTTCGGTGATTTAGATACGGCATGGGAGTTTGTGGGTGGAGCAGACCAGAGTTGTGGTGGAATGGATCTATGGGATGGGGATGTAAAGTCGTGGATAGACGATGGGAGTGAGGTGACTTTTGAGTCTGACTCAAAAGTTTTGAGGGTGGAGCAGACCAGAGTTGTGGTGGAGTGGATCGATGGGATGGGGATATAAAGTCGTGGATGGACGATGGGAGTGGGACGTGTGGAATGGCGTTGAAGCGGCTCTTGAACCACCAGTGATAGGAGTGATGATGAAGTCAAACCATTGATAACAAACGGGATCGACGGCTGAGAGATGATGATGCAGCTGAATAACAGACCCGTCGCAGTTGCGGTTGATGCGAGATGGGTGGGGTTTTATGGTTTCTCCCCGTCGTCTTGTGGGACGTCACAAAACGAGATCAGCGGTTGAGATGATGATGCAGCTGAACAGTAATCCCGTCGAAGTTGCAGTTGATGCAAGATGGATGGGGCTTGATGGTTTTCCCATTGTGGTAAACCCTGTCGGCTTAGCTGCTATTGCATACAGGACAGTGTCCCAGGCAGCTATTTACCCGCAATATACCATCCCCCTTCCTTCCTTCCTCCCCTCATCCCCTCTTGCCCTCCTCTCCTCCTTCCCTCCTCCCCCTCCCCTCCACTCCTCCCTCCTCCACTCCACCTCCCCTCCTCCCCCTTCTTATTGCACATAAGCCACTATCACAGTCACATCGTCCCGCCTCCCCCCTTCATGGTGCACCCCTGCTGCCTTGGCTGCTATTGCATACGGTGTGGGCTCTGCTGTGCTCTCGCCTGCTTTATGTGCCATCGACACGAGCTTGCGAGCCACAGACTGTGGAAACGAAGGGGAAGAGGAGGGGAAAGGGTGGAAAGAGTAGGGAGACTGAAATCACACTGACTGATGCTATTGCATACGGTGTGGCCTCTGCTGTGCTCTTGCCTGCTTTATGTGCCATTGACACGAGCTTGCGCACAACAGACTGTGGAGGGGGGGCAGCAGAAGCGGGGCGGGGAGGGGGAGGGGGAAGGGGGAACAGGGGAAGGGAGGGGGTGTGTAGGTAAGAACGGCAGATTAAAGGTGGTACTGTGTACGATATGGGCTCCCCTCATGTGCAACTTGCAAGTGCCCACTTCACCTCTCATCTGCTCCCCGTCACCTTCTCGCTTCCCCACTCCACCTCTCATGCAAGTACCCCACTCCCCCCTCTACCGCCACCTCTAACCTCTTCCACTCACATCTTCCTCACCTTTGCCCTCTGCCCTCACCTCCCTCCTCCCCTCTCACCTCGGGTCTCTTGCACCTCTCTCACCTCTCCCCGGGCAGCACACAACACGATGGCAGTGAGGTAAGGCAGCGCACGATGGTGTCGACACAGAGACAGTCACCATTGTGACAGTCACCTCAACTTCCTTACCAACTCCCCTTAGCCCTTCCCCATCTTCCCTCCTCCCAAACGCATCTAAGACCGACCATCTGCCCTCACCTCTGCAGGTGCAGCAACAACTTGTAGCGCCTCACCTCTGCAGGTGCAGCAACAACTTGTAGCGCCTCACCTCTGCAGGTGCAGCAACAACTTGTAGCGCCTCACCTCTGCAGGTGCAGCAACAACTTGTAGCGCCTCACCTCTGCAGGTGCAGCAACAACTTGTAGCGCCTCACCTCTGCAGGTGCAGCAACAACTTGTAGCGCCTCACCTCTGCAGGTGCAGCAACAACTTGTAGCGCCTCACCTCGGGTTTCTTGCCCTCCCCCAGTGCAGCACACAGCACGCACACGATCGTGTCGAGAAAGAGATTGTCAAACAGGCAGCCCACCTTTGCCCCTCTTCACCCTCTCGTCTCTGCTCCCTGCTCTGCTATCTGCTCTGCTCCCTGCTCTGCTCTCCTCCCTCAGCCCTCTGCCACCAGCCCCCCTCTCTCTCACCTCGGGTCTCTTCCCCTCTCCCAGCGCAGCACACAGCACGCGCACGATGGTGTCGAGAAAGAGATTGTCAAACAGCCCGTTGGTGGCTAGTAGAATGGCGTCGCCTGCTTGCACAGGAATGGTGTAATCCTGTGGGTGGGGTACCGGGGGGAAGAGGGAAGGGAGAGGGAGCATAGGAGTCAACACACGTGTCGAGAGAGAGATTGGCAAACAGCCCGTTGGTGGCTACCAGGATGGCGTCGCCTGCTTGCACAGGATATCTAAGAGCTTTTGAGGCGCCTCAAAAGAGCTCACCTTGGCGCAATCAGGGCCGTCCCCTGCCTCATGCCCGATCTGGAAGGGGTTTACAAAGGAGTGTTTCATGCACTCTAACTCACATTGGAACAGCATACCCATACTATCGTAGCCTGTCAGGGATGGAGAGCTCACCTTAGCACAGTCGGGTCCGTCCCCGGCCTCATGCCCGATTTGGAAGGGGTTCTCAAAGGAGTGCTCCATGCGCTCCGAGCGAATCACCAGCTCGCCCCTCCTGAGCAGCACAGGGGCTCACCTTGGCTGAGCTAGCAGTCCTCACCTTGGCGCAGTCAGGGCCGTCCCCTGCCTCATGCCCGATTTGGAAAGGGTTGCCAAAAGAGTGCTCCATGCGCTCCGAGCGGATCACCAGCTCGCCCCTCCTCAGCAGCACAAAGCCGCAGCTGCCTATGCTTGCCACTCGCAGGCGCTGAGGAGAGAGGGGGGAGTGGTGGGACGGCCGGCAAATGGGGGGGAGATGGGATGTGAGGGCAGGAGAGCAGCGGCAGTCAGTGGCATTCCGCTTTGAGCGAATCACGAGCTCGCCCCTCCCCAGCAGCACAAAGCCGCAGCTGCCTATGCTTGCCACACGCAGACGCTGAGAAGCGAGCAGGGGAGAGAAAGAAGGGAGAAGAGAAGAAGGGAGACGAGGAGGTGAGGGAAGGGGGAGAGAGCATGGAAGGCCTATCCGAGCGAATCACGAGCTCGCCCCTCCTCAACAGCACGAGGCCACAGCTGCCTATGCTTGCCACTCACAGACGCTGAGGGAAGAGGGAGGGGGGAGAGGAGAGAGAGGGGTATGGAGAAGGTGCGCTCAGGACGAAAGTGCTGGCACTACAAGCCTTTGTATCCTCTTCCTTCCCAGTTTCCGTATTCAGCACCATAGCCATTTGAGCTCCCTCCTGTCACTGTCACGCCACTGTGACCTGGTTTGTTATCAAGTGCCTCAGCCCCACTCACATCTTTGTCAAGAACAGCGAGGGTGATGGTGCAGGACCCTCGTAGGTCCGTGCGGCTGTGGCTCTCCTCAATCACCCCCTTGGGATCCATTGGGTCTAAATCATCCTCATCATCATAATACCCATAGTCGTAATCATCCCCCCCAGCCCCCACTCCGCTCACCACCCCCCCTTCCGCACCCCCCACGCCCCTCCCCCTCCTGCCGCCCGCCCCGTCGCCTGTGCCGCCCATGCCGTCCACGCTGCCGCCCGCCGGCCCCCGGCCGACGCCTGCTGAGTCGTTGTGATCCGAATCTAGCTCAGAATCGGATCTGCCTTCAAGATGGTCGGCAAAGTCGTCGTCGCTCTCCTCGTCCTCGTCACTGTCTGCTCCTTCCTGCCGCGACCGAATCACGTTGACACAGTTCCACATCATCTCACGGGAATACAAGCCGGCGTTGATACCTGTGGGTCGAACAGAACAGACAAAGGGTGGGGAGGGAGATGGGGTGGGTGGTTTGGGGGAAGGGGAGACCGAATCACGTTGACGCAGTTCCACATCATTTCACGTGAGTACGGGCCTGCTTTGATGCCTGGCTGATGCACAGAAGGGGGAAATGGAAAGAGGATTAGGGTCCGAATCACGTTGACACAGTTCCACATCATCTCTCGGGAATACAAGCCGGCGTTGATACCTGTGGGTCGAACAGAACAGACAAAGGGTGGGGAGGGAGATGGGGTGGGTGGTTTGGGGGAAGGGGAGACCGAATCACGTTGACGCAGTTCCACATCATTTCACGTGAGTACGGGCCTGCTTTGATGCCTGGCTGATGCACAGAAGGGGGAAATGGAAAGAGGATTAGGGTCCGAATCACGTTGACACAGTTCCACATCATCTCTCGGGAATACAAGCCGGCGTTGATGCCTGTGGGTCGAACAGAACAGACAAAGGGTGGCGAGGGAAATGGGGTGGGTGGTGTGAGGTAAGGGGAGACGAATCACGTTCACGCAGTTCCACATCATCTTTCGTAAATATGAGCCATGAAACACTACTTTCACCCCTCAACTTGGTCTGTCCACATACCTATACCATCTGCCACGCCCAGCTAGTTGCACTCCACCCACAAAATACACCCTTCACCACTCCTCACCGCCATTCACCACCCCTCACCACTGCTCACCTTGGTCAGTCCACGTGCCAATGCCATCAGCCACGCCCAGCCAGTTGCCCTCCACCAAGTAAGCATCATCACCACCCCTTGACGCCTGCACAACGGCAAATCAATCAGGTACAGAAGAGGATTATTGAGGCAGGGTGTGGGAAGTCTCAAGGCCACGCCCAGCCAGCCAGTTACCCTCCACCAAGTAAGCATCGTCAACACCCCTTGACGCCTGCACACAACGGTACCATACAGGGGCACCAAGCAGCAGGGTGTGAGATATCGGTAGTGGTGTGAGGCCTCTCATGCCACGCCCACCCAGTTACCTTCCACCAAGTAAGCATCGTCAACACCCCTTGACGCCTGCACACAACGGTACCATACAGGGGCATCAAGCAGCAGGGTGTGAGATATCGGTAGTGGTGTGAGGCCTCTCATGCCACGCCCACCCAGTTACCCTCCACCAAGTAAGCATCGTCAACACCCCTTGACGCCTGCACACAACGGTACCATACAGGGGCATCAAGCAGCAGGGTGTGAGATATCGGTAGTGGTGTGAGGCCTCTCATGCCACGCCCACCCAGTTACCTTCCACCAAGTAAGCATCGTCAACACCCCTTGACGCCTGCACACAACGGTACCATACAGGGGCATCAAGCAGCAGGGTGTGAGATATCGGTAGTGGTGTGAGGCCTCTCATGCCACGCCCACCCAGTTACCCTCCACCAAGTAAGCATCGTCAACACCCCTTGACGCCTGCACACAACGGTACCATACAGGGGCATCAAGCAGCAGGGTGTGAGATATCGGTAGTGGTGTGAGGCCTCTCATGCCACGCCCACCCAGTTACCCTCCACCAAGTAAGCATCGTCAACACCCCTTGACGCCTGCACACAACGGTACCATACAGGGGCATCAAGCAGCAGGGTGTGAGATATCGGTAGTGGTGTGAGGCCTCTCATGCCACGCCCACCCAGTTACCCTCCACCAAGTAAGCATCGTCAACACCCCTTGACGCCTGCACACAACGGTACCATACAGGGGCATCAAGCAGCAGGGTGTGAGATATCGGTAGTGGTGTGAGGCCTCTCATGCCACGCCCACCCAGTTACCCTCCACCAAGTAAGCATCGTCAACACCCCTTGACGCCTGCACACAACAGCAAAACAACCGCATACAGAGGAGGACTAGTGAGAGAGGGTGTGTGGGTGGGACGTTTCACGTCCACGCCCAGCCATTTGCCCTCCACCAGGCATGCACAGTCACCACCCTGTGACACCTGCACAAAACAGTACCATACAGGAAAGAACAGAAGGGTTTTGTTTTCTTCTTCTATGTTCCTTTTTTTTCCAATCCAGCAAATATCACATGCTGCCACCCGTTTTTTAACCTGCACGGCAGGTATTGAGTCGACTCAAACGGTGGGGGACAGGATGGTGTGGAACCCAACCCAACCCAACCCAACCCAACCTTCAGATACAGCCCGTTTTTTTATTTCTAAAAAACTTACTATACCCCTGAAAAAATACTTACTCGGGCAGGGTGGGGCACGCTGTAGACTCCGACCTTGAGTTGCAGCTGATGCAGCACCACCTCCTCCTTGCGCTCGGAGGCTTGAATGGCCAGACTGGGGGAAGAGGAGAGGGAATGCAGGCACAGGGAGTTTCACAAAGGTGAACACTAGGGAAAGTCAATCTCTTGAGTGGGGCACGCTGTAGATCCGACCTTGAGTTGCAGCTGATGCAGCACCACCTCCTCCTTGCACTCGGACGCCTAGAGGGCCAGGCTGGGGAGGGATGTGGAGGAGAGAAGGGAGGAGAAAGGTGAACACAGGGGTAGGAGAGTGCTGTACACTCCGACCTTGAGTTGCAGCTGATGCAGCACCACCTCCTCCTTGCGCTCGGAGGCTTGAATGGCCAGACTGGGGGAAGAGGAGAGGGAATGCAGGCACAGGGAGTTTCACAAAGGTGAACACTAGGGAAAGTCAATCTCTTGGGTGGGGCACGCTGTACACTCCGACCTTGAGTTGCAGCTGATGCAGCACCACCCCCTCCTTACGCTCAGACGCCTGGAGGGCCAGGCTGGGGACGGAGGGGAGGGAGGGGAGGAGAGGAGAGGGAATGAAGGAATGTCTGTCAGAGCAAAACCACATCCTCAACCACATCCTCAGCCATCCTCATCCAGAGCAAAACCACATTCATCAGCGCTAGCAGAATGAAGGAATGTCTGTCAGAGCAAAACCACATCCTCAACCACATCCTCAGCCATCCTCATCCAGAGCAAAACCACATTCATCAGCGCTAGCAGAATGAAGGAATGTCTGTCAGAGCAAAACCACATCCTCAACCACATCCTCAGCCATCCTCATCCAGAGCAAAACCACATCCTCCTAGCCCTCAGGAACCTTGATGGCCAGACTGGGGCAAATTCGGGAAAGAGAGGGGGAAGAAAGAATAATTTTAGGTAGGGGAACGCTCACGGGGTCTAGAATCTGGGGCGTGGAAGCAGAGAGAGAACGTACCTCCTGCTTTCGTCCTCTGTTCTTTTTAAATTCTATAAAAAACAGAGGCGTGGAAGCAGAGAGCATACCTCCTGCTTTCCTCCTCATGCAGACTGGTTTCTGCCGCCTCCTCTCCTGAAAATGTCCCTCCCTCCTGTGCTGGCCCTTGCTCTGCTGAGGCCTGCTCTGCTGCTCCTGGCTCGGCGTAAAATCCCCATGAAGCGTACTGCTCCTGTGCTCCTTGCTCCTGCATTGCTTGCTCAACCGCTCCCTCCCCTTGCTTTACCGACTGCAGCGCCTCCAGTTCTGACTGCATCACTGGGACTGGAGCAGGGATTGGGATTGGGAACACCTCCTCCTCCTCTTCTAGAACCGCGCCGTTTGGGTAAATGGGATTGGAAGCTGGAGTTTGGGAAGCACCGGTCTCCCACCCTGTGCTGCCCCCATCCCTCTGCTTCTCCTCTTCGTATCCGTTTAAGCCCTGCTGCTGCCCCTGCCCCTGCTGCTGCTCTTGCTGTTGCTGCTGCAGCAGCTCCTGTTGCTGTTGCTGCTGCTCGTCCCACCCCAACTGCACCTGTTGCTGCTGCTGCTGCTGCTGCTCCTTCTGCTGCTCCTCCCACTGTTGCTGCTCCCTCTGCTGCTGTTCCCAATGCTGCTGCTCCCTCTGCTGCTGCTCCCTCTGCTGCTCGTCCCACTGATACTCCCGACTCCATGCAAACAGCCCACCATCCTCACCATCCTCTCCTCCTTCTCCCTGCTCCTCCCACTGCTGCTGCTCCTGCTCCTGCTGCTCCTGCTGCTGCTGCCACTGCTGCTGCTGCTGTTCTTGCTGCTCCTGCCGCTCTTGCTCGTGCTCCTGCTGCTGCAGCAGCACCTGCTGCTCCCTTTGCACCTGTAGCTGCTGCCGCGCCTGCCTCTCCCTCTCCGCGTCCTGGATCTGCTCCCTAAGGCTCTGCGCCTGCTGCTCCAACTGCGCCACCCGCGCCTCTGCCTGCTCCCTCGACCCAAACCGGAACACCACCGTGTCCTCCTCGTGCTCTGCTTCAGGGCGTGAGAGAGGGGGGGGGGGGAGGGACAGGAAAGGAGGCGAGGGAGGGGGGAAGAGAGAGGGAGAGGGGAGCAAGGGGGCAGGACAGGGAGGAGAGGGGGAAGAGAGGAATAATAAAGCCTTAATGCGGCGCCTGCCTCTCCCTCTCCGCGTCCTGGATCTGCTCTCTCAGGGTCTGCGCCTGCTGCTCCAGCTGAGCCACCCGCGCCTCTGCCTGCTCCATCGACCCAAACCGGAACACTACTGTGTCCTCCTCATGCTCTGCTACGGATTGCAGAGGAGGGAGGGAGGGAGGGAGGGCGGTACGCATAGTACGCGGTGCGAGGGGATAAGACATGGTAGAGGAGGCAGAAGAAGGAAGGAAACTGGAGGGTACTTGAGGGAGAGGACGCGGAGGGACGGAGAGAGTGTGAGAGAGAGGGGAGGGGAGCACAAGAACGGGTGGGTACAAAGAGAGGGAGCATACCATGGACGTCAAGAAGCACCCACGCAGCTTCCTCCCCGCCCTCCTCCTCGTCACTGTAATCCAAGAACCCCACGCCCATCACCCCCACCCCCGGATCGCTGCCCCCCTGCTCGCTGCCCCCACGCTCACCCGCCTGCTCACCCGCGTGCTCCCTAGCCTCATGCCCGCACGCCTGAACCCCCTGTTGCTGCTGCTGTTGCGGATGTTCCTCCTGCTGTTGCGAGTGCTCCTGTTGATTCCACGTCTGTTGCTCATCTTGCCCCCAACCCTCAGCCTGTAGCTGCTGCTGCTGCTGCTGAGCCAAGTACTCTGCCTGAAACTGCTGCTGTTGCTGCTGCTGCAGCTGCTGTTGTTGCTGCTGTTCAAATCTTTGCTGTTCCTGCTGCAGCTGCTGTTGTTGTTGCTCCTGCTGTTCCTGCTGCTGCTGCTGCTGCTGTTGCTGCTGCTGGGCCCAGTGTGCTTGCTGCTCCTGCCATTGTTGTTGCTCAAATCTTTGCTTTTCCTGCTGCAGTTGCTGCTGCTCCTGATGCTGCTGCATTTGCTGTTGGTATTCGGCCTGTGTTTGTTGCTCGTGCCACTGCTGTTCCTCAGATTGATGCCTCTGCTCCCCCTGCTGCAGCTGCTGCGGCTGCTGCCCCTGCTCCTGCCACTGCTGCTCCTCAGATTGTCGCGATTGCCACTGTTGCTCCTCGGATTGTTGCTCCTGCCACTGCTCTGCCTGTGCTCGTTGCTCTTGGCCTGATTTCGCCTGCTCCTGCTGCTGTTGCTGCTGTTGTTCGTACTGCTGCTGCTCCTCCTGCTGCTGCCGCTGTTCATCCCACTGTCCAGCCTCTGCTTGTTCTTCTTGCCAGGCCATCGCTTGCCCTTGACTCAATTTCTCCTGCTCCTCCCGCCGTTGCTGCTCCTCCTGCTGCTCTTCGTGCCACTGCTGCAGTTCCCGCTCATGCTGTTCCTGTTGATCCGCTTGCTGCCGCTGCTCTGCCCACTGTTCTGCTTGTGCTTGTTGCTCTCGCCATTGCATTTCCTCCTGCGAGTCAAACTGTTGCTGTTCTTGCTGTTGCTGCTGCTGCTGCTGCTGCTGCTGCTGCTGCTGCTGCTGCTGCTGCTGCTGCTGCTGCTGCTGCTGCTGCTGCTGCTGCTGCTGCTGCTGCTGCTGCTGCTGCTGCTGCTGCTGCTGCTGCTCCAACTGTTGCTGTTGCTGCTCCAATTGTTGTCGTTGCTGCTCCAATTGTTGCTGTTGTTTTTGCTGCTGCCATAACTGTTGCTGTTGCTGCTGCTCCAACTGTTGCTGCTGCTCCAACTGTTGCTGCTGCTCCAATTGCTGCTGCTGATATTCCAAGGCCAAGCCCTCTCCTACAGTTTCCGCGCCAAAACGATGCGAAACCGCTGCATCAACTTGAGAATCAGCCTCGGCTGACTCTGCAAAGGGGTGATGAGGAGTTCTATGCGGTGACTCAACCCATGCGCTTGTTGGCGATTGAGGGGATTGCAATGAGACGGTTTCTGGTGCCAACCGGGCTGCTGCTTCTGCTGGTACTGTTGCTGCTTCTCCCGTGGCTGGAACTGCTGCTGCTGCTGCTGGTACTGCTGTTGTTGCTGCTGCTGCTGCTGCTGGTACTGCTGTTGTTGCTGCTGCTGCTGCTGCTGGTACTGCTGTTGTTGCTGCTGCTGCTGCTGCTGCTGCTGCAGCTGCTGCTGTTGTTGCTGCTGCTGCTCCGTCTGTCACTGCAGCACCTGCGGAATTCTTGATGGGTTGTTCGATAGACTGCGCCTGCGCGGCTTCTCCTGCATGTGCGCGCTCGGCTGGTTCCAAAGCCGCTGCTTCGATTCCATCTACTTCCGCCCCGTGACTTCCCCCGTCCGCCCCGTGACTTCCCCCATCCGCCCGCGCCTCCGCGCCCTCAAGGCTCCGCCCCAAATTCCCCCATTCCGCGGGCACGTCGGAAACAGCGCCGTTTTCTTCAAGATTCCCCCATTCCGCGCGCCTTTCCGCTTCCGAACCCCCCTCCGCGAGCCCCTCCACGTTTTCCGCATCGGAAGATCCCGTGATAGGACCCACGTAGGCCTTTGCGCGGACACTCCCGCGGGCACTTGCGCGGACATGTGAGCAAATATGCCCTTGAAAGCTCCTTGTCGAGGCCTGGAAAAGTAAGGTTGGAGAGAGAGAAAGGGACGAGAATGACGGTAGAAAAAGAGAGCGACGCGAAAGGCAACGCAAGGGAGAAAGAGAACGGATGCATGAAATTGTATTCAAGAAGTAAATTGAACAAATAAACTTAACGCATGTGATACAGGCGGGCCACTACTGCAACGGCTACTTCTATTTCTGCAACAAAACAGCTTACCGATTGAAACTTTCCAGAAGCTGTTGAAGAAGTTTGTGCGAAACAGCTGCTGGAGTTTAATCTACGAATCGGGAACTGAGACGTCGCGCCATCCGTCGCACCCCTGGAAATGCGACGGCGAATGAGCGAAGGGGGCTGGAGGAAGAGGGAGGCGATCCCAGCTACTGGCTTCGTAACGGGATACGGAGTCACTAGAAACGAGGATGATCTTTCGACGAGCCGACACGCAACAGACTTAGGAAATGGCTTTAAGGCTAATCCTGAAAAGGGCTTGGTGTTTGGCAAACGACATGTCAAGGGTAAATTCATTTGCGCGGATCGGGAAATGGAACGAGACGGTGCGGAGACGGAAACGAGTGGCGAGGAGGACCGAAACGAAGCGTACATGACGGCGGAAGATCCGGAATACAGAGGTTCGCCTCTAATCGCCGGCGATACGGGACACGTGGATGCAGAAAAGGAGGCGGACATGGTGTTGCGATGTCCACGTGTTTCTTAGCTGTTTTATTGTTTCTGTTTGATGCTGTCCGCGCGCTTCTTAGCCGCTAAGACGACGGAACAAGAGCTTCTACATGCAAGCCCTAAACAAGTTGTACGTGTAGACTGGAAAAGCAATAGCGCTTAATTTTAGGGCTTCATTTCCTCTCTACAAGAAGCCCCTGCCTGTATAGGTTCCCATAAAGCGCTTAAACTAGAACGGGTAGCATCGGTGACAATGGTGTTGTAAAGCTCCTCGCCAATTCCGCTATGCCAATCATGATAAGCGGTAACTACAGAGGGACAATCAGAGAGAGGGATGTGGAATACAAACACAACCCAGATCGTAAGCAGAGAAAGAAGTCAAGCGCAGCAAAGACAACCAGCCTTCTAGAAATCAGGTCCGCAGAGAAGTGTCAGGAAGTGACCACCATAACCAAACCACTTCGACCGCCATGGATGACGCATGAATGGGGTCCAGACTCTAGGACGAAGCATGTATGGGTCCAGGTTAGGGAGTGCCATAACTCGTGAACAGTTCATGAATCAGAGCTCAGACAGGTGAGTGGCGGTTCAAATCGGTGAAAGATAAACAACCGCTGTAAAACGCACAGGTTTGGTTCGGGGTCGGCGGAGAAAAGGGCAGTCACGGAAGGCGGATGGCGGAAACTGGTTGTGGTGTTCAACGCAGGAGCGCGGCGGGCGCGGGCGGGGGAAAGGGCGAGAAAAGTCTCCGCTGCCCCGCCGACCATCCCTGTGATTTCCATGCGCAAGGGAGTGAAGTTCGGGGAATGGGGGAGTGCTGGTTTGGGGGAAGAATCTTCGCGGATGCATTTGAATCACGGCGCCGGAGAGTCTGTGGTTCCCTCGCACGCGAAATGTCAAGACCAATCAGGATTGAGGAATTAGCTGGCCTTGAAAACAACGAGGTTGCAGCCGAATTTTGAAGGTTGGGTGCGATTAGAGAAAACGTGACTATCAGAGACCAGCTACACCATTCTTGTTCAGACTATGGACTAAGTCTCTTATACAACTGATAGTTGTAAATTAAAAGCAAAAACAAAGGAAGCTTTGGCTTCCGCAAGCAATAATGTACAGCAGGCACGCCAATCCTCAACATACGAGTTAGGGTTAAGAAACAAACAAAACTAATAAAAACGGAAATCAGGAAAATGACTAGTTAGCTTGAACTTAGACGAAGGAGGCTGCTGCGAATTCATTTGCTAGCACTGCAACAATCAAGGGAGGCAAACACAATCCACACATGTGCAAAACATTCAATCGGGAAGAAATGGAGGACAAGGTTGATGTGACTAACAGACTCACATGCGAAACGGTTTTCAGGCGAAACGAGTATGCAGAACACATGCACAAGGGTGTGCTACTCATACAGCATAGCATGTTAGCCATATCGTGGTACGACACACCAAAATCACATCAGCTCAAACACATCAAATAAAATCCTCACCAGGATCCACAGCCTCCTTGGGCCGCCCGCTGATGTCCACCTTGCAGAGCGGACAGCTGGCGTTGATCCGCAGCCACGTGTCAACGCAGGATTGGTGAAAGTGGTGGTTGCAGGGAAGCTGCCTGAGCTCCGTCCCATCCTTGTAGTGCCCCAGGCAGATGCAGCACACCTGGTAACCATGTAACAGGGGAGGGAGATTGGGAGGGGAGAGGCGGAAGAGGAGGGAGGGAGGGTGGAGGCCGGGAAAAGGTGGGGGGAAAAGGGAGGGAGGAGAGGGGGAGGGGAGGGGTGGAAATGGGGGGTGATTAAGTTGCCTCTAAGACCCACCCTGCACCACTTACTCCTTGTCCCTCCCGGACCACAGCAACGCCATCCCACCCACCTCTAGAGAACAACAACTATTACGGTCAGACCACTCCCCGAACAGCAAAGAGACAGAGCAGAGGCAGAGCCCTAGCAGAAACAGGGGAAGGGAAGAGGGAGGAGGGAGGGAGAGTGTGGGGAGGGGGTTGCGGGTAGGGAGAGGATGGCGGGGTGGGAATTGAGTCGACTCACAGCACCCTTCCCATGCACCTCCTTGGCCATCCCAACCCACAGCAACTTTTGAGACGTCTCAAAAGGGGTGCAGGTAGGGAGAGGATGGCGGGTTGGGAAATGAGTTGACTCACAGCACCCTTCCCATGCACCTCCTTACCCATCCCAACTCACAGCAACCCCACCTCATCCGAAGTGGAAATAAGTAACCTTAGAGAAACAGGTGTTAGTGGAACAAACTATCCAAAGAGAAGCAGGGAATCCTTGACTTGACTTGACTCAACTTGACTTGACTCGAATTGACTTGAGTTGACTCACCGCATCCTCCCCTTGTACTACTCGCTCCTTGTCTGTCCCAGCCCACAGCAGCCCCACCTCCTCCGAAGAGGAAACGACTAACACTGGAGAAACAAGGTGGGAATGGAACAACTACCCAAGCTGAACAGTAGCAACTCACCGCATCCTCCCCTTGTACTACTCGCTCCTTGTCCGTCCCAGCCCACAGCAGTCCCACCTCATCCGAAGAGCTGTCACCATCCGACTCCTCCCCTCCACCCACACCACTGCTGCAAATGCTCTCGCTGCTCCCGCTCCTGCTGCTGCACCTGTCCCTGCCGCTGCCACCGCTGCTGCTGCCGCCGCTGTCACAGCTGCCGGTGCCACTAATGTAGGCTCTGGCGCTCAGAGTGCTCTCCTCTTCCCTGCTTTCCGCTCTCATCGGGCCATACTCAGCTGTCTCAGCTGTCTTCCTGGTTGCCGCCAGTGCTTGCTGCGATCGCCTCCGGTTCCTCCTGAGGCTTGGGGAGCTGCTAATGCTGCTCGCACTGCTGGCACTGCTGCTGCTGCTGCTGCTGCTGCTGCCACTACCACTGCTGCTGCTAACAGGGTTTCGTTCAGGTGTTTTCATTCCCTCACTACCATCACCACCACCACCACCATCGCCATCGCCTCTGCTCTCACCACTCCACTTGCTGCTCCCCTTCCCATCCCCGCCAACCCCCCCCTCCCTCCTCCGCTTCAGCTCCTTATACTTAAAGCACGGCAGAGACGCAATCTCATCAGGAGCAGCACCTTTAGAGGCTGGAGAGATGGAGGCGATATCGTTGTCGAAGCCCATGAGCGTGATGATGCAGGGCAGGCAGCAGCAGATGGTGGCGCAGAGGAGGAAGGGCATGGCGTAGCTCACACAGCTTAAAGTCAGGAACACCACGCTCAGACTGGAGAGAAGGGGAGGGGGAGCGGGGAAGGGGTTGTTACAATTTTGTGGCCTGCTGGAAGGCTGATCTGGTCCTTTAGCCCCTGATCTGGAATCTGGTTTCATATTTCACGTAAAAGGGACCTGTATAGTCTCGGGGCGGCCTGGGCAGCAGAGTTGACACCAAAGACCTACAAACCAGACAGCAAAGAAGCTCATTTGCGCGTCTTGTTTCTCAGTAGTAGCACGTGCGACATAGTCACTCACTTGTAGAGTCTCGGGGCGGCCTGGGTAGCAGAGTTGGCGCCAAAGACCCAGATACTGCCGAGCACAAACCACACTGCAAGAAAATCCACTCACTCCGTTTTGATTTCTCATTAGTAGCACATTCGACATAGTCACTTACTTGTACAATTTTGGGGCGGCCTGGGCGGCGGAGTTGGCGCCAAAGACCCAGATATTGCCGAGCACAAACCAGACTGCAAAGAAGCAGTCCACTGTGACCTTGTATCGCTCCACCATCACCACAAGCCTGGGATTTAGAGGGTGAGGGGGGGAAGGGAAGTGGGAGGGGAGGGAGGAAAGAGGGAATGAGGAAGTGTATGGGGGCGGACTGAACAGCAAGAAGCAGTCTACTGCCACCTTGTATCGCTCCACCATCACCACGAGCCTGGGAAATGGAAGAGGAAAGGTGGGGGGGGGGGGGGGGGGGAGATGAGGGGAAGCGAGGTACGGGAGAGGGACGGAAGGAGTGTACAAGGCTGAATGAGGGAGGTTGGGTGAAAGAGAGAACGGATTGGGAGGGGGAGGGATGGGAGAGAGGGAGATTAATCCTGAAAAAGCACCTGAATAAACACCTGCAAACAGAAACCCACCTGGATTCGTCCCGCCAGTCATCAGCAATCTCGTTCAAAAACCGCCACATGCACCCCCACCACCCCCTCCCCTCCTCCGCCCAATTCTGCTGCGCCAACTCCCCTGCCGCCACTGCCCTTTCCGCCACATAGCTCTCCCAGAACCGCGCGCCCTCATCACTCCCCCGCGCGCTCTCCCCATTCGTCCCTACGCAGTGCGCATTTCCCCCAGCGCCCCCCGCCCTCCCCCAAGTGCCCTCCGCGCTTCCCACTGGCCACCTGCCAACTGCGCTGGTCGTCAGGGCCTCTCTCTCTCCAACTATAAGGTGTCCCGTTACAAGCTGTCCCACTGCAGACTGCCCCGCTACTGGCTGTCTCGCTACAAACTGCCCCGCTACAGCCTCTAGTGCTGCAACGGGCGGCTGCTGCACCCTTGCTGACGCATGCGTGACGGGATGCGGATAAGCGCATGCGAGCTCAAGCAGCGGAGACTGGGCCGAGACACGTGGCGCCATGGTATTGGTTGATTCTTGTGGCGTGTGCGATGGGGAAGAACAAGGAAACGGGGAAATGGATGGTGATGGGGGGGAATAACTATGCTGTTGCTCCCGCTGCTGCTGCTGCTGCTGCTGCTGCTCTTGATGCTGCTGTTGCAGCTGCTGCTGCCGCTGTTGCTGCTGCTGATGCTGCTGCTGATGCCGCGACAGAATTTCAAAGCGCTGCCTAAAATCTTCTTCCCGTTGCCGCTGCTCCGCAGACCCACTCCGCAGCGATTGCTGACCGTACATGTGACGGATCGGAGGGTTCACGTAAGCCTCAGCGCTCTGCGAGTGATGTCGGGTGTATCTATGCGTGTACCTCCAGTACAACAGTGGCAGTAACAGGACACACCCTAACGCGTATCCCAGCACCCACGCGCGCAAGGGTACATGCGGTTTTTCATCCATCGACGCGAAAACAATAAACGCCGTCGCGATAATCTGACCTAGGAGAAAGACAAACTCCGCCGCCACCCAGAGACCCGAGTTCAGCGGGCTCGTGCGAACGCGCCGGCCGGCAAATCTGGAACGGCCGGCAGCCTGCACGTTTGGCCTTGACGGCCGACGCGGAAGCTGCTCTCCCCAGTCACCCAGCGTTGAAGACCCCAATCCCTGCTGCTGATGCTGCTGCTGCTGCTGCTGCGGTTGCAGGTGATGAAGGTGATACGGATGACGCGGGTGATACGGGTGACGTGGATACTCCTCTCTCTGCGGATAGCGCTCCGCCCGCAGCTGTTGTAAATCTTGCGGAAGCAGACCCTCATCCTCTTCCGCTTCCCCTTCTCCTGCGCCTTCCCCCGTCCAGAATCCATTCACTGCCCTTTCTAGGTAATCTCTTCGAGCCCCCCAGCCCTCTCTGCTCCCCGCAACCCTCGCCGTTGTAAGCGCGCGCCAGCGCTCTGCGCTCCCCGCAACCCCCCCGACTGTGGAGCTGCGCGATGGAAGACCGCCAAGCTCGGCTCCCCGTTCCCCTTCCGCGGACTGCGAGTCCAGCGCGAAGGTAGGGGGAATGGCGGAAGAAACTGCGGAATCCGCGGAAGCAAGAAGTTGCGCGAACCCGCCCTCGCCATCCACGTCCAGCCGCACAGGTGGCGGAGAGGCGAAAGGGCGGAAGAACACGCGGAAATCCGCTTGCGCCTCCGCCTGCGCGGAAGTCTGTTGCGCTGGTCCTCTTGCGCCCCCGCCAGCCGCGGAAAGCTGCTGCGCGTCGCGAGTCCGCGGTTGATTGCGCGGCTCTTCTGCTGCGGTCAAGCCCGAAACGCCATGCAATGAAGAGTTGCATGAACAAGGCGCGTCAGTATTTGAAACAAGCTCCTGCAGAGGAGACGCCACTGTTGACGCAGGAAGCGGCGGGAGCGGCGACGCAACATCGGGATCAGATGTCAACCCCTGGGTTTTTTTCAAGGGCGAGTTGGCGGCGATTTGGATGAGATGGTCCGACGCGGAGCACGGCCATGGCGTCGACATTGGCTGCGATTCGCCGGCGCTGGAAGAAACGGCGTCGCGCGTTTGTGACGATTCGAATTGGCCGTCGAGGAGGGAGGCTGGACGCGAGGAGCTGGACATGTCTGGTTGGTGAGGATTGCACGAGGATGCCATATTGCGGAACGGGGAAAATATACTCGTGCTTGCTGGTGTTTCCAGAGAATTATTCAAATCAGCACTCCGACTTGTCCTTGAGGTCAGAAGTACTGGTAAGGTCGAGGGAGAGAGAGAATGCTGCGAGATATCATACACGAATGTATTATTGCGCTTCAGGACAACATATTTGTAACAGTTCCGATTATCCAACGAGGAGGAAATAAGACCAATTGGAATTTACATTTGTTTTAGAGGGGGCATCAGAGCCGGCAGCCTGCCCCTAACCCACGGCTCGCGTGGTGCGTAGTGAGCGAGGAAGCAGGTGCGGAATAGCTAAAACATCGTTTGGACTTGCATGAAGCACGACAAATTATTGGGTTTTTAGTTTATCGGGAAGCAGTACTGGACGAAATTTGCTCCGAAGGTACTGTTAGTGCTGCTGGGGACTAGTTCCGTGGATTTCCAATCTGAGAGCGTTCACTTATTACGCTCGTTAGGAAATCCGACCCTGATTGGTCAAAACAGTTGACAAACAGACGATGACTGTCCGTATAGACGGTCGTCGTCCATGTCGACCGGTCGACTTCATTTTCCGGACAAAAAACAATACCCTCTCTAGTGGTATGCCATTCAGGGAGTCATCAACCCTAAACACCATGCCGCAAGGTTGTTTAGGGTTGATGCTTTCCCATCGCGGTTTTTTGGGAGGGAACAACCCTAAACACGGGATCCCTTTCCCGTTGGGGTATATAGTCTTCCGGACGTATTTATGTGAGGGATCAACCCTAAACACCTTGCAGGGTGGTGTTTATGGTTGATACTTCCCCAATCAAAATTTGTCACATTTTTTCGACCAATCACGTTTCGAATTCCTAACCAGCGTAATAACTGAACGCTCCCAGATTGAAAATGCACGTAACTGTTCCCCGGCAGCGTGAACAGTAACTTCGGAGCAAAGTTTCCCCGGTAGTGCTTCTCGATAAACTAAAAAACCCAAATGATTACATTCGCTGCATTCTACGACGTTCATCGTTGGTCTGGAAGGGAAGAATGACCCTGGGCTTTTCTTTGCACTTTGGGCTTCGCAAGCACCTTGGAGTTACCCGTGTATCTGGCAAATACCTAGGCTGTCGAGTTTCCAAACCAGACCTTTGCCTTACCAGACCAGAGCTGGTTCGGAAGAACGAGCCTGGACTCTGCCTCTAGCTAATGAAGCTTGCAAATACCTAGGCTTCTCAAACCAGGAATTGGAGTTCCCAAACCGTCAGCTTTACAGACCAGATCTTGGCTTTGCAAGAACACTGGACCCCGGTCAGGCAATCACACGAGTCTCCCGAGGCAATTTGTCTTTTGTTTCGAGGCAAACAAGCGTACCATGGCTGCTCGGTGGTTGTTCATCTAGGTTCGAATCCAAGGTAATGTCTGAATTGAGAGATTTCGGACGGTCATAAAAGGTGAAATAGGGTGTGGGGGCTCTTTCCATGGCTGCGCGAAGTGCTGGTTCGGCCAAAGGAGGAAAGCCAAGGATGCGAAAGAGGCTCGGCTTGGGTGTGCATGGGCGGTTTATTGGGGGACTGTCACCAGTTTCCAGGTGGCTACTGTTATACCGTGTGCGACAATCTGGTGACGTGGACCTTGCGGCTGCTGATGGAATGAACAGAAATAATTAGGTTGGCGACGCGACCGTGTTGCTGTCTGGTACTTCACCTGCGTCGCTGTGTCCTTGATCAAGGGAACAGTGCAATGAAATGAGCCAACCATTGCAGTCGCACCAGAGTAGCATATATTAATAACGAAGCTGTACAGGTTCAGAAGCAGGTGAGAGTTTGTTCGCAAAGCGTTGTTACCACATGGCTAGCCACAGATTTACAGTCAGAAATGCAATTTGACTGGATGCATCTGAGCGCCCATACAACTAGCGAATCGCGAGCTTCCAAGGCAGCGGCGCGCTGCTTTCATGCACCACGGTTCTGGTTGTGTTGAAGCAAATATCAGTGGCTGGAGAGGGAATTTGTGACTCGTGACTGTACGTCATAGCACGGCCCTACCACATACAGCTTTCCTTCCATTGACCATCTAGCTATTGCATCAGCTATTGCAAATTTCGAAAGGTAGTTACTAGATGATCAAACTGACATACCTATCTATGATTATGGCATGCTGTGACATGCTTACAACGGCTGCCGCTTTACAATTAGAGGCTAACTATCAGTTTGACTAGGGGGGGTCGTGATTGTGGAAACTAGATTCAAACCCGAGACCTTAGCTCAAATATCATGTCAAAAACCCAGCCACTAGACCACCATGACTTGTTGAGTAGCAAATAAGTGCGATCTTCCCTCCTCAAGCAACCGTGTCTGTAACCCTTCCCTAGGATCAATCGGGCATCTCCAGTGAAGGTCTTCCAACAATGTTCCCCGCATCCAGTGTTCCGACAATACTAGTGCCTTCTTTGCTCCCCTTGATGGACAATAAGCCGTTCTTACCGGGCAAAAAGGGCATTTGTTCAAGGATTAAGCTTCATGCATGAGCATATGTTGATTTTAAATATCCATACATTTGCCACGTGAACAAATCAATACATATCCATACACTTCTCTACCAGGAAAACCTTGTCAATAGACCTGCACTGTGAGATCCCCGAGAGATCCTATGAAGGTTACAGGCGCGTTGGCCTGGGGGGTTATGGGCGCACGCGTCAGAATCACTAGGCAGGAATGTTGAATAACTGGGAACAAGGAGATACAAGTATGAAACCTTAATTGGGGTTGTACTCTATACTGAGCAACTCACTATAGCCTAGCATAACTAACAACATATAAATATGTTTTGACACAACCCCCTAGGCAAGTGAGGGACAGCCAACACAACAAACGGTCACAAGACCAGTCAAGCAAGAAAACAAAGCAATGCAAAGCCCAAGGTGGATCTCAAGATCACCACGCATTCTGAGCACAAGCAAACGGCCACAAAGACAGCTCACATGCTGAGTTATAAGAGCAAGGTAGTACACTGATCACAACCTAGCAAGAGCAAACATGCAGGTATAAATATAGATATCAGTGTACAACAAATGCAAGATCAAGAAACAAGCAGGTGAGATAGAGTGGGCAGAAGCCCAAGAGCAATGCAAAAACGCTGATGATCACCAGACCCGAGTGCCTTGGTGAAGACATCAGCAGTGTTGACCCGACAGGCCACATAGGAAAGGCGAAGCTGACCACGGTGTTGCAACTCTCGAGCAAGAAAGTAGCATGGCCTTGTTGTCAACGTACAGAACTGGAGGAGAACGAGGCCGCTCCCCCATGTCGGTCAGCAGGTAGGTCAGCCAGCGTAGCTCCTGTGCAGCCATAGCCCCAACGTAGATCTTGGCCTCACAGCTGGAACCAAGCACAGAAGACGAACGAGTAGACCTCCAAGAGACAGAACTACAGCCAAGAATGAAGATGTAACCCTGTGACGACCGCTGAGTCGCTTGGTCGTCGGCCGAGGAGGCGTCTGAGTGACCAGTGAGTACCACAGAGTCCTGTCCTCCAAGCACAAGCCCCATCCCTGATGTACTGCACAAGTAACGCTGTACCTCTTCGCAGCATCCCAGTGCACCTTTCGGTGTCTACCGGGAGACACATAGCGAGCCAGGAGGCTGATAGGGTACGCAAGGTCAGGTCGTGTGTACGTCATCAGGTACATGAGGCAACCCACAAGCTATGGATACGGACCACTCGGCTCTACGGACTCGTCTGAAGGTGGAGCTGAGAGCGAGTGGCCTGCAGGCAGAGGAGTGGGCTGTGGCGAGGACCACGTCAAGCCGAAGCGCTGAAGCACCTGGTGCACCATGTGTGACTGAGTTAGTGTGATGGTGCGCCATGCTCTGTCCCGGGTGATATGCAAGCCAAGATAGCTCCGTAGCTCACCCAAGTCAGTGCAGGTGTGTCTCTCCTGCAGCTCCGCCTTCACTAGGGCCAGTGCCTCAGCGTCAGCAGTAGTAAAAACCAAGACGTCGACGTATACAAGAACGTAGAACGGCGGCATAGAAGTATCAGTGTGTAGAAACAGTGACGGGTTAGCAGAGGAAGGAGCAAACCCAAGAGCCGCAACTGTCGTCCTCAGTGTCTTGTGCCACCGGAGACCGTAGACTGGCCGCCGGAGGCTCCACTGGGTACCCTCAGGAAACGACCCAGTGAAGCCAGGTGGGCGGTGCAGCCAGATCTCCTCGTGAAGGCTGCCCTGCAAGAAAGTTGTGGAGAAGTAAAGGGAGTGCAGCTCGTAGTCACGCGGTGATGCAAAGTGCAGCAACACTCGAAGAGTAGTCATCTTCGGGTTGGGGGAGAAGGTCTGGAAGAAGTCGACCCCCTGACGCTGTCCAAACCCTCCAGTACCCATACCGTCTGCAGCTCCAGTACCTTCAGCACTAGGACCTCCAGTGCTAGCAGCTCCAGCACCTCCAGTACCTCCAGCTCCAGCGCCTCCAGCACCAGCAGCACCTCCAGCACCTCCAGCACCAGCACCTCCAGCTCCGGCAGCTCCAGCACCTCTAGTACGAGCACCTCCAGGACCAGCAGCTCCAGCAGCTCTAGCAGCTCCAGTACCTCCAGCTCCAGCGCCTCCAGCACTAGCAGCACCTCCAGCACCAGCACCACCAGCTCCGGCAGCTCTAGCGCCTCTAGTACGAGCACCTCCAGCACCAACAGCACCAGCACCTCCAGTGCCAGAAGCTCCAGCACCTCCAGCACCTCCAGTACCTCTAGCTCCAGCGCCTCCAGCATCAGCAGCACCTCCAGCACCTCCAACACCAGCACCTCCAACTCCGGCAGCTCCAAAACCTCTAGTACGAGCACCTCCAGCACCAGCAGCACCAGCACCTTCAGTGCCAGCAACTCCGGCAC